ATAATTTGACATTTGATAGCTATTAAAAAAATAGTAATAAGATAAAAAAAATAGTATGTCCAAAAACCATATGTAATCTATTTAACAAATATTTTACGAGTATAGGCGAAAACGTATGTAATGCTTCTAATAATTTAAATACATTGCCAACAGTTTGCTCACCAATAAATTCTATTTATCTAAGCCCAGTAGATAGCAAAGAAATTAATAAAATAATAAAATCAATGAAAAACAAATATAGCTGTGGCATGGATGGCATACCCCCTGTATTGATTAAACAATGCGCAGAAACACTTTCGTCACCATTGAGTTTTTTAATAAATCAAAGCTTTGCCGTTGGCTCCTTTCCTGACCAATTAAAAATGTCAATTGTAAAACCCCTTTACAAAAAAGGAGCCAAAACCAACCTTAACAATTATAGGCCAATAGCCCTATTACCCGCGTTCTCCAAGGTCTATGAAAAAGCAATGCTCATTCGCTTAAATATTTTTTTTGAAAAGCAAAAGATATTCGATCGTTTCCGAAAATCTAAATCCACCACTACCGCAGTGTTTAAATTCATTCAAATAGCCATTCAACATGTCAATGATAAAGCATATTCTATAGGTTTATTACTTGATATGACAAAGGCATACGATAGGGTGTCGTACAGTATATTGCTTCAGAAACTATATAATTCAGGTATACGAGGTCCGGCGTACCTTTGGTTTCAGTCTTACCTCAACAGTAGGAAACAAATTGTGGAAATCCAGCATTATGATATGGATACAACTGAAATCCAAACAATACAGTCGGAAATCATGGATTTAACGTGCTCTATACCACAAGGGACCGTTTTAGGATGTATGCTATTCTTAGCCTACATAAACGACTTACCAAAATTTTTGATTAGCGAATCTGTACAACCTGTACTTTTTGCCGACGATATATCAATTTTAATAAAAAGTAATGGTGTTGGTAATATGAGTCAAATAACAAATGAAACCCTTGAATTAGTAACGCTTTGGTTACAAAATCATAATTTAGAAATTAATAACGAAAAAACTAAAGTTATGGAGTTTAGATCATACGGAAAGCCTCCTTTAAATTTAAAAATTAATTATCGAAACGCAGATCTCGAAACTGTAGAATCGTTTAATTTGCTCGGTATGACCATTGACACGCACTTAAATTGGAAGTCCCACGTAGAATCCATTAAATGTAAGCTTGCTAAGTTCACATATGCTCTTTATCAATTAAAACAATGTACAAATACAGACACAGCGTTATCTGCGTATTATGCATATGCATATTCATGGCTAAGGTACGGAATAATGCTATGGGGAAACGGCACAACTGCTAACGAGCTCTTTATAATGCAAAAGAAATGTATACGTATCATAGCCCACAAAGACAATACGGAAAGCTGCAGACCATATTTTATAAAATACAAAATCCTGACTTTACCATCCATATAATATATCCTAGACAAATCACTATTCGTAAATCAAAATTTAGACGTATTTAAAAAGTTGACGAAACACATAATATAAATACACGGCACAAAAATCGATTATATTTACCACCATCTCGATTGAGAAAACTTAGCAGCAGTCCATATTATCTTTATATATATAATTCTTCTGTGAGTGTGTATGTCACTGAACTTCTCTTAAACGACTGGACCGATTTTGATGAAATTTTTTGTGTGTGTTCAAGGGGATCTGAGAATGGTTTAGATTCACAATTTTGTCCGCTGGACAACACCTATTTTTTTAGGGCGGTACGAAGTTCGCTGGGTCAGCTAGTATGTGTATAAAAAGTTATAATAAATTACCCGCTCACATAAAAAACGAAAAACATTTTAACCAATTTAGGACAAAATTGAAAATATATTTATTAGATAAATGCTTTTACACCATAGATGAATACTTTTCAACAAAATAATGTTAATGAGGCGATCTTTCAAATACAAACCTAGGTTATTATAATCATGTTTATTGACATATTATTTGATTTTTATTGACATATTTATTAATTTTTATTGACATATTTATTCATTTTAATTATTGACAAATTTAATTTTATAAACGAATATCCATAATAATAATTACAAAATTAAACTAGTACTGTAAATAAGATCAATTGAGTGAGTTATAAAATTAATGAAATCAGATGACATTTATGCATGCTTTGAGAAAAAAAAGTTGTTGACGTGACAACGTCTTAAATTAGGTTGCGGCTGGGAGTCACTTATGAAAAAGTGTAACGCTCGGTAACGTTACGATGAGTCTCTCGTGTTAAGTTTAAGTTTACATGTACAATGTTTTAGTAAACAAAATATATTTCTATAGTTAAAATTTGTGCAATTCTTATTTTCATTCAATTCCTTGTTCCTATTGTGCAATTTAATTATATTCATATCAATAAATATTCTACCGAGAAAAAGACGTTGTCACGTAAAATCTTCGCCCGTAAAACCGACTTTACAGGCAACCATTTTTTTTATTAAAAAATAGGTTCTTCATATAGATAATTGTTTATTTGTTAAATTCTCTTTTGTAATTTTTATCTATATTGCGATACCCTGACAGGGTTCATGTTAGGTACTTTATGCATTTTGTAACTTGTAACCATCCATGTAACCACATGAGTGCAATAAATTGAATTGAATTGAATAGTTATATGGTAATAAAAGTCGCTCGATGTGGGCAGCTGACATGATAACTATTTAATTTGATTTAATTCTTGTACCTATACGCTATTTAAATCAATGCATTGCCAATAAACCAACAAACAAAATAAAAAATAGTAAGTTAATTATGGTGTCGTTTCCGGCATAATTCTCTAAAGCTTAAATTTTAGACAACAATGTATCTTTGTCTTTCTCTATACATGATATAAAGGAGTGACTGATGTTAAGTTTGGTTTAGAGAATTATGCATGCCAGAAACGACACTTAAGTATTGTTTATAATTTTTGATGTGGCTATTTACCTGTATCGATATAAAGTACTTGTTATACATATTATCATATTTCAACTTCAAAAGAAAAATTCAGACTGGTGTCGGATATGTAAGCGTTCTCATAACTTAAATTTGACATCAGTGTATCCTTGTCATCCTCTATACGGAATGAAAACGAGAGACTTATGACAAATTTAGTTTAAAGCTTAGAGAATCATGCAAGTACCGACACCTTTGTTTGGTTAAGTTATAGATCGTGAATGATTGAATGTTTTTGTTTTATGAAATCTGTCGATGTATTATTGTTTTATCAACATGCTATTTGTATCAGCAGATGCATTTAATTAAATCGGTTTGAATTTTTTTTAGTATAAAAAATGCCGTTCATTCATTTCGTTCATTTTTCGTGCCTACACTACGAATTTCTACCTATTATTTTTGTCATTCATTCGTCATTCCACGCCTTTTCTTTTAATTAAATTTTATACCAGAATACTAACTATTAGAACTAATTATAAGAACTTAAAAATACTTGTGTATGATAGGAAGCACCATGTTTCAGCAGATTGAAGTAGTGGCAGATCGGTTTTTGCATGGGAAAATTACATGATTTTCCATTTTTTTGGGAGCTCTGACTCGCACTGCGGAGTGATCCAAAATGGTAGGGGTCGCGTGTGAACTATTTTTACATAACGCATATCGCCATATAGCCACGTACTTTGGCGCCCGCCCATGCCATTTCCATTGGTATATGCTCTACTATACTACTATACATACAAGACTATACCTATAAGACTAACTACTAAGTACTCAAAATGTCCCCACTAAGGAAAACCGTTTTTTCACTATCTCAGAAGAGAAATAAGAATATAAAAACCGGCCAAGTGCGGACTCGCGCACCGAGGGTTCCGTTCATACCTGTAGGTACATTTTAATAATTTAAAAAAAAAAAATTTTTATTATATGATGTAACTAAAATTTTACGGTTTTCACAATTTTTCCTTTATCTGTCCTATAAGACGTTACTTCGTACCAAATTGCAAGATTCTAAGTTCACGGGAAGTAGTAGTAGAGTAGTAGTAAGTTAAGAAGTAGTTAGGTTTTGATTGTCGTGCTAGTTTCGAAAATTTGCGGCATAAACGGCTATATTTTTTGATTGCTTCGGCTTAGAAGTTTGATTTTTTTACAGCTCCAAGGGACAGTAGACCTGAGTATTAAATATGAATTTCAGTTTGATACCTCCACGCGTTCCTGTGAAAAACGGTCTTGACAGACGAACGGACGGACGAACAACAAGGTGATCCTATAAGGGTTCCGTTTTTTCCTTTTGAGGCACGGAACCCTAAAAATAGTGTAGTCTTATGAAACTATGTAAATATTGAAAATTTTAAAATCATTAATAAGAAAACCTTCCCTGGCTGTGATCCGAACCTGGGCCGCCTAGGCCGACTGAACTACCGATGCTGGTTTGATAAAGTCTAATATAATAACAATCAAATATGTAATGCGACATGCTTAATATCGACAAAAAAAATATAATAAAAGTTTTACTTTAACATTTAAATTATAAAAGGCTTATTTACACCTTCATCTATAAATAAGAGACCTTAGTATGTGCGAATTTTTGACGGGATTTCATCGAGTGCGGTTGCTTTCTTATTTTAATTATTCTTAAATTCTTTCAAAGTGGATATTGTGAAATAAAATTGGTGTGATTTTGTAAAACAGTCGTCTGATGAATTAGTGAAATCCTTAAAATATACGCTATTCCCGTCAAGTGGATGTGAGAACTTTATTGTAGTGTTGACTACCTCACACAAACTTATCAAAACAGTCAATTCGATAAACTTTGTGCCAAACCCTCCAAGGAACTTTAAAATGCGTCACACCGACATTCTAATATAAAAAAAGAAGATTAATATGATTAAAAATCAGGTTGTATGGGGATTTTTTCCTTTGCGTTCCTTAAGATGGGAGAATTTAAACAAAAAAAAGATTATGTGCAGCTTCCCTATTCGCCAGCTGTCAGCACGCTGTCAGCTGTCACTAAATATGTACACATCGGCACCGGTGTTTATTTATTTCATTTTGATAATGTTTTCGCAGTAGGAGATTTATTTCTTATAGAATTTATATTATTTCTGTAAAATTTCTTGTATGGAGAGAGTAAAATTAGTATTTGTTGAGTTTGGAGCAGGTGAGAAAATAATAGTTACATTATCAGTGGAACATGCCCCCTACAAATAAATTTTAGGCACTTGGTATAGATATGTATGAAATGGATAGATAAGACAATATTACTATCACAAAGGAAGCAAGAAAAGGAGTTTATAGTTAAAATAATAAAAATAAAAATGTATGACCACACTTGCTTGGTTCCACTGTAACAATGAAATAGTCTTTTTAAATTATAGATGATTATTCTCTAGTTTAATTACCTGTACCTTGGCAAATTTACAACTGCAACAGTTGCTAAAAGGACTAGCAGAGTCCATACAAAATGTGTTTCGAGTTAAGCTAATTTACTGCTCATTCAAAGTCTCTAGTGGTATTTAATATACATACTAATTGACTAAAATTAGGATTTAAACACATTGGCACCTTTGTTTATTTTCACTGTCTTGATTTTATTAGTAGCAATATTATAATATTGATTTACAAATTAAATATATTGATTTCAGTGTCCATGCAAAAAAATGTTCAAAATAGAATCATATGTTACACCAATTCTATTGAGCTATGTTGATAAATATGTTCGGGATTTTAAGCCAGCAGATGCTCAAGTAAGTGTTTTTTGTTTTTGCAAATATCATTGTTTTATACTTAGTACATTCTGGCCGACCTAATTGATATAAGACATAGAGAAACAAAGTAGCAATCTAAAAATAGAGTAAAACCCACAAATAAATAAATAAATAAAGTATTGTGCATTAACCCGTTAAAACTAGTTAAACCCGTTTAAGACAATTTCACAGGGACTCAACAATTGTGGGATAGGGAAATTTCGAATGTAGGTAAATGTAGAATATTTAAGAATTATGTACGTTATAAAAATGTTGTATTTTTATTACGTTTTTAAATTAATCACTTATATTAGTTTGACAAAAAGATTTTGAGACATTCGCAATTACAAGATTTTCAACATAATTTAACTTTTGCAGTGCGTCTTCGCTTTGATTCAAAGAAGTTACATAACGTCTTAAATCATTAACAGACTGCTGATAATAAATTTACGGTTTTCGCAATTTTTCTTTTATCTGTACTGTAAGACATTTCTTAGTACCAAATTTCAAGATTCTAAGTTCACAGGAAGTACCCTGTAGGTTTTGATTCCTGTGCGAGTTTCGAAAATTTGGGTAAATTTGCGGCATAAACGGCTTTATCTTTTGATTGCTTTGGTTTAGAAGTTTGATATTTTCACAGCTCCAAGGGACAGTAGACATGAGTATTAGATATGAATTTCAGTTTGATACCTCCATCAGCGTTCTTGAGAAAAACAGTCTTGACAGACGGACGGACTGATGGTTAACAAAGTGATCCCATAAGGGTTTTCCTTTTGAGGTACGGCCCCTAAAAAAAAGCTAGTTGCCCAGTAAATTTGAATGAAAAGCACTTAATTGATACATTGAGCGACCTTTTCAACAAAACAAAAAAAAAAAAAACCAAACTTGTTGTGGTTATATTCTTTGGGGCGAGGCAATAAAACGGCTTGTATCACAATACTGTAGTTTCATTAATTAACTTTATTTTTAGGATTAAACTATGTATCATTTTCACAATGTACGCATTTTTTTTTCACAATGTATACTAATTATGTTCTTATAAAGTTAGACAAAGGTATGTAGTGCCATACTGCCTTATATTATATTATTATTATATACAACAAAACTTAACTCAACTTACAACTCTATGTGATAGTGGGCACTGCATTTGGGCTTTAGGATTTTATAAATACTTCAATACAACGTCTGTTCATCGACTAGTTCTACATAAATAAACATCTGTTGTGTGATTTTGTTTCTCTATGGTTTTGTTAGTGACCTTTTTTGCTACAAAGTATAAGTTTGAATGGTTGAAGTGAGAGGAACTTATATTTTTACTTTTAGGTTTCACTATGGGGTGGCGGTGTGGCGCTACATAATCTGGTCCTGAAGGCTGATGTGTTGCAACAAGAAGTGTCACTGCCGTTCACACTTGTTTCTGGTCGCATCCATGAGCTACTTATTCAGGTGCCATGGACCAAAATAATGTCAGAGCCCATTGTTATCACCATAGATACAATAGGTAAGTAAGTTTGAAATTCAAGAGCTTATATAGATGTATTATAGGGTTTCACACTTATATTATAAAGGCGAAAGTTTGTGAGTGCGTATGTTTGTTACTTCTTCAATAAACAATGAAATGATAGTTAAAAAATAATAATAACTTTGTTTTTATTCTTTAGAGTGTGTTCTTAACCTGAATCCGCCAGCACCTCAAGATGATAATTTACCACCAGAACCACCAAGGTATGTCTATCTTTGAAAATCAAAAATCTGTATATTTAAAGTAGTTAACAAAAGCACAGATTAAATAATACTATCATCATCACGGCTTATTAATGACCCGCTGCTGGGACACGGGCCTTCCCTATGGATGGAATTGGGAGATTGGGCCATGATCCACCACATAGGCCCAGTGTGGATTAGTGGCTGCTAACGACTGTAGATGCAGTCAGGCTAGTGCCTTCAGAAGCATGGTGGAGCTTAAGATAATCATTTTTGATCACCCATTCAATGACCAAACAGTGCAAAAGTGGTTTACCTTCCACAAGTGCAGGCCGAATGCGCTAATCAGCAGCTCCATTAAGCTCCTCCAGTTAGCACCTGCACCACCTAAACTGGAAAGATATATTTTGGACAAGTACAAATTGAGGAGCTGGAAAACAAAACAGTATAATTACGCATCTGGTCAAAATATTTTTCTTTTTTTAAGGTCCGTGGGTTTTTGGCCTGCTGAATTTTAATCTCAACTCATTTTCAATAAAAACCGCCTAAAGCAGTGTTAAATTTATTCAGTTTGTTACTGCTCCTGTAAAATTTAATTTTATATTTATGTAACTAGCTGACCCAGCGAACTTCGTACCGCCATAAAAATAAGGGCAGGTGGTAGAAGAGAAAATTTAGGGTTGTATGTATTTTTTAATACCACTTTATAAAAATAAAAAAAATGTCCAAAAAAAAGTTTAAGGGGTGTGTAACATAGTGTTCTATCAATTTCCTGGGATAACATTCGCATTGTAGGTTTCAGAACACGTTACAGGTGGACAACCATAATCACTTAAGGATATGAAAAATAGATAGTAGCCGATTCTCAGACCCACGGAATATGCATATAAAATTTCATAAAAATTGGTCAGGCCGTTTCGGAGGAGTATGGTAACTAACATTGTGACACGAGAATTTTATATATAAGATTACACCGTCTTGTTCGCCAACTCCTCAATTAATAATAAATGTTATCAAGTCAAGTCAAAATATCTTTATTCCAATTGGATGCAAAATACAACTCTTTTGAATCGTCCATATTTTTTTACCTACCACCAGTTAAGGACCTTTTTTTTTTGCTGTGGCGAAAAATGGGGAAGAAAACTTCACAGCGTTAAGTAATTATGTAACTATATTTACAAAAATAAAAATATATTGTTACGGTGTCAATACAAAATCATTTCATCTTTATCATAATTATAGAAAAAGCCTGCCGGAACGTTTGGAACAGTTCAAACCCAAGCATTTTTGTCTGAAATATAATCAGACACCTTATAATAGGCTTTATTAATAAGAACTTTTTTTATGGTACTTTTAAATTTATTGACGCTTAATTTTTGGATATTGCTAGGGACTTTATTGTGGAAGCGTACACAAAGACCTTTAAATGAATTATTGATTTTGTGACGCCTTGTAATTGGTACAGCTAATTTATTTTTATTTCTAGTATTAAACGAGTGCTTATTAGAGGAAATAATGTAATATTTTTTCTAACATACATTAAATTTTCATAAATGTACTGAGAAGCAACAGTCATTATATCGATTTCTTTAAATTTTAGTCTTAAGATTGTAAATTGATCGAACAGCCCGCTTCTGCAGCACAAAAATAGTTTGAATGTCGGCAGCATTTCCCCACAGCAAAATACCGTACGACATCACGCTATGAATATAACTAAAATAAACTAATCGAGCAGTATCTACGTCAGTTAATTGGCGTATCTTCATTACTGCGTAGGCTTCAGAGCTCAGTTTCTTCGACAATTTCTCAATATGTGGGCCCCACTCAAGCTTCGAATCTAGTGTAATGCCTATGAACACTGTAGTGTCCACAAGGTTCATATTGTTATCTTTGATTGTTACACTGGTTTGTGTCTGCTTTACATTGGGTAATAAAAAATTTGAACATTTAGTTTTACCTTCATTAAGAAGTAAATTATTAGCATTAAACCAGTGGACTACTTTAGAAATGGCATTTTTCACGTCGTCAATAATTGGTTGCTTTCTTTTAATTTTAAAATGCTACCACCATCAACAATGTTATGCTACTACCATCAGTGAGGAGATCGATGCCGCGGGTGGTTAGCACGTTCGGCTGCGATCGTTGAATTCAAGCAACTTTCGCAGTGGTCGGTCATTGGATGGATGACCAAAAATCTTCTATCTCGAGTTCCTCCGTACTTCGGAAGGCACTTTCAGCCGTTGGTCCTGGCTGCATCTGCAGTCGTTAGCACCTGCCAATCCGCACTGGGCCCGCCTGGTGGGTCATGGCTTGTGCCTCAGCAGTGGGGACTTTGATAGGCTGATGATGATGATGCTACCACCAGAAGGACACAAGTGGTGGAGGCTCCTCCGGGCTACATGCAGGCGCTGGTGCGTCGCATCGTCAGCAATATTGCCCTGCGAGTTCACCACCTGATCGTGAAATACGTGCAAGACGATATAGTGCTGTCTCTCAACGTAAAGCACTTGGCTGTAGACAGTGCAGGCCCTTCGTGGGAGCCGTCTTTTGCTGGTGAGTAAAGTAAATATAGTAACAGTCTAGGCTAGGACTTCCACTTGGACTGAGTTTCTTGCCGGTTCTTCTCAGTACAAGGTCTCTGGCCGTAGTTTTGCGAACCGATGGCGTGGCTTCTCGACCTTCATAAGTGTACTTGGATAATATTATTTTAGCATTGGGCGTTTCAATGTGCAATACTATTACAAACATAAGGTAAATGTATTGTATTGTGTGTTTTTATTTATTTTTCAACAAAGTTTCTACAGCGAATTTTATGCATGTAAATACAATAAAATATAAATCTTTAGGCCACTTACAGAAACTTATTATGTACACATTAGATACTAACGGCATTACTATATATAAATATAACATTTAATTTTAAAAATAGTATAAAAATTTTTCGGTGCAATAACCGAATATTTCAACGATATTAAATACCCTAGATACACCACATGCGCTCAAAATGTGTCCCAATCAAGAAGTGCTTGAACTCCACTCAAGCACTTCTTGGTTCACAGTCACGCGCGGACCGTTGTAAAGTGAACTTGCCGCTGAGCTCCGTGAAAAAATGCGAAGAAAAATACTTATGATATGTAAAGTGTAATTTTTTCGAAAGGTATTTAATCATGTTTCTTAATTTAACACATTCGAAGCAAATTTTGTTCTAATAAAAAAGTTCTTAATATAAACTGATTTAACTCTTTGACGAACGTGTTTTAATTAAGACCTTATACAGTATGCATTAAATGTGACTTTCAATGTTTGAATAATGCCTTATATTGTTTTTGACTAACCGATCATCTTAGGGAGCGCCGTGGATCGTCCAATGTACCTTTTGGACAGGTCTCGGGCACGATTTTGTTCGTGTTGGTGTATCTAGGGTATTTAATATCGTTGGAATATTTATATTTTGCATATTTGCAATCATTGACACCGCCACGGCGCCTGGCCTAATTTAGGTCATTACCCGCGGTGCATAGCGAAAATATAAATTAGTGTAGATTTTGACGCCTATACGGATGCACTCATTTACATAATAACATTATTGTAGTATTTTTAAGGACATTTGTGAACAAGTAATAAACACGAAATTTTCGGTAACAATTTATTCATTTCAACATCCACTAAGCTCAGGCACTAACATATGGTCCTTCGAGCCGGATCTGGCGTGGTTATCGTGCTCAGGGAGCCAGGAAGATATAGTTATATGTAGTATAATTTACGAACATAAAATTAATGAAATTTTATAACAAGTCAACAACAAGGTAGTTCTGACGACCGTTTCTAATGTCCATTGTCTGATAAGATTAATCCCAGTACTACAGCCCCCACCACTAGGTATCTACATTTTTTGTCAACTGTCTATAATGTTGTATGACAAACATCTGTATGTGGAAGGGGCAAGTGGGTGTTCGTTTAGTGATGAGATTAGGGTTTACAAATCCTCTAAATAATACTGGGTTTACACTGTCTAGGTTAAATAAAGATAGACGCTCAAAATGAGTTATGATTGCTCAGATGCCAACGGATTAAATCGGAACGCGGTGAATCTGTTAAGGGTTTTGAACACGACTGAACAGCTCGACGTCTAGATCACTAATGTCCCGAAGGTGTCGTAGTGTAGCGTCACCGGGTTTGTGGATGGCGAGATCCTAAGGGGCCTCAAGCCGAGAATTTTCGAATGCCTCTAGAGGTATTCCAGGTGGATGACATCTCCCCACGGGAAGAGTCCTCTCCGTCTGGAGTCTCTAGACCACTCGAACCTGAGAGGATCGGATTAACTAGAGGGCGTCTCTAAGACTCGGACCTCGGCTCTAGTTAGCCGTTGTCGTGAGGGGTCACGAAGGCTGACATTTCACTCGTTTTTTACAATCACATTGACAGATGTCAAACGTCAGATAACGTTGATTAGTAACTAGTGTTGACAACCCATTCGCCGAATACCCAATACCAATACCAAAGTCGATACCGGCTTGACGTTCCGTCCACAAATCCACGAAATGTATTTATCGGGTTCGTTGCCAGATATCGACCCGGTGGAGCCAGTACTCCGCCGGTTGGTACGTTTGGACGACCTGACGCTGTGCCTCGACCGCGCCGACTCGGACGGCAAGATCCGCTTCTACCAGGAGCCGCTGCTGTACCGCTGTCAGCTGGATCTCAGGTATCTACTTTAACACAAACACTTGATACTAATCTGATTAGTTTTAAAACACCTTTCGTTTATCATTTATTTATTTTAATCTCACATACTAGATGTGTAGCCTATGATAATTTACTTAATTTTATTAAGTACATTAATGTGAACTCATTGTAAGAAATTGTTGCCTGCACTGTGACGCATAATTCTGTGACGCCAGTCACCAAACACAGGTAGATTAAACTTAGTTCTAATAAATAAATGTCATAAATTACAGAATTAATCCTACCCAAGTTAGGTTATTTTTATATAGACATAAAAGCATAAAAACTGATGGAGATGTTTGTGTGATGAATATGAGCATTTGCACTCCAGGCATGGATGTTTAATATGTATTTCTATATAAATATACGTACATATACATATATACAGATTATGTATTCTATCCGTTATCCTAGTATCCCACATCACAAGCCTACAGTGCTTACATAAGGGCTAGGCTAATGAGGGCTACCGTTTTCTGCCTCACCAGATGGCGCCACTGTTGAGTGAGGTCCTAAATTGTAACTTTTAAAGTTTATTAATACGCACATGAAATCAAAGGTTACATTTAGATCGTATTTTGACACAAAAGAACCATATCCTAAACAGAATAGGCTATGCCACAGTGACGCGCAGTTCCGTTTTATTCGGAAAAAATGGGTACATAATCATATTTCTAAGCTCAAATTTTTAATAAGTGACATTCATTGCCACATAACTCATATTTGCCATAATTAAGCCGAATTGTTACCAATTATTCACAACATTATTTTAATTAGAAATAAACCCGCGTACTCAACCAACAAGCAATAACATTTGACATTTCGGAGACCTCACGCTACACTAGCGCCTCTAGCGGCGGATTCATATGCGATAGCCCTCATTGGTATGTGTTTAATATCAATACTAATTTTCCACCTGTAGGGTCCTAACTCGGCTGGTATCGGCGAATACGCGTCGCGCGACCGGTCTCTCCGTTCAACTGCGGTCTTCGAAGCTCGCGTGGGGCGTGACCAACGACCAGTTGGTGCTTTTACTGCGCCTACTCAACGAGAGCCCCAGGGCGGAAGCGAAGCCCCCTCCCCCGGCGCCGAAGATGGCTGCGCAGGCTATGCCGATGCGTAAGTATTAAGGGAAATGTTAAAGGTTAACAGGAGCTCTACTCTCTTTCTCCGAAACGAAATTTCGGCAACGAACGAATTTTAAACGAAATTTTGCCAGTGACTCTACTCTATTTCATCTTCGAACACGCACATAAAGTTCGGAATCACAGACAATTATCGTGAACGAATGGAATGAGTTATGTTTGTGATTTCTTTTTGTCTACACTTTTTAGATAACGTTTTTTACTTCAAAACAATATTACTTTATGACAACATTTTTGATTACATTAAAACAACCTCTTTTGACAGTGTTAGCCGATTAGTTAATTTGTAGAGTTGATGCAAACGAATGTATGTCAACCTAAATTTGTCGTGTAACACTTTGAAGTATTGGCAATACAACAATAAACAAATACTAGATTTATTTGTAAATTTTTCATACTAAAAAATGTTCCTCACGCTAAGCAGCCTTAATTAAAAATTCTGTAGTTGTAATTTTAGGTTTAATTTAAACAAAAATCCCAAAACGAAAATGAAAAGGTAACACTTTTCATTTCGTCAAATTGAGGTTAAAATTTCGAACAATTATCTGTCAAATTCAACTTTTAATTCAAAATTTTTGTAAATTAGAGTAAGCTTAGAGAATTTAAATGTCAAACTGTTTTCGGACGAACAGGAAATGAAACGAAATGAAATAGAAACAGAGTAAGGAATGTGTGCAATATTGATTGAAATTTCGTTTTTCGTTGAAATAGAGTAGGCCTCCCGAACTTTGTAGGAGTTATTGTACAACTAAAACTTGTCTGTAAAGCCGGTTAACGGATAGTAGTTTTACGTGATAACGTCATAAAGAAACTTTGATGAAAAATTATAGTGCCTCTCTATCGCTTGTTCCGTGCTCTTGCTTGCACGCTCAGGTTCAGGCGGAACGTGACACTTTTTCGTGCGTTCAGCCGGTGTTCATCGATTTATGTACTTTAAGTCTTATGAGAGCGAGGAACAAGCGATAGAGAGACACGGTCATCACTTCAAAAGTATTTTTCGCCATAGCATAAGTAATAAATAAGTGAGATATTTATGTAGCGGCCTTTGTTAACGAGTAAGTATTAATCCTATTTTAAGTATTTCCCCCTACTTCTAGAAATTATCGGCAGAACGCTTTTCTTTGTCGAGCGAGTAGCAGCTTCAACTCAGTATCAAATCAGGTAAACTTAGATATTTTTAACACTAGCGAAGCGCCGATTAGACGTATCATTGCTCGTTTGTTTTTTGGAGATTTAAATTAATATAATAATATTAACACACATTTATTCCAGACTTTAAATTCATAGACAAGTGTTAATAATCAACATGTGCGTAATTTGTTATTCTGTTATTTATCATAAGGATCTCATTTATAAAAATATATTTAAGAGATTTATTTTTACATTGGACAGTTTAAGTTATGTCTAGATGTGAGGACCTGTAATTGGCTCCTTGTCGCTACTATTCATTTCTAGTATATTAAGATAAGCTGTTGGTCTTCCATGTAACCAAAATAAATAAATAAATAGAGTAATGTGTCAATACCATTTCTTATTCGTAGTAGTTTCAGATGATGACTGTCGTTTCAGACACGTGTCAGAACTCAGCGGAGCCGGCTCGCATGGAGAGTTGGTCCGAATGGGCGTGGTCTTGGCTTCCGGCTTGGGCGGATCGTGAGGGGGCGGAGGAAACTACCGCCCCGCCCGCCCCCATACCCGTCGCGCTGCACGCCTATCTGGACGACGTGGCGCTGGTGCTGAAGGTAAGCCTGGACCTCGGGGCCATTCGCCCAAAGGAAATGCTTTGGAAAACGCTAACGCTTACGATTTTCTTTTGTTGTTGTTGAGACGACCTCCGTGGCCGAGTGGTTTGTACGCCGGGTTTCGTGGTGCCACCGACTCGATAGGTCCCGGGTTCGAACCCCGGTGGGGGCAGATATTTGTGTGATGAATACGAGAATTTGTACTCCAGTCATGGATGTTTAATATGTATTTCTATATAAATATACTTATATATGTACAGTATATGTATTCTATCCGTTACCCTAGCATCCCATAACACAAGCCTTACAGTGCATACTTTGGGGCTCGGCTAATTGGTGTGAATGTTGGAAATATTTATTTATTTATTTGTTATTAATATCAATATTAAAAAAATGAGCGTGAGGTATGTGAAAACCTTCGGCGGTCAGAAATAACTAAATAAAATCGAAAGCGTTAGTGTTTTCCTTAGCATTTCCGTTAGGCGAATGGCCCCCTGGCGGAGGAAACTACCGCCCCGCCCGCCCCCATACCCATCGCGCTGCACGCCTATCTGGACGACGTGGCGCTGGTGCTGAAGGTAAGCCTGGACCTGGGGGCCATTCGCCTAAAGCAGTGTTTCCTAACCTTTAAAATACTGCTACCCCTGTAACCTATTAGGAAAACAGATTTTACCCCGACTTTAAAACGTTATCATCAGTCCAAGAAATACCAATTTTGCCGCAACATCTTCGTCTCCAATAATGTCATCATCAGGAAAAAATCTCGCCCGCTTCCCACACTCAGCACCACGCAGGCTAGTTAGCAAAAAGAAGGGCATGCTCTATTTAGTAGTATTATTATAGATTTGACCAAACAATTAGGTTCTTTGTTACCCCCGAAGTATGGCTGATTTACCCCCGGAGGGGTAATTACCCCCAGGTTCGGAACCCAGGGCCTAAAGGAAATGCATTGGAAAACGCTAACTCTTACAATTTCATTTTGTTATTTCTAGCCGCCTGAGGTTTTCAAATGCCTCGCGCTCTTTTTTTTTCTTTTGCATTGGTAATAGCAATATTAAAAAAAATAAGCGTGAGGTATTTGAAAACCTTCGGTGGTTAGAAATCTATATATATTTAAAACTCAAAGATGACTGACTGACATAGTGATCTATCAACGCACAGCCCAAACCACTGGGTGGATCGGGCTGAAATTTGGCAAACAGGTAGATGTTATGACGTAGGCATCCGCTAAGAAAGGATTTAGATTAATTCTACCCCCAAGGGGATAAAATAGGGAATGAAAGTTTTTATGAAACTTTGACAATTTTAAACCGATCGGGCTGAGACTTTGCATGCAGGTATAAGAAGAATCATAGATGAATGTCATTGTGTATAATACAAGCCTGAGAACAAAAAACTGTAGTCTACACTTCAGCTCTACACCGAAGCGAAGCGAGGGCGGGCCGCTAGTAACAAAATAAAATCGAAAGCGTTAGCGTTTTTCAAAGCATTTCCGTTAGGCGAATGGCCCCCAGGCGGTGCCAACGACCGCCCCACCCGCCGCCATACCCGTCGCACTGCACGCCTATCTGGACGACGTAGCGCTAGTGCTGAAGGTAAGCCTGGACCTGGCGGTGCCAGTTTTGCCCTACACCTGGGATCGGCAACATATTAATCGATATTAAATTGAATTTACCTATAAAATAGCTTTGTTTAGCTAGCGAATAGGTGATTTCAGAATATTATGAACGCTATATTTTAGGCAATTTCCGTTTTTAGAGCGATACATTTCGCATACGCATGCATACGTATATCAGCAACATGCTTGGTATTTTTGGGTCTTTTTTTAATTTTTTGTGTCTAATCCAAATACAAATTGTTTTAACCCGGCGTCAGCACAGTCAAAATATGCATCAACGACAGTAGGGTTGGGTCGAGAGGACCCGTATAAGAAAACGCCATAATTACAAAAGTTAAAATAAATTTGGTTTGTGGTTGTACTATCTGTATAAAACGATTATCGTTACAGGGTTTGAGTAGAAAAAAAACACAACATGATACGAAACTATCTTTTTAATGTCATTTTCATAAAAGTGTCACAAAATATTAACAAAATGAACAACCTCTGTCTTAAAGTAATAAAATTTTAACAAAACAAACTTTTTTCTATAACATAAACTAATTTGTTACATGTTAATCAAATCTTTAGTAAACTAATAATATTATACTATTTGTATCAGTCTCATACGTCAGTCATAGTATCCTTATCATCTGCGCAATCTCGGCAGTACAACATTGCATGCTCACTGCAGATGTATTTGCATATACAGCTCCGAAAAGTATTAGTTTTCTATCTTTTTTGGCAGAACAGTCTTGGCATCTCTTTCTTACATAAAGTATCTTCACAGGTGGCTCCTCATCAGGTACCTACTCCTAAAACTCTCTTATTCTTTTGCGCATAAGTCTTGGCAGGTGAATGACATCTTTACGATTGCGCAAATGCTCACGAACCAGTATAAGGCTTAAGTTTCTTTAGAAATTGGTGTTATGTAATATGTACGCATTTATTCCAGACATATTTGCCAAAAATAACAAAATAAACAATATAAAACAACAATAAAACATTTTTTTAAACGGCGCAAAATTACGACACGAATAGTATGGTTGGGTCATATTTACCTTTTTCGTGTTTGGCCGTGACTATCACTCGCTGCGGCCGCAACACGACAGATTGTCGAATCCCACGTGGAGGGGGGACCATTAGCTCCAGCTACTGAGAAGTTTGGCAAAGTCGCACAAACATTTTAAGAAACACGCTCATTTGAAAACTGCTCGGGTCAAATAGACCCAACTGTGCGAACGCCGGGTTAAGTGTAAATGTTGTAGACAAAAAAGTCAGTTACAGTTACGATGAATCAAATTCCAATTATAATCATTTTGATCCATAAAATGTTAATTAAAGTGAAAAGAAAATCCTTCAAATCTGACATATGAGAGAAAGGAAACAACCGCTGACCCGTTTCTCACAAAAAAAAAACACGTAAGCTATGCGGTAGAATAAAAAAATGTAAGCCTAGTTTTGATCTATTTTTAATTGTTTCAATAAAATCTACAGACTCGTGGTCCGTACCTTTTTGTGTGATGTAACATTATTTTATGTGTATTATATCATGTGTTTTTCCGCGTTTACTTACTCGTAAACGAAAAATCCAAGCTTACCAATTTGCAATAAAATAAAACTAACTTCTTACTCTATACTACAAAATTCTTACTGTATAATGCGATTCAAATAAGAATAGGAAAGCCAATGACCTCCATCTATCAAATGTCGCTTGAAAAGTACGGTTTGCAAAAAAATGTCGGAACTCTTTTTTAGCACTCAGCTGATTCTAGAATAAAAACCAAACATTTTTAAACAAACAATAACAAATGTTGATAATTAATATCAGTTGTTTTTTTTTTCATTTATTGAGCTTTGGCTATAAATGTTTGATAACCTAAATCGTCAACCAAATGTCACTTTATGTTGCGTTCAGAAACTCGATTTCAAACTTTCGTTTACATAAAGGATACATGTTCGTATGTGACCTAGTAATAGTGCATGATTATTCATAACTACTCCGGCGGTAATGCAGAGATGAGCCGAATAGAAGAGCTAGATTCTGATTAATGTATGTCTTAATAAATAAATATTATTAAAAATCGGTGATTTTTTTTCTCAATCTTAGTAAATAAATGTTATTAAATAAAAACTTTCTTTTGCTCACTCTACCTATTTGGTTTAATTGACAGCTATGACGTCAAAATATGGCGCCCAGTCGGTCCTATTCTTAGTTGAATCGCATTATACCGTCGCTTTACTTGTAATGCCTCGTTTTGTTCAAGATGATGGAAGTGGAAGGTGGAACTCGTAAACGCGCACGCGCATTGCTCGAAGTGAGCGCATCGCACGCGGCGATAAAGGTGACAGCGCGCGCGCCCACTATGATGCGCGCGCGCCTGGGGCTGAGGAACATCACACTAGCCGCCCGGGGCAAGTGTGTCTGCGGTCACAACGCGGTGCGTATACTCTACTGTCGAGCCGAAATTTGGTGTCAATCGAAGAAATCAGAAATCATCATCATCATCATCATCAGCCTATTAATGTCCCCACTGCTGGGGCACAGGCCTTCCCTATGGACGGAATAGGGAGATTAGGCCATTACCCACCACGCGGGCCCAGTGCGGATTGGAAAAAAAATATATAAAATATATCAGAAATCAATATATCTTTATTCAAATTGAATGTATAGTACAACACTTTTGAATCGTCCAAACATTTTTTTTCCCTACCACTCGTTATAGGACATATTTTATAGCTGCGGAGAAAAACGAGCGAAAAAAACTCCACAACATTAAAAGCATAATGTAACAACATTTAAAAATCATTATGTTGTTACAACGTCAATTCTAATCATGATTTATTTAATATAGAAAACCTGTTGGAATGATTGGAACAGTTCAAACCCAAGCATTTTTGTCTGTAATATAATCAGACACTGTAATAAGCTTTTTTAACAAGTAAAATGCAAGTTTTACCTAGTGAAATAATGCAACAATAAATAACTACGTAATAATACGAAATAATAAAATATAGATAAGGACACTAGGATCACATATCATCATTAAGTATCGTATAGTTTCGAAATTTCGACATAAAATAAAATGAACCATAAAAAAGTCATTCAAGTGTTGCCGTGTTTACAAAAAACAATTTCCTTGTGTTTGTGTGATGTTTTAATGTGGAGTTATTAGTTGTGTTTTTTTTATGTAGGTAACCCATTTCATTATTCAATGTTTATCGTTTTATCGACCTTGTTTTTTTTTAATTGCTGTTTTGTAAATATTCCACGTATTTTATATACGTGGAAATGGCTTAATATACACACTTATTTTTTCTGAAGAAGAAACCTATGCGTAATCGTATAAGTACATAATTAGCGCGGTATCTAGTCGACCGAAGCGAGACCAATCACTTATCTATGGGTCGAGATTACTTTCCCAGACAGGCGGTTCAATTGAGTGTGTATGCTGTTGGTCGTAGATGACCTTCACAGTGTACTAAAGGGACCTCAAGCCGAGAATTGAGGAGTGCCTCTAGAGGTATTCCAGGAGGATGGTATCCGCCACGGGGAGTCTCCTCTCCGTTTGAAATGAAATGAAATGAAAATGAAACGAAAATGAAATGAAATGAAATTTATTTGCATTAATTGTGGTTACAATTATGTTTTTAGGTCAGATCGCACAATTAGCAGTTTCCAGCATGCAAAAATTAATTGAAATATAGATTTATTATATTTATTATGTTGTAATTATGTTATGACTTTTTTGTACTTAGAGCATATCTCTAAGTCTATGTAAAATACTTATTTGCAAAATAAAAAATCTAGTACATTGATAAAATAAAATGTCAAAAGAAAATCACATAACGTCACATCTCATCTTCAGTAGGTACAATATACGTTAATTTCATGTAAGTCAACAACTTCATTTTACGATTTGAATTGATTTAAAAACAAAAAAAATATATAAATAACAGATACAATAATATGTCAAAAAAAAAATATTAAGTAGGCACTATACCACGCATATTAATTTCTTATAAGGCAACAATTTCATTTTCTTTATTTAAATTGACTCACATTTATTCACTTATAATTATTGTATTAAAATAAATAATAATTAATTATGACTCATAAAATATTAGCCAATACATAAAAACATTTGTTGACAAGCCAGGCATGTAATTTACGTTTAAACAAGTTAAATGTTATTTTTTTTATGATATGAGGCAAATGATTATAGATTTTTACACACATTAAAGTATGAGTTTTTGGAGCAAATAACCGTTTGACTATCAGGCAACAACAGTCGATCAGGATATCTCGCATTAAATAAGCAATTTTCTTGTCGCTGTTTAAATAAATGTATATTGCTTTTAACAAAAATGCAAACTTCATATAAATAGATGCCGCAAAGAGTTAATAAGCCAAGTTTTTTAAAAAGAAGTTTACAGCTGGTAAGTGGTGGTACATTACAGATTCCTCTTATACACTGCTTCTGCGCTAAAAATAACCTATTCACCATTGTTGAATTACCCCATAGCAAAATTCCATACCTTAAATTTGATGCAATATATCCATGATATGCTTTTAGTGTTGTCTGTATGTTGCTGATTTTACTTAAACGCCATGGAACCTATACGAAACGGTTTAGTTTCGTACATAATTGTTCTATATGTGGTTTCCATGTGCAACAGTTGTCTAATGTAATGCCTAAGAAAGTTGTTTCATTTGTTTCATCAATTGTTATATTATTGAATGTCAGATTAAGCATCTGCTTTTTACCACCTTGATTATGAAATTGTAAATATTTAGTTTTTGACATGTTAACTTTCAAATTATTACAATGGAGCCATTTTATTATGTCAGCAATCGCAGAATTGATTTCATTATTATATGTCAATCTGTCCCTGCATGGTACAACCAAAGCAATGTCATCATCGAAAAGTGAACACTGATGTCTCGTGAGGCAAGTCATTTATATACAGTAGAAATAGTAAGGGACCCGGAATGCTTCCCTGTGGAACCCCAAGTTTTTTTATCTTTAGCCGCGACTTATAAGTTACTTCCTCTAAGACCACTCGAACCTGAAGGGATCGGCTGAACTAGAGGACGTGCCTGAGACTCGGACCTCACTGTGCCCTACATCTCTTAAATGTTGCCTTTCACATGACACCAGCAACAGTACCCCTAGCACGAACCAATATCGAATTCGTATCGTTTGCGAGTCCGAAATGTCATTGTCAAATGTGTATTGATTTTTAGTTCTCGTTACGTATTTTTTTGCCGCTGCTGATCAAGTTTCCATACAAAATTTGACATTGACATTTCGGTTTGCAAACTATTCGAATTCGATAATGGTTCGTGCTAAGGGTACTGTCGCTGGTGTCATGTGAACAGGCAACATTTAAGAGATGTAGGGCACAGTGAGGTTCGAGTCTCAGAGACGTCCTCTAGTTGAGCCGATCCCTTCAGGTTCGAATGGTCTTAGAGGCTTCAGACGGAGAGGACACTCTCCCCGTGGGGGGATGCCATCCGCCTGGAATACCTCTAGAGGCTCTCCTCAATTCTCGGCTTGAGGTCCCTTTAGTACACTGTAAAGGTCATCTACGACCAACAGCATACGCACTGAATTGGACCGCCTGTCTGAGAAAGTAATCTCCATCCATAGATAAATGATTGGTCTCGCTTCGGTCGACTAGATACCGCGCTAATTGCGTAATTATACGATTTAGGCATAGGTTTCTTCTTCAGAAAAATTAAGTGTGTATATTAGGCCATTTTTTTTAAATATTTTTTTAATAACGTGGAGTATTTACAAAACAGCAATTATTAAATAAAAACAAGGTCGATAAAAAGATAAACATTGAATAATGAAATGGGTTACCTACATAAAAACACACAACCAATAAATCCACATTAAAAATAACACAAACACAGGGAATTTGTTTTTTGTAAACACCGCAACACTTGAATGACTTTTATGGTTCATTTTATTTTATGTTGAAATTTCGAAACTATACGATACTTAATGATGATATGTGATCCCAGTGCCCTTATCTATATTGTATTATTTCGTATTAATACGTAGTTATTTATTGTTGCATTATTTCACTAGGTAAAACTTGCATTTTACTTCGATTAACACCAAATTTTGATAAAACTTTTAGTACGTACACCTCATACAAAGTGTCAGTGTGACTCCCTCGATAAAATCTCGGGTACGCCGACTTTGGTGTGTAGTATTTGTTGTCGTATTTGATAATTACGCCGGCGGTATGAAGTTAACCGTGGGGTGACCAATCATTTATCTATGCCTGCTTACAGAAGACCACACTAAAATTACACTATCCTTTGGTAGTGGTGTTATTCTGCTGGTGGTTAGGGTTACAGACCTCCGCGTGCGACTTCTGTAATTAAAACTCTCCACATCTCTTATCTATTAGACAAGTCCGTCTGTCTGTGGTGCTGTTTCAGCGGCCAAACCGTAAGAGATAGATAAAGAGAATATTTAAGTTATAAGTTAAGAATAGTCTGATAAGACTACAAACCGGATTTGAGTAACGCAGCACTTCCGGTTTTCGAGAAATCACGAATTTCAAACGAAACCACACAAAATCTCCGAAGTTCTCAATTAATTAAATACATTTTTTTTTAAATCAGGTTTTGGTGAACATTTGGTTCACTGGTTTGCTAGTTGTATTCTAAATGAGAATTCATAAAATACTATCCACTTTAATTTAACTCTTAATGGCCTTAGCTTCATGATAATTAACCTTATGTTATTATGCTTTACCATATTTCCATTTTATTAAGCCAATTGTTAATTGTTTTGATACAGACGGTGAAGAGTAATCTCGCCGCTATCTTACTGGATGTAACAGGATCATTCATATTTAACTACCTTTATTAAATTAAAAAACAAAATATTTAATTTTTATATTTAATGAAAATAAATGTTCTGTCATGTCATCATTTTCTAGAAAAAGCGTAATATTAATTTATCTTTATGCCATAGTGCGTGGGGATTGAGTTCAGGTCGGCAAGATGAGGACGGCTGAAGCGGCACTCTTTCTACCGCATCATCTATCTTCGCGACCTGACTCTACGTACACTTAACATCAGGTGGGGTGGGGTAATTTGCTGAGCCTTGTATGTAAAAAAATACGTCCTGTACTTGTCGTGAAATAAACAATCTCATAATTCAACCATCGACACTGAGCAGCTCGATAGCAAAAGTGGTTAGCGCGTTCGGTCTGAATTTGTGGAATGTGTGCAACTTTCGCAATGGCCGGTTAGAGGATGGGTGACCAAAAATTTGTTATCTCGGGGTCCACTGTGCTTCGGAAGGCTCGTTTGCTTCTCGGTGCTGTTTGACTAGGAAGACACGAATGATAAAATTTATGTACCTTTAAATTGTTTCAATTAGTGAATGCATTTATCTATAATTTGTTTTTTTTTTATCTTTATTTATTTAGGAGATTTTTATTCTCATAAGAATATGTCAGCTCCTAACCTTAATTAATCTCATTATCATCTCAGCCGTACGAGGCCTACTGCTGACCATATGCCTTCCCCAAGGAGAAATCTATTTCTATAATATTGCGCAATGGGAGCGACAATTCACAGGTGCAGTAATGCATTAACTAAAACTTCGCTGCATTCGATGTTGGGTTTTCAAATATACTAAAAATGCTCCTTAGTTTTGAGTCCAAATTTTAAATAAATGTATGATTCAAATACTGATATCTCTCTATTGTTATAGCCATACTCTAAAATGTCAAATCAATTTAATTGTTGCCGCATCAAGTCATTCACATTTTATTGTTACCTCGAAAAGTAACAGCATTAACTTCTGTTATAAATATTATTTCGTTCTAACAATAACATTATTATTCAGTCCACACAAGAGCCCACTGTATACCTGAGTAAGTGCGAAGCTGATTCAGAAGAGAACCCATGGACGTGGCCCGAGGAGGATCCGACCGATGCCAGAATAGAACTGGCTCAAGTCGCCGACGAGACATTGAGAGACACCGCCACACCTACAACCGTGAGTTGACAAGCTAAATTCACCTCTATACCTAGCTCTTTAGATAACTTTTGTCTTAACACGTACAATTCGTGGCCCGAGAAAGAGCCGACCGATGCCAGAATGGAACTGGCTCAAGTCGCCGACGAGACATTGAGAGACACCGCCACACCTGCAACCGTGAGTTGACAAGCTAAATTCACCTCTATACCTAGTTCGTTAGATAACATTTGCCTTAACACATACAATTCGTGGCCCGAGGAAGACCCGACCGATGCCAGAATAGAACTGGCTCAAGTCACCGACGAGACATTGAGAGACACAGCCACACCTACAACCGTAAGTTGACAAGCTGAATTCACCTCTATACCTAGCTCGTTAGACAACATTTGCCTTAATACATACAATTCATGGCCCGAGGAAGATCCGACCGATGCCAGAATAGAACTGGCTCAATTCGCCGACGAGACATTGAGAGACACCGCCACACCTACAACCGTGAGTTGACAAGCTAAATTCACCTCTATACCTAGCTCGTTAGACAACATTTGCTTTAACACATACAATTGGTGGCCCGAGGAAGACCCGACCGATGCCAGAATAGAACTGGCTCAAGTCGCCGACGAGACATTGAGAGACACCGCCACACCTACAACCGTGAGTTGACAAGCTAAATTCACCTCTATACCTAGTTCGTTAGATAACATTTGCCTTAACACATACAATTGGTGGCCCGAGGAAGACCCGACCGATGCCAGAATAGAACTGGCTCAAGTCGCCGACGAGACATTGAGAGACACAGCCACACCTACAACCGTAAGTTGACAAGCTGAATTCACCTCTATACCTAACTGGTTAGATAAATTTTGCCTTAACACATACAATTCTTGACATCACAACGCCTAAATCCGTGAATTGACAAGCAAATTCACCCCTATGACTAGGTTCTGTGGTTATGAGCACAGAAATGCCTAACACGTCAATAGACTAAGAAGCAGATTGCCTACCATGAATGCCTAGACATTGTAATTGCCTAAATGTTATTTCGTCTACAAATAGAAATGCCTAAAATGCACTGCATGTCTTTTTCATGCCTAATGCGCAAAATTGTGTGGAAACTCTTGTTGTAAAGGGTTGTTGTAATTCGATACTAGCACCTGAAAAACATAAGATAATCTATTTTGTCCTTAAGCGTAGTTTTTACTTTAAAAAAATATTTAAGGAGTTTTTTTCAACGTTTTTTTATTTTTATCGAACAGAAGATTTGTTTTTAGTTCTAAGAATACAGTTTCTTTTATTATTTATAAACATTTAAAGATTTTAAATTGACGGTTGTCAGCAAACATTATAGTCACGATACACTGTAGGCCAGGGGTGCTCAAACTTGAACTGCTGGCGATCTACCTCAAAATTTTTAGACTACTTACGATCGACTCTGAGAGGCTGCAAGTATGTGTGATGCAGGGTTGTTGTACATACACGATACACCCCACCTACCTACCTACCTAGGTAGGGTGTACCGTAGCATCTCTTATCTATTAGACTAGTCCGTCTGTCTGTGGTGCTGTTTCAGCGGCCAAACCGTAAGAGATAGATAAAGAGAATATTTAAGTTATAAGTTAAGAATAGTCTGATAAGACTACAAACCGGATTTGAGTAACGTAGCACTTCCGGTTTTCGAGAAATCAGGTTTTGGTGAACATTTGGTTCACTGGTTTGCTAGTATATAGATATTAGCAGTCTATCGTGATCGACCGTTTGAGCACCCCTGCTTTAGGCAATCTGCTTCTTAGTCAATTAGCGTTTTAAGCATTATTGCAGCAGTGGCATCTTGTATTTCAGGCATTGTCCTCATAACTGATTTATTTATTTATGGACCATCAACACAGCTATATTTATACAAACAAACTTACACATATGTTTAAGTATTAGGATATAATATAACTGTAATTAAAGATGGCCTCATCATACACTAAACAGTAAACAGTTTTTTTTACAGTTTCTACATACGGAATTTACTACACAACAGAAATATTTGCCCTATCACAGAACTACCACAACAGTCTATCATGCTCTATAATTATTTAAAAGGGGAGAACACTGCCAAATATGGTCGTAAGTTCAGAGAACCCCTTAGGCCGTATACAGAAAGAAAGCCGAAAGCCGATCGGCGCCGATCAGCGCCGATCGGCGCCTATTGGCGCTGATCCTTTTTCTATGGACCGGCGCCGATAAGCGCCGACACGCGCTCGTCCGAATAATAAATAATTTGTATTTGAATTATTATCCTTAGATTAAATCAATCTAAGTTATAATCTTTTTATAAATCTAATAACTTTATCTTTTATTAATTAAGCGCTAAAATTATTTGTTTCGTACTTACCGAATGGTGACAACAAGTCTTTCTTCTGGAAGGATTGGTTGTTTATGCCAATTGCACCAATTTTTCATCAAACGGTTTTTCACTAAATCCAAAATGTAATAAAATGTTTCTTGAATCATTCTTGTATATGTATAAAATCTTTGTTCATCAAATTTCAATTTTTTTACAAATAAATGATGGTATTCTCCGACACGTTTCCTTTCTCTATTTATAGGATGTATAGCTTTTTTCGCATTTTTAAATACACATTTTCTAACAAAACCAGATCATCGTCCGATGAGTCCGACATTTTGCTTGATCTGCTTTAATCGGCTTCCTTTATGTAGGAAGGATCGGCGCCGATAAGCGCCGATCGGCTTACGGCTTTCTTTCTGTATACGGCCTTACGTACCAGACCCCTTATTGGCAATTGATTACTTTCACTGTAATACAAGCAGTTAATTAATCGGTCGCACGAGAGTTTTCATCTTCGCACGTTAAATTTGTCGACAGCAGCTCTGTGAAATCCTCTCGATCCAGTTGTCTTGCAGCCTAAGAAATACTAGGAGAAATTCGACAAGGTTTCAGTATCATATCGGTTAGTGCATCCTACTGGACAACGCATGACGCTGGTTCCAATCCAACTCCGAGTGGATTTTTTTGAAACAAATTTAAACATTAAGTTTGAAATTCAAATAAAATTATTATAAAATGTTCATACAGTTTGATCACCCAACAACAAGTGAGCACCAAGAGGTTGAAGGGCAAACGGAACTCCCGTCGGAGTATTCCGAGGAAGAGATGGACCCCCTATGGCAACACATGGAACCCGTCCTATTCGTCGAGTACAGTCACGAACGGTCGCCACCTCAGCCATACACCAACCCTTACGAGAATCCACCTGCTGACTTTGAATACAGGTATGTCGGATCTTTTCTTTAATCAGAATGTTAATTGACTTGCTGAAAGCATAATCAAGTAATCGCTGTGTCAGTTGACAGTGCTGTCAAATTAAGTTCGAAACTTGTAAGCGCCATTTTGGCTGACTAGAATTTTTCGCTAATCTCGTTTTGATAACTCAAATAGGTTTAAACCATAAAGGTATAAGAATAGAGTAGGGGAGATATAGACTCTACTACATGTGGAAGTGTCCCTGTAATAGACAGAGAAAGAAGATGAGAGACCGCTAGCTTTCTCCCTCTAATTGCGCATGCGCATTGGCAACCGTAAGCATCTTACTATTTCGATGTGATGCCATTGGATGTCATGCGTCACAAGAGAGAGAGATAGCTAGATGTCTCTCATCTTCTTTCTCTTTCTACTAGACGGACACTTTTAGAGCCGACTTCCCCACTCTATTCTTATACCTCTATGGTTTAAACACTGCTGCCAAATTGACAGGCGTGAATGAATAATGATTTGTAACACCTTTCAAAACCCGGGCGTAACTATTGTTTTAATGAGGATATTTAGGTAAATTCACGCCACTATTTGGATGAAGTTTTGGCGCGAATTAATCGAACGAGCATATAAATTGATCCATAGTCTATGACGACATACACGATTTCACAGATGAGTAGACCTTTCGTCTCAGTGCTGCCACTTGCCGGTCTCTTTCCAGAAAATCCTCATTTACAAAAGGGTATTTCACTCTACTTGAGAAAAGATCTAATAAATTTATTATTGCAATAGTTTAGGCAAATAGGAGTCGGAAAATGTTAGTTTAATTAGTTTCAGTTCATAAAGTACCAAAATGCATTTTAAAAATCAATGCAAAGTATTCAGTTTTTTTTATCTGTTTTAAAACACGATGAAGTAGTAAACGTAGTAGCCGCCACATTATTACGTCACACGCTAGTATATGCCAGTGTCAGCTGTCAACGCAGTACTTTTAATATTTTCGTAAGAAAGGTAACGCATTTATTTACAGTACCAGTGATGTCAAGGTCGCAAAGCAATATGGCGTCCATTGCGTCCAGCATATTCGTTTAACTACCCACAAAATTTTAAAATGTTAAATTAAAAACCACTTTAAGGCACTTAACGATTGAATAAATATTTCATGTTATTTTAGTAGCACACTGGTGTCGATAATGGCGTGATTCTCTAAACTTAAAACTAAATTTAACATCAATATCTCCTTTTCATTCCGTATAGAGAATTACAAGAATACACTGTTGTCAAATTTAAGTTTAGGTTTAGAGAATCGTGTCAGAATTGACACCATTAGCCCCTTAGAATTTGATCGCGACACTTTTCAAAAAAATAATACGCTATTGTTCCAAGATCGCTCAATCCATTCTCTATGTCTGTTGCTTATGTTATGACGTTACTGAGTGTTGCCGTGAGTTTAACACTATTTTTTTATTGTGCAGTGATTGGGTAGAAGTGTGCTCGATGAGAGTACAGATTCGCCCTTTATGCGGGGTGGTATGCCCCGCTCTCGTGCATCGCTTAAGCGCCCTTTACGCCGCATTGGGAGATCTGCCGCCAACACCCGTGGCCGGTGAGTGTGCTCCAATAGCTGTCAGTATCTTTATATATATAATTCTTCTGTGAGTGTGTATGTCACTGAACTTCTCTTAAACGACTGGACCGATTTTGATGAAATTTTTTGTGTGTGTTCAAGGGGATCTGAGAATGGTTTAGATTCACAATTTTGTCCTCTGGACAACCCCTATTTTTTTAGGGCGGTACGAAGTTCGCTGGGTCAGCTAGTATATATATATATTTAAGTTTGTTTCTGGAGATGACATCGCAGATGACCTTTACAGCGTCACCGGGTTTGGGGACGGCGAGATCCTGAGGGGACCTTAAGCCGAGAATTGGCGAGTGCCTCTAGAGGTATTCCTGGTGGATGGCATCTCCCCACAGGCCTCCTCCGTCTGGAGACTAGATCACTCAAACTGAGGGGGTTCTTGCAGTGTATAGGTGCAGCCCCAGATCCGACACCTGTGCGGGGCTGTATCATCATCATCAGCCTATTAATGCCCCTACTGCTGGGGCACAGACCTTCCCTATGGATGGAATAGGGAGTGCGGGCCATGACCTACTACACGGGCCCAGTGCGGATTGGCGGACGCTAACGACTGCAGATGCAGCCGGGACAAACAGCTTAATGTGCCTTCCAAAGCACAGAGGAACTCGAGATAGAAGATTTTTGGTCAGCCATCCAATAACCGACAACTACGAAAGTTGCTTAACTTCAACGATCGCAGCCGAACGCTCTAAAGGCCTGCGCCATCGAGCTCCTCGGAAGCGGAATATTCGTGATAATTCATACATCTTCATCCGCTTCTGTATCAAATGTGCAATCCGCATCCGTGAAGGATGCGAATTCATATCAACAAGTGGGCGGAGCCAGAGTGGCACGTGCTCAAAATGGTATTAAATAACACTGAAAACTGTTTTAGTATTATTCTTGTCATTAAATTGATTTACTATTTTATTTATGCACTTAAAAAAATGTCTTTGTAATATCCTGAGTATCCGTGGATAATTTTTTGCATTTGCAACAACGCTGCCCAAGAGCATTGCGATGTGTTATATAACTAATTTTCATCACGCTCTGTTGTCAAGTTACTACGTAGTTTGACAATTAGACGCGATAAAAAAGGGATATAACGTAAATTGTGGCGCTAATGCTACGGGGACTAGTATGGACCTCTGGTAGTCTCGTGGATGCGGGCGCAGATCCGACGTCAATCGAATGTATGAACGAGAGGAAAAACTCTTCAAATGTCAGATGTATTTGATCATGCGTTCATAATAATTACTTACATTATCAGCTTTGCAGGTAATGTTTTATTTAAAATAAATTGACAAATATACTAGTTAAATGTAAACATTTGGCTCTTTTTTTAAAACTTCACTATTTCAACATTAGATTGCATCTCTATCGTTTATAGAGAGGGAGACTTAGGCTCGTATTACAGATTGACAACTAATTTTTGATCTTTACTTGAGTACAGTTAGAAAGGGATGTCGCTATATATAGCTCATAGCGACATCCCTTTCTAACTGTACTCAAGCAAAAGAACAACACTTAGTTGTCATTCTGTTATACGAGCCTTAAAGCCATGTCTGGTCTTGATCTGGACTTGGCAAAATGAGGAAGAAGACGAATTATGCCAGAAAGCAGCAGAGCAGATACTTTAATCCTATCAGCTACTAACTTCTAGTATAGCTATGAATGTGACGACAACATTTTTAAATTTCTCGCTGGCGTTTATTATTTGAGGAGCTCGATGGCGCCAGAAGTTAGCGCGTTCGGCTGCGGTCGTTGAAGTTGAGTAATTTTCGCAGTGGTCGGTCATTGGATGGGTGACCAAAAATTTACTATCTCGAGCTCCTCCGTGCTTCGGAAGGCACGTTAAGCCGTTGGTCCCGGCTGCATCTGCAGTCGGTAGCACCCACCAACCCGCACTGGGCCCGCGTATGGCCCAATCTCCCCAATCCATCCATAGGGAAGGCCTGTGCCCCAGCAGTGGGGACATTAATAGGCTGATGATGATGATGATGTTTATTATTTTATTTTTATACGAGGTGCAGTAAATTACTCCCCCCACCTGATGGAAGATATATGATGCTGCAGAAAGTGTGCCGCATCATCGATCGTCATGAAAGATTATACGCTCTCATTATCACAAAGAAAGCAAAGCCTGACTTATACTTAGATTAAAACAAAAAGGGTAGATACGGTACGCTCATACTTGCATCAAACAAAAACTGATCCCACGGCAGCGCGAACGGGACCGACGGCGAGACCTGCGTCACTGCATTACCGACCCGAACGAAACAGCACGTTAAGTTTCAACGGCAGCGCGAACGAGACGGCGAGATCCGCGTCACTGCACTACCGACCAATCACGCGACCAGTACTCGACGTCACTACCGAATCAGATTCAAAACATACAGATTTTTTTATGAAAAATATATATTTTATAGTACTTACGAATGAAAAGTGATGCCGTGGGTTTTATTTTTAGTTCTTGAGCAACTTGAGCACTTTTTAAAAACACACTTAGGCATTTTTTTATCATATAAACACAAAATATTAGAAATATTTCTTTTTGGCGTTCACATGTACGTCGTTTGCATGTCAAGTTGTGACTAAAGCGATTAGGGTCGTGCACCACAATTTATGCGGATTACTTTTGTGAGGCTAGTGCCGTATCTACCCTTTTTGTTTTAATCTAAGGACTTATATGCGTTTTCAGATCTCCCAACTCGTACTCTTACCGTGGAGGAATGCGACGCTCTCATGGAGAACTTGCCTCAGAAACGCATCTCGATAGAAATGCGTGAGTTACGCGTAAGACTCCTGCCCTGGGACCACGCCGCGATGGAGAAGGCTACCGAGCCACTGCTGTCGCTGGACATTGATGTGCCTAAAGTCGCGTTCGTCATAACCGGACCCTTGTACCCGCATAGGTAGGTCGATTGGGATTGTCGGAAGCTAGAATAGCTACACACTTTTTGATAAGAAGGAGTGTTATATTTTATAGCACCGTGTGACCTAAACCCGCACTTTACGCACGCTTTTCCGTGACCTAAGTTGCCTATTTCTGCACGGTGTGTAAATGAATTGACCAACTTCACTCATGTAGAAAAAATAAAAGGAAACACATTTAAATGTCATTTGGAGCTTAAAAACTCACAGCAAACAAATGACAAATTAGCGATAGGTAAGGAATTCTTGTTTGAATTATACGAGTACAAAAAATAAAGCTCATTCCCGTTGTTTAATATATTGTTATGCCAATCAAGGAATAAACGTTCATGGATACATTGAAATTCTATTTTGTTGTAATGATATTTGATTTTTTCCTTTTGAAATATACTTTCAAAATGGTAATCTGAACCGGAATTCTTTCTTTTCAGAGTTTGACTTGCAGTCTGTATTGCAATTCTTTGTGATTGCAATACATGAATTTTACTTTCAAAACACTAATCGTATCCCCCCCTCTTGCCCGCGTCCGGGGCGGGTGTATGTCACACTTGCTATAAAATAGTATAATGTACTATTTATTAATTTGAAGTGCTAGATGTACTTAAATTTAAAGAATATTTTACTAGAAAATATTCGCCACGAATGCACTGACCGTTAAGCTAACGCGGCCCTGATGGCCGTGTCGAATTTTCTTGAGCATATTTTAGAGTGCAAGGCAGCGCCATCTCATCGCATTGTAGGTAACCCACAATGTGAAATAAATACCTTTACAAGTATTAAACATTTGAAAGAAGAAATAACAATCATAGTTATTTTTTAATTTTTTAGCTTAAGATATGCTAGAGAATATACGATACGGCCGTCAGGGCCGCTGTAGCATAATGGTCAGTGTATTCGCCCGGATAGCAAAGGGTGCGGGCTCGAGTCCCTTCTGCTGCCTGATCCGCGTGGAATATTGTCTAGTAAAATTTTCTGTAAAAGGAGTGTTGTTTTTTTTTTTTAAATTGAAAATGTAAGCCGAACAATATTTTATGATTATATAGCTTTGTCGATAGTAATTAGATACATTCATAAATTATGATCATGCCAAATGATTTCTTCGGTCATCGTTGGTGATCATTCTTGGATTGCTATACAGCTCAATCAAATTGTTTTAAAAATTAGCCATTCTTTTTGTAGACTTGCCAGCTTCATTTTCAGCATTATATTTATTTATTTTACACTAAATAAATCTTATGTTTTCGGATTATCACAAAACAATATTTCCTCCAGGGTTTGTTCAGCGGCCTGCCAAATGCCGGAAGATTCTGGCCCACTTTGGAACGGCGCACGCTTACACATTTCCGGTTCTGTGAGTTCCGCCCAAGCCCAACTGTGGGCGGGGCCGGGGGCGGGGAATCCCAGGCCTTGTGCTAGGGCGGATGTACGATGCGCCATACATTTGTTATTAAACAAGCATATGTTCAGTCAGAGGGAGAGTGTCGTGCTCAGCTACACGGTCAAATTGCGTAAGTATTATAATTATTGGTGACTAGCATTTGCCCGCGGCTTCGCTCGCTCACCTTTTAAACCTTCCCTAGGCCTCCACGAACATTCCAAGATCAAGATTAGATAAATCCGTTCAGCCGTTCTCGAGTTTTAGCGAGAAATGAACAGCAATTGATTTCTATATATATATAGAAGATTTATGTAGCTATACAGGGTGTTGTGTCTCAATGACAACAGGGTGTTACAACAAATGTTATTAAACAGGCACATGTTGTACAAGCAAACATATACGGCCGCACACAGGGAAGTCAATTAACTTTAAAGTTTTTACTTAAGTTGGCGCTATCATTTTCCTGCAACAACTGTTAAAATAAGACAACACGGGATTTAAGGAAGCATTAAATTAATGTGTCATTTTTGAGTATGGCTGATAGAAAGCCTTATCTCAACTGCAAGTCAAGTTTATAGATGTAATTCGAGCTATAGATATTTATAATGTGTTATTTCATAAATAGAGCTGTGATAAAAATTGTAATAGGAATGATGACAATCTTATTTAGTTAGTTAGGTTATCAAAACATAATGGACACTTATTTTTTCTTTTGTCAATCAACCAAAATATTTCAAAGACAAATGCGCGCCTAAGTTTATTGTTCACAATGTTTTTGAAGTATTTTTGTCTCGCCAGAAACACGTCTACATCACTTGAATAAATATTAGTGTTGAAATTTTGAGTTACTCTATTAAAGTAGGAATTCTGTCTATAATTTGTCGAACTTCAGTAATATTCAATCAATCATATTGTTTTGATAATCTACCAAATAGACAAAGAAAATTGAAGTAAGTTATGATCATCCTATGTTATGACGACCTCTGTGGCCAAGTGGTTTGTACGCCGGGTATCATGGTGTCGCCGACTCGAGAGGTCCCGGGTTCAAATCAGACAGATGGGCAGGGACAGGGCAGATGTTTGTGTGATGAATACGAGCATTTGTACTCCAGTCATGGATGTTAAATATGTATTTCTATAAAAAATATACTTATATATGTACAGTATATGTATTCTATCCGTTACCCTAGTATCCCATAACATGAGCCTTATAGTGCATACTTTGGGGCTAGGCTAATTGGTGTGAGTGTTGGAAATATTTATTTATCTAATATATAAAATTCTCGTGTCGCGGTGTTTGTGGTTAAACTCCTCCGAAACGGCTCGACCGATTTTCGTGAAATTTTATATGCATATTCGGTAGGTCTGAGAATCGGATGTAATCTATTTTTCATCCCCCTAAATGTTAAGGGTAATCCACCCCTAATTTTATGTTTTTTAATTTTAGATATATATTTTTTTTAATTTTTTTATGATACAGCATTAGTAAATACATATAACCCTGAATTTTCAACCCTTTAAAATCAACCCCTATTTTTTTATGGCGGTACGAAGTTCGCTGGGACAGCTAGTTTATTTATATTATTATCCCTATTGTGTAGGCGAGTTGAGTGTATGCGGTTCGTCGGCGCGCATCCAAGCGGCGACCCAGGTCGTCAGCTCTTTGATAAACGAGAGACTGTCAACGTTGCTGCAACACTCCACGCTGGCCAAGGATGCGCTCAACGACGAAGGCTAGTCAATCGATTGTTTTATTTGTAATAATAATAATAATTTATTTGCCAAAATATGGTTACAATAGTTGTTACATATTTCTTTAGTTACCAGCATATTTTGTTGAATGTCAACGTGCAAATATTTCAGGAAATTTACATCAATAAGGTCTACTACGTCTAAATAAATAAAATTAATTTAAAGGTAATAATAATATTCAATGTCACATAAATTACAACTACCAATCTATTCATTATTAAAATAGTCAAGAAAAATTGCAATCTAATTGGATTAAAATGTCAAAAAATTACATATATTTATCATCTACATATTTTAAACTATTATATTAAATACACACGAATGTCAAACATACATTAAATTAGGCTATTTTATCATTTAAAAAATCGTTAACTGAATAATACATTTTGTAGAATTCATCATCAGCCTATTAATGTCCCCACTGCTGGGCACAGGCCTTCCTTATGGATGGAATAGGGAGATTGGGCCATGACCCACCACGCGGGCCCAGTGCGGATTAGCGGGTGCTAACGACTGCAGATTCTGTCGGGACCAACGCTTTAATGTGCCTTCCGAAGCACGGAGGAACTCGAGATAGAAGATTTATGGTCACCCATCTAATGACCGACCACTGAGAAAGTTGCTTAACTTCAATGATCGCGCCATCGAGCTCCTCGATATATATACATTACGCGTTTTGATAATTTGTTGGACATAACTGCTAACGCAGACGGAACGGCATCAACTTCTTTATGTTTCTCGTAGAGCCTGCGCTGCGTCAAGCGGGAGCACGGAGCGGGCGTCCGGGCCACATGTTAGTTCCATGTTATTTCATAGAGTAGCGCTGCGTGGGGCGGGTCGCCCACGCAGCTTTCTTCTATGTAATGACATGAAAACTACATGCGGAGCGGACGTCCGATCTTTACTCCCGCTTAACACAGTGCAGGCTTTAAAGCCAGGCTTTAAGATTTATCTAAAGAAAAGTTTACTAGAAAAAAATCCACGCGGACCAGGCAGCGGACGGGACTCGAACCCGCACCCTTCGCAATCCGGGCGAATGCACTGACCATTATGCTACCACGGCCCTATTCGCCGCGTCGAAATTTTCCTAGCCTTAAGCTGCAAGGCAGCGCCATCTCTTCGCATTGTAGGTAACCCACAATGTCTTTTCTTTTAGTAAACTTTTCCTTAGATTTAAACATCTAGCAGTTAAATGCTTTAAAATAAATAAAAACATAACAGTGCAGGCTGTTAAAGCATGCTACAGCACGAGATAGTTAAAAGTAGGTAATCATGTGAGACACTATGATAGTATGCCTAATACCTAAGTTACCTTTATTTCTGTTATCCCAACAGAATCGGTAGCGATAGATTTGACAGCGGAGGAGTTGTCGCTACGCGGCTACTTGACAGCGAATGTCAACACCCACATACTGTCTCTGCAGTCGGCGCGGGCGACTGCTCACCACGCCCCAAGTAAGAAATGCTCAATACTTATATATAACATACAGTTTTTTTTGTTTCTTAGGATTTCACGCACATCACTCATTAAATAAAATTAGTTTTCAACGGGTTAATGCATGAAACTTTAATTATTTATTTATTGACGTTTCGCAGCCTTTTCAGGTCTGCTTCGTCAGAATACTGATTTTTTATTTAATTTTGTCGAGCTACCTTCGAAAGACTTTTATTGAGCGTTCGGTTATTTCATTGTTAGATTTTTAAAATTTTATTGTCTATGTATGAATTTATTGGTTAATTTAGTTAATAAAGTACTTTATTTAAAATTCCATTTCGTAATTTTGAGTTTATTTATTTGACCCTAACTACCGTAAACTACCACCAGTTCCAAAATTGGGAGACCTTTCTGAGAAGAACCGGCGAAACAAACTCAAGAGAGGCTTTCTATTTCCTTCTTAATGTTAAATTATGCAAACAAAAAGAACTAATAGTATCTGTTGATCTTGCAGTGTGTGCTTGGGGTTGGGATTTTATTTCTTGTATAATGGGTTCCCAAGCTTGTAGTATATACATTAATATATATATTTTAATCTCAATAGCCTCGCGCATCATTCTAGGAATGAATCGTAGCTCAGTTGCAATTATCTGTGGTTTATCAAATCTAATGTAATGGTTTGGTCCCCCTAATGCATGTTCACACACTGCAGACTTATTTTGGCGCTTATGTTACAAAAGGCTGCGAAACGTAAATAAATAAATAAAGTTTCATCTCTTATCTATTAGACAAGTCCAGTCACAGACGGACTGTGGTGCTGTTTCAGCGGCCAAACCGTAAGAGATAGATAAAGAGAATATTTAAGTTAAAAGTTAAGAATAGTCTGATAAGACTACAAACCGGATTTGAGTAACGTAGCCCTTCCGGTTTTCGAGAAATCACGAATTTCAAACGAAACCACACAAAATCTCCGAAGTTCTCAATTAATTAAATACATTTTTTTGTTTTTTTTTTAAATCAGGTTTTGGTGAATATTTCGTTCGCTGGTTTGCTAGTATGTGTATTATTAACCCGTTAAAAACTAGTTTTATTTAATATCATACAGATGATTATTAAACTGATTTCATTTTCATAAGGGAGGTAGGGCATAGCGGATTTGCCGCCCGAATTGGAGCGCCCGTCTGTGGACTAATCTGCACAGTAAAATAACTCTAACTTTTGGTGGTGTTGAGTTTCTATCGGTGTGTTAGGTTCCGGGGTTCCACGGGGTAGGACATTGTGACAATATATGCAACGGCGCGAGCGATATTGTTGATATCACAAGCCTATACGGCTATGGCGCCGCTTACCATTGGGCGAGTCATACGCTTCATCTTCAGCCTATTAATGTCCCCACTGCTGGGGCACAGGCCTTCCTTATGGATGAAATAGGGAGATTGGGCCCAGTGCGGGCCCAGTGCGGATTGGCGGGTGCTAACGACTGCAGATGCAGCCGGGACCAACGGCTTAACGTGCCTTCCGAAGCACGGAGGAACTCGATATAGAAAATTTTTGGTCACCCATCCAATGAGCGACCACTGCGAACGTTGCTTAACTTCAACTATCGCAGCTGAACGCGCTAACCACCCGCGCCATCGAGCTCCTCTTGTCACACTTGTTTGCCACCTTTTAAACAAAAAATGCTTTTGAACTGATTGGATGTGAGTGGTGTCCATTTGAAAAGATAGATGATGCAGAAATGCAAAGTTTGATAGGAGTTTTGTTGATTTGTATTTATTTTCAGAAGAAGAAGAAGTGAAGCAAGCGTGGCTGTTCTCAGCACCGGACACATCAACCACCACGTAAGAGTTGCACTCGTATAAGCTGAGCAAATAATTTTAACCAATCGTATTGATTAAGTCCTACGTACCGTACCTACATATTTATATAATATAGTCCGACCACGATAGGTCTGCAGTGGACTGACAGTAGCGAAAATTAAAACTTTGCACATGGATGTACTGATTATAGTTAAACTAGCAGCCCGCCCTCGCTTCGCTTCGGTGTAGAGCTGAAGTCTAGACTACAGTTTTTGTTCTCAGGCTTGTATTATACACAATGACATTCATCTATGATTCTTCTTATCTTACCTGCATGCAAAGTCTCAGCCCGATCGGTTTTAAATTGACAAAGTTTCATACAAACTTTCATTCCCTATTTTATCCCCTTGAGGGTAGAATTGATCAAAATCCTTTCTTATCGGATGCCTACGTCATAACATCTACCTGCATGCCAAATTTCAGCCCGATCCGTCCAGTGGTTTGGGCTGTGCGTTGATAGATCACTATGTCAGTCAGTCACCTTTGAGTTTTTATATATATAAATTAACTTCCAAGTATATCCTTATAGTTATAGTTGAAACCTTGTAGTTAAATTCCAAAATAATCTATTTAAGTTCTCTAATTCTATCCCAATTTGTGGGATATGTTTCATAGTATAGAATTATTTACACTAACAGCCCTCAATACCGATGTGTATTTCTGATGATCTGTAAAGACTGAAGAGATGTCTTGATACTACTTGTTCTAGTGTATGTTTTTTGACAGGATAGATAGATAGTCTCAATTCACGTAATCACACTAATATTAAACATAGGTTACGTTTTACTGCGGGAAATATCCCTCATAAACCGCGGGGTACAGCTTGTACCCTGGATTAAAACATAGGTTACGTTTTACTGCGGGAAATATCCCTCATAAACCGCGGGGTACAGCTTGTACCCTGGATTAAAACATAGGTTACGTTTTACTGCGGGAAAATATCCCTCATAAACCGCGGGGTACAGCTTGTTAAATATATGCGAGGCAAATCATTGTGAACAAGTAACAAGCATGCAAACAAACAAAACTTCCAGAATCATAATAGTAGTAGGATTGCTTTAACTTTTTTAAACAATACGTTGTCTGATAAGTTTTAGAATACGATCTCACGTTAATGAGGGCTATCGCGTATGAATCCGCCGCTAGAGGCGCTAGTGTAGCGTGAGGTCTCCGAAATGTCAAATGTTATTGCTTGTTGGTTGACTACGCGGGTTTATTTCTAATTAAAGTAATGTTGTGAATAATTGGTAACAATTCGGCTTAATTATATGGCAAATATGAGTTATGTGACAATGAATGTCAGTTATTAAAAATTTGAGCTTAGAAAAATGATAATGTTCCCATTTTTTCCGAATAAAACGGAACTGCGCGTCACTGTGGCATGGCCTATTATGTTTAGGATATGGTACTTTTGTGTTAAAATACGATCTAAATGTAACCTTTGATTTCATGTGCGTATTAATAAACTTTAAAAGTTACAATTTAGGACCTCACTCAACAGTGGCGCCATCTGGTGAGGCAGAAAACGGTAGCCCTCATTACTTATGATTGGATGGTGACGTGGATATTTTTAATTCTGTAGTTTGATATAGCAAAAAAAAAAACTAAATTCAATTTTCAAAAACGTCCAACGATACAAAGTTTTCTGCGTGTTACGTCATGTTAGTCCTGGCGTTTTCGATCACGTGACCATGGAGCAAAAAAAATCATTTTATAGAAAAGTTAATAATTTATTTGTTCTTTCAGAATAGTAAAATCGCTGTTAATTTTCATAGGTAGGGGAAACCACCCAACCATTGGCACTCGTCCTATTATTATCACTTTTGAGTTTAATTCGGAAGAACAAGGAGACAATAGATTATTCAAGGTCGTTACATATTAAAAAGAAAAACCTAGTATGGTTTCGAAATTTGAAAATTGACAGCGTTATTCCTACAATCTATTGTTTCCTGTTTTTTTCGAACTACACTCAAAAGTGTCAATAATAGGAAGAGTTCCAATGATTGCGTAGTTTCCCCTACATTATTTCTCATACTATTAAATAGCCTATTAACCTATCTAATTTTAGGCCTTACCTTCGGTTTGCTATCCAATGGTGTAATTCTGCTACTGTCACCTCTCTGGAGTACTTCGGCTTGTGGACGGAGCCGATATCGTTCTGCGCGGATCCGCTGCTTATAGCGTGGCTCGCTTATAAACCGACCATGCGTCCGTACCGGGGTGAGTCAAATTAAAGGGCGTTACGACATTGTTCTAATCTGATCTTGGTCGAATCGTCATTAAGAAATGACACAAATGGGTAATTCGTCAAATCATATTTTCGTCAAATTGTGTAATGAGGGTTTTTTGGAATGACGGGCACCAGGTGGCAGTACTGAGACGAAAGGTCTAATCATCCGTCAAATCGCATGTGATCTCATAGTCTATGAATCTGTTCTATGGAGTTGGCGCTAAAAACTTCATACAAAAGACCTCACGTAACAGTGGCGCCAACTGGTGACGTAAATTTTCATAAACACCCTCATTGGCCTAATACCACAGAATATATACACTACGCGAAAAGAAGCGACACTTAAGCATGTGTGCTCGTAAAATCGTTCGCGGCTATGTGTGGGTGTCTGGAGGTGTGCGGGGGCGTTGCGCGGCGCGCGGGGCGTGGAGAGGGCAGTCGCCGACTGCCTCGACCGAAGGCATGGCAGTAGCGAAATAGTAAAATAATAGCGTTGCACTGTATTGCACGCACAGACTGACTACACTACGCAATCTTATTATTATTTAAATAAAAATAAGAATTATAAAACGAATCGAAAAAGGAGAAAATATATAAAAGTTAGCAATTTGTTATAGTACCTACATTAAAAGATTAAAAATTGATTATAAAATCAAACCTATCCTTCATTATTTACATACTGGGGTAAATAATGGAGGATAGGTTTGATTTTAAAATCAGTTTACATTTAATAACTTACTATGCATAAATATTCATTGGCACATGTCTAAATTCCAAGTTCAACCCTAGCGCATACACGCTCCTGCTCAAGGTCACTGACGCTGGAACTCTCACGTACACAGAGTGTCACCGCTGTGCTAATACGCCATTGGCCAAGTAATCAAACTACATTAAACAGTTATACTGTTTAATGTGTTTAATAAATTAGTTAATTGACTAACTAATTTATTCAATTATATTTTATAATTTATTATACATAGCGGTCCTGAAACCACAAAACGAAGCCACTAAATAATGTATTAATATTGGCTTTTACAATTATTGAAGTAAAATCAATAGAAATGAATCATAGTTGACGAGAAGAAACATTTACATAATGTGGCTCGGACTAAGCTTCTATTTGGATAGCATTTTCCGTCTAGATAAACTGCTTACAGCCACTGTACATGGACTTGACCTATTAGCGTATTTGGCAAATTACATCATTTGAATATTTTGACCAATTTATCTAATAGGGTATTAGATAAATTGGTTTTATAAAACGATCTCACGTTATTGACTTATGTTTATGGAGTCCGCAAAAAGTGGATATTCATCATTCTGTTGTGTATTTCAGTAAAAATAACCAAAATCAAAAACTCCCATTTCAAGTTGACGTGAAAACGTTTCTCTGGACAATATGGCGTCTTACTAGTGTGTGACGTCACACGACTGTTATTAAAACGTCAAATGATACAATGTGATGTCACTTTAAGCGGAAGTTTACTTGCGTGTGACGTCATTTTAGGCTCCGCTAATCTCTAGCGTTTTGGGTCACATGACAATAGATAAGAAAACTATTATCTTTTTAGTGAGTTTTTAGTAAAATTATGAATATTTTTTTTGTAAAAATAGTTTAAACCTCTGCCAATATTCATTCTAAACACAGATGCTAACAATTGGCACTTTATTTTTAATACTGTCTAATACCCTATTTCTAATTAGTCGATTTGACGAATGTCGTAATACCCAAATTAAAGTATGTGGGCATTTCCGATAAGTTAACTGTGGAATGGCAAGGGGAAGCCGAGATATAATGAAACAAAATAGCTGGGCTTGTGGATGGAGCCGATATCGTTCTGTGCGGCACCGCTGCTTATTTTTTTTCTTTTTTGTTTAGGAGCTTTTGTGCGATGAAAGCTTCATCGAAACAAACTAACGAGTACTAAACTACTTAATTAAGAATTTTAAAATTATTACATTAGATATCGTACTTATGTAATTTACTGGCAGCATTCCACTAAACTACACAAATACAATGCGGCTTTAGTTTCGGGGTTGCTCAAAAAACTCTGACCAATCCCTATATCCAACTTATTTATTTGAAATTTTATTAAAAACTAGCGGCCCGTACTCGCTTCGCTTCGGTGTAGAGTTGAAGTGTAGACTACGGTTTTTATTCTCAGGCTTGTATTATACACAATGACATTCATCTATGATTCTTCTTATACCTGCATGCAAAGTCTCAGCCCGATCGGTTTAAAATTGACAAAGTTTCATACAAACTTTCATTCCCTATTTTATCCCCTTGAGGGTAGAATTGATCAAAATCCTACAAAATAACATCTACCTGCATGCCAAATTTCAGCCCGATCCGTCTAGTGCTTTGGGCTGTGCTTTAATAGATCACTATGTCAGTCAGTCATCTTTGAGTTTTATATATATAGATATGTCTCTTTGAACCTGATTCCGCTCACGTTCCATCAAAAAAATTAAGCACGACCTCAATTTGTTGACATATTTCGAAATTAGGTGTATTTACTTTTTTCATCATATATGCAAACTTCCTTTGTGGTATGTGACCGGACTTAATTCTTAATATTAGTTTTATTTTTCTCCGACATATTTTAGTATATATATATATATATATATATATATATCTTCATTTTTGCTTATCACGGTACGATAGAATAGTTCCCAGTGGAGAGAATATTTTAATGAACGCTCAAAAACAAAAGGTATTTGATTCAAAATATAATACAGAGTGAGCCTCTTCGAATACCGTGGTTTATATATATATATATATATATATATATATATATATAAACCACGGTATATTCACGGTATGTTATACGGAACTATTCTATCGTACCGTGATAAGCAAAAATATAGGTTATATCGGCTTATATGGCAAGCCAACTAATATAGACCTAGTGCTATTTTCTCTATTTATATAGTAAATTAAATAAATGATTGGTGATATTCGCTATATACATGGTGTAAAAAAAAACCTATAACGAAGTCGAAGGCTACGTATTTTCCACATCATGACGATATTTTTTTTTCTTCTGGGCCATACCTGGGAAATTTATGGTTATGGAGATATTGAAAGTCAAAGCCAAAATATTTTTTTCAAGATTTATACATTAATATTTTCAAAACGTTATTTACAAACTTTTTTATCGACGCACTTACACACACGCACACTCATACACACAGTCACATTCTTTGCGAAGCGCTACAGTAAAGCGCCGCGCTATACATTGCGTACTGGAAAAAAATGATTTTTTTAACTTAAAAATAAAAAAAAACCCAAGTATAATATTTTGTAATATTACTTGTTTGGGTGTAGAGAATGCGTAGTTTAAGTCTTTGTCATAGGATTTTTTACACCCTGTATATAATTCGGTCTTAAAAGTTAGCCGTCATTGTCGACAGAATCCCATGTGCAGTTAAACACAAGTGGAAGTCAGTATGGGCTGCGGAGACGACCCACACCACCGGTAAATATTATTTCAAATTATTTTTCTTACCAGTGACAAATTTATTGTTTTATGGTTTAATAATAATGACAATTTTGAGGGGTAATAGATATAAATTTTAATTATAATAATTGCGAATGACTGTTCTACATTTTATGAAAACAGTGTTTAGTTATGTAAATAAGGGATAAATATAGAGATAAATTAAGTTTTTTTAATAAGGTGCTTATTATTATTTTCATTTGAACAATTGTCAAAAAAGATTTTACTTAAAAAACGTTGTGAATTTTCTTGGTCCTGCGTGTTACTTGATTGTTATACTGGCACTTGAGTGGTTTTTCATATTTGCAATTTGTGAATTTGACAGCAGTCTTTCCTACAACCTACCTAACTAACCTACAAGGATATCCTACTGCTAATAAGTAAGCATTATGTTTTTTCTGAGTTTTTTGCTGGTTCCTAGTGTAAGGTCTCCTGCCGTAGATTTGTGAACCGATGGCGTAGCTTCTTGACATTCACAAGTGCTTTTAACAGCTGAAACTCAATAATATATATAAGATACTGAATATAAATAAGATGTTGTTAAAAAAATCCACGCACACTAGGCAGCAGGCCCGTCCCGTATACTACCTGGTCCGCGTGGATTTTTTTCTAGTAAAATTTCTTTAGATTTGAACATCTAGCAGGTACATGCTTAGAAAATAACAAACATAACTAATTGCTATTTCTTTTCTCAAATGTTTAATACTTGTAAAGGTATTCATTTGATGTGTCAATGTGGGTTACCTACTATGCGAAGAGATTGCGCTGCCTTGCAGCTTAAGAAAGGCTAGAGAAAATTCGACACGGCTGTCAGGGCCGCCCAAGCATAATGGTCAGTGCATTCGCCCGGATAGCGAATGGTGCGAGTTCGGGTCCCGTCTGCTGCCTGGTCCGCGTGGAATTTTTTATTTCTAGTAAAATTTTCTTTCAACGATGTTGTATTATTTTATTTTGTCAGTCTTCAAGTGGTCGCGCGGGTAGTCGGGCAGGTTCCGGTGCGGAGTTAGTCCACGTGCGTCCGCGCAGCGTTGGCTCCAGTAGTGAACCGAGCGAAAGGCGCGATCAGAAACAACAAACCACCCCTGTAAGAACAAACGATTTCTAACTAAATGCAAAATGTTGCTTAACCCTTAATTTTAGTACTTGATTTGAAAGTGTATTTGTGCAGTCACACTAAAGTCCTTTATTAAATCAATTTAGATAACTAACATTTTAGATATAAACTAAAAGTTTGACGACCTCCGTGGCCGAGTGGTTTATACGCCGGGTTTCATGGCGTCGCCGACTCGAGAGGTCCCGGGTTCGAATCCCGGTGGGGGCAGATGTTTGTGTGATGAATACGAGCATTTGTACTCCAGTCATGGATGTTTAATATGTATTTCATGTAAATATACTTATATATGTACAATATATGTATTCTATCCGTTACCCTAGTATCCCATAACACAAGCCTTTACAGTGCTTACTTTGGGGCTAGGCTAATTGGTGTGAGTGTTGGAAATATTTATTTATTTATTTATAAAACGAAGTTTTTTAATACGCAGGCAGATAGAAACATCATAGATAACATTTTCTCAATTCGCGCCAATGAAGAAGAAACGGCTTTAAATAGGCGACGTGAGATATTCTGTACTTGATTAAAACAAAAAGGGAAGGTACGGTACGCTCATACTAGCCCCAAATAAAATATGCTCCGACCCAACTTCATAAGCAACTCTCACACACGCACACGTCTGTAAATAAACGTTCAATTAAGCGAGCGAGCCCGAACTGTACTTAATAACAAAATGGCGATTACACAAAAACAACATTCCACAAATCAATGTGGCCCAATTTATTCGCAATTTTAAAACTTATTTATCTTACATAAGAATATACATTCTTGAATTGAATTCATACTTTCAACACAAAAGAATTTGCATCATACTCTTTTACGGTATATTCCGCTTATGTAACTCGCTGCCAGTAGGAATCAGAGACAGTCCAACTGTTGCTTCATTTAAAAAACGGTTGAAGGGACACTATTTATCCTCTTGAATCATTGTTTCCGACCTGTATTGCTTCTCCTTTTAACACTTGTATATTTTATTTTAGTAAAATTGTTTATTTGTACATCTATGTAGATATATATGTATTTTATTTTATGTTTTTTCCTTTCGCGTGCCTGTTGGAAGAAATTGCAATATGAAATAAGTAGTGCCCTTGTACAAATTTCTTGTTCCTGTTCTTATCTGTTTTATTGTGTGCGTACTAAATTATTAAATAAATACTTAAAGAATTTCATAAACGGCGTTTTGCCCGAACATTTGGAAGGACTTACTAGCACCATCTTTATAAACCAAATGGTATAAAATATACATGAAAAACAAACGAACCATTATTTAAGGCAGAACACACGAAAAACCGTGATTTTCGAGAATAAAAATATTTTACAATTTTACAAATGAAAAGTGTTGCCGAGGCAATTGTTAATTGATTTTGAACTATTTGTGTTCTTTATAAAAGGATCCAAGGCATTTTGTTTTATCTTTATAACACATATTGTTATATTGAGTGCACATGCAGCGTGTTTGAATGTCCAATTGTGACTAAAGCGAATTGTGGTCATGCACCACATTTTAAGCGGATCACTTTTGAGCCTCGAGTGCCGTATTTTCCCTTTTTGTTTTAATCTAAGATTCTGTCCCATTTGCGCAGGAACAAGTAATAATTATCATAAAATACAACAGTGTAATGTAGAGAACCGCATGGATTATATGCGGTTTTGTACCAAGAGTAGCGTAAATGGCATTTTTGTTTTTATAAATGATTTGCGACTTTCCTTTTTAATCGTGTTGCGACAGCGTGGCTCCAGCATAAAGCGTCGTCCTAATTGGCAACGATCGAACGATAACGCGATGCGATCAAGTCATGTGATTAATTTAAACATAAAGATTTCTTCAGAAGTCTCTTAATTCAGCTCAAAAGCCATCGCACAAGCACAAGTACATTGTTTTCATCGCACCGTGTCATTGTACAATCGTTCCCAATTATATATAACAGTCACGCTGGAGCTGCGATCGTTGTACATAAGTAACTTTCGCAGTGGTCGGTCATTGGATGGGTGGCCAAAAATCTTCTATTTCGATTTCCTCCGTCCTTCGGAAGGCCCACTAATAATATAATAATAATAATAATTCATTTATTTCAGATAACTGTGATCCATATTTGTTAGTAGACTTATTCTATGTTAGTAGTATATGTTTTAGAAATAATAGATAAGGACAGTACAACATGATTTTTTCTTTATGTCTTCATCACCCTCACACAATGCTTGATAAAGCATCTATCCATTTTGTTGGCAACAGTCATTAGGATGGTATTTGAGCTTGCTCGTATTCTGCTCAGCAATGAAGCTATTTTTTTGTGCATGCATGCGTGTAGCCGTTGGTCCCGGCTGCATTTGCTGTCGTTAGCACCTGCCCATCCGCTCTGTGCCCGTGTGGTGGGTCACGGGCCGCACTCGCTATTCCATCCATAGGGAAGGCCTGTGCCTCAGCAGTGGGGACATTAACAGGCTGATGATGACGATATAGCTTGTCTGTTCAGATGAAACCCGAGCCCAAATATTGGGACGGTGAGCGAGTAGTGCATGTTCATACGCGTTTGCGTCGCGCGCTCGTCAACGTGGAGCTTGGCTTGGTGCTAGTGTACGCGGCGGGCAGCACCGCCTCGGCGCTGGACTGCGCGACTGTGCACGACGCGATGGAGCGACACGCGCGTCTATACGAGCCCGTGCTGGCGGCCAGGTGAGTAGCTCGGAGCCACGCTTGGTGCTAGAGTACCTTGGAAACTGGAATTGTTGTCTTACTAAAAACCGTATTTTTGTTGGTTTTCAAAATTTGTAGTTTTATAGCGCCGCTAGGATTTTTGCATTGCAGCATCTTCATTTCGTTCTCTCCTATTAGTGACAGGTCGAATTATTTAAAGTATATCCACCATGGTCCACCTGACACTTCGCTTACAACCGCGATAACTTTTTTATGCAAGTCATTGTGAACATGCATTAGGGGGACCAAACCACTACATTAGATTTGATAGACCACAGATCCTTGCAGCTGAGCGGCGGTTCGTTCCTCGAATGATGCGCGAGGCTATTGAGATTAAAAAATATCCAAATTTCAATAGGGAAGATGGTTGGTATATACCACCAGCTTGGGAACCTATTATACAGGAGATAAAATCCCCACCCCGAGCACACACTGCAAGACCATCAGATACTATTAGTTCTTTTTGTTTGCATAACTTAACATAAGAAGGAGATAGAAAGCCTCTCTTGAGTTTGTTTCGCCGGTTCTTCTCAGGAAGGTCTCCCAATTTTGGAACCGGTGGTAGTTTACGGTAGTTAGGGTCAAATAAATAAACTCAAAATTACAAACAAGAATTTTAAATAAAATACTTTATTAAGTAAATTAAATAATAAATTCATACATAGACAATAAAATTTTAAAAATCTTCCAATGAAATAACCGAGCGCTCAATATAAGTCTTTTGAAGGTAGCTCGACAATTTAAATAAAAAATCATTATTCTGACGATGCAGACCTGAAAAGGCTGCGAAACGTCAATAAATAAATAAAGTTTCGTGCATTAACCCGAAAAAACTAGTTTTATTTATTTAAGTCATTGTGTGTTAAGTCGTGGGTTCAAAGTAAAATTATGTAATATTTTTTTTGTAATAATAGTAAAAACCCCTGCCAATATTCATTCTAGACACAGTTGCCAACAATCGGCACTTCATTTTTAATACTGTCAAATACCCTATTTAATACCTCCTTTCAGGGTCTTTTAGACTGTGCTTGTGTTATGTTTTATAACATTATCAATTTTTTGTTTCATGTTTACATTTTTAGTTATATATTATTAGTTGAAGTCTACATCATAATTTTCACTCTCACAGCTTAGGTCGTGTTTCCATGCATTCGAACACGATAAAGAAACATCTCTGGCAAGAAATCAGACACGATGGCCCCACATTTATCAACACCTCCACCACCACAGATAACTGTAAGTAATCAATGTGTTGTACTTGTAATTATGATGTCATTATCATTATAGCCGGAAACCTAGAATGATGCCTTGTACTTGAATACTCTGGTTCTGAAGTTTTATTAATAGCGACATCTGTATGAAAAAATCTAAGATATGTTTCATTATTAGTTAGTTTCCGTAACACCTAATATTAATGGGGTTACCATATCTCATAAATCTGATTTGATTTTCGCCCGGTTTTAAGCAGAAATCCCAAATTTTCTACATTGTATCGATTCTTTTGTGATGGCTTCATCATACTGATTACACGATTTGTTAAAGAAGTCGCCATTTGTCATATTCCAGGTCTGATTTTTGCGCTGTTCAATAATAAAAACCCAAAAGGGACCTTCGATTTTTTGCGCCCTATTTTATACGCTGGTACAAATTATCTCAAAAAACATTTAAAATTATGTATACATACAAAGAATCACTCATCAAAATCTCAAATTCAATAAATAATGGTGAAAATGTAAACTAGAACAAAACGTATAAAGTAACGTTATTACTTACATGCAATTTGTCATTGAATGACAGATGACAACATTGGTTAAAAAATAATTTCCTCGATTGTGGTTGGATGTAATAAAAATCAGGAGTTTTTCCGATTTACCATATTATATTATCTGTGTTGCCATTAATTTCAATGTTTAAACGTCATTTTTGTGTGGTACAATGGAAAATAAACTCCAGTAATATTTTTGTTGAATTCGGCGTATTTTTCTGCATATAAATGCATGATAATTCTTGAGGTACAAAATGGGGCATGAAAGGACAATGCAGAGAGGATCCATTCCTTTCTGCATTATTTTGAGTTTAAGACGAGGCTGATTTTGATTAACATTGACAAGTACTTTAGCAACTGACTTCGATATAAGAGCAGTTTATCTTTATATATATAATTCTTCTGTGAGTGTGTATGTCACTGAACTTCTCTTAAACGATTGGACCGATTTTGATGAAATTTTTTGTGTGTGTTCAAGGGGATCTAAGAATGGTTTAGATTCACAATTTTGTCCGTTGGACAACCCCTATTTTTTTAGGGCGGTACGAAGTTCGCTGGGTCAGCTAGTGTATTTATAAAAGAGAATACCCATTTTACTACGAGTGCCGTCCCAATTAACAAGTTATGACTAGTACAGGCATGTTGTATTTATTGTCTGTAATCATATTTCAAAGATATTTTCTTCACATTTTGTGCAAGGAATTTTTTTACTTAACAAATACTTATTGCCGATTTCATTACCTAGTTATCTATTTAAAAACATTTTTAATTGATACTTTATCGTATAGCTCATATCTTTTTTTCTTGCACGTAATTGAAAATTATTCCCGTACAAATAAAATTAATGTTTAAGAAGACCTTTAATTTGCGATAGGGCCCAACATAACTTGTTGGGAGACTTGGGACAATATCTGGCAATCTCCTTTCTATCTTTCTTTTCCCTCCAAGCGGAAGACGACTCGTTCCCCTGGAAGCTGCGTCTAGCCGACGTGTCTTGTTACACACTCGGCATCAATGTTCCCACTGAGCGTTCGAGCCGTGACTTCTCCGTCCGCACGCAACGGTCTCAACTGAAGACCCCCGAAGCTGCGCACAAGACTGTCCTCGAAATGGTCACTACTACAGTCACTCTGTCTGTAGTAACCAAATCGCTGCAGATCAAACCTTCGATGAGACGAGATAGGACGGACACTGCAAACCCCGAACCGGAAGACGTAAGGTTTTTCTAAGCTAAAATAGTTGAAGATAAAGATGTTTAAAAATTAATTGGTAATGATCATGGTAGATAACTTCAGATGTTAATTTTAAATTTTGTGTTTCCTTTCAGAAAACGAAATATTTTACTACCGGAATCGACTTTAAACCATCTACGCTGAAAGAGTTCTTTCGGGGACCCGCGAAGTAAGAAAAAACTTTATTTAATGCCATACACAAGTTAATATATAAATTGTGTTAGGGCTTATGAGTTAGCCTTCTTATATTTAACAGAAAATGATTTCTTTTAATATATTATTTTCTCTTTCACAGACGAAAAAAATCTACTGCTACGGTGAGTAAAAATATTTATAAAATATTATTTATTAGCTGTGCCCCGCGGTTTATTAGGGATATTTTCCCGTAGTAAAACGGAGCCTATGTGTTAATCCGGGGTGTCAGCTAAGTCCATACCAAATGACTCCACCCCGCCTGATGTTAAGTGGAGGTGAAGTCCAGACGCGAAGATAGCTGATACAGCAGTTCTACCTGCCACACCAGACATCCTCACCCTGCCGGCCTGCATGTTGCTTCTTCACGCCTCTTTTAAAGGATCCCAGGCTGTAAGAGGGAGGGAACACGTGAGCATGCAGAGCATTCCATTTACGGATAGTATGACAAAGAAATGAGTCACCAAATTTTTTGTACGCATTGGAATTGTAGCCACAGTTAGACGGTGACAACGTAAGCCAGCGCGCGTGGTCCTCTGAAGGAAAGGGGAAGGTGGAATAAGAGAGAATAACTCCTCAGAACACTCGCCGTGGTACAGACGATAGAACGCGCTTAGTGACGCCACGTCACAGAGTAATTGAAAATCGCTCGCCGTGTAGACGTGAAGAAGTAACAAACATACACACACACAAACTTTCGCCTTTATATATAATATTCGCGTGAATTACTCAATTGGCTTATTTTGGCTTGCTAATTTTTGTAGTAACCTGCTATGATTTGCTTTGAGTTGTAACTGTTAATAAAGGTTTTTGTTAATGTAGCGTTGTATAGTGCGATTCAATATTAATGTGTGGCTGTGACGTATTATAGGCACGCGAGGGATTTCATTGAAATTAGAACCTGCGCAAAGGTGCGCTCGTTGCTATTTTCACATCTTTATAATATATATAATTCTTCTGTGAGTGTGTATGTCACTGAACTTCTCTTAAACGACTGGACCGATTTTGATGAAATTTTTTGTGTGTGTTCAAGGGGATCTGAGAATGGTTTAGATTCACAATTTTGTCCGCTGGACAGACAACCCCTATTTTTTTTAGGGCGGTCCGAAGTTCGCTGGGTCAGCTAGTTCGCTATAAAGTTTGAACCGCACCATATAATAGCGCGTATTTTATTTTCGTTTTTTTAAGTATGAATGAAACAAGCATCCATATTTAAGTATGCTTAAAAGAAGGCTAAGACCTCTTTAAAGTCAATTTTATCGTTTGAGATAGCGTAATAAACATAATTCATTTTCATTCACGTATTTGAATGTTTATGACATATTATTGTAATAGTATATATTATAATTTTGGAATACACATACTAACACACACTCACACATACACATATTTTTAACATACACACATACACTCACACAGACACATACATCCACACCCACACACACGCACCGCAAGCAAGCATGCACACTTGATTAAACCTCATTTAACTAAGTTGATAATGGTGTCGATTCTAGCATGATTCTCTTAACCTAAACTTAAATTTGACAGCAGTATAGAGCTATAGAGAATGAAAAGGAGAGACTGATGTTAAATTTAGTTTTAAGCTTGGAGAATCAGGCCGGAATTGGCACCAATAGTTATATATACAGGGTGGTCCAATAAGTGACATCAAATTTTTTTTTATATTCCTCGCACCTTGGGTATCTGAAAATACCCCATATGTGTTCCGCGATTTTTCATAGTTTTCGTTTTTTTTTTAAATTACCTTAAAGTTACCGAGTAACTGCGGATTATTTTGACCTAAAATGTGCACTTGTTTTTCAAATAAAACTGTAGCTTCTCTTTGTGATGAATATGTCACGTTTATATCTTGCCATTGTGAACTTTAAAGTATAAGGTACAAAGTTAATATACGAAAATAGGAAAAAATAATCTTTATGGGTTAATATATATTTTTTTTATTTTGGGCCAAAGTTGGCCTTAAAGAGGGTTTTTCTAGCTCGTTGAGTTTTCTCTGTGAAAAAAAACTCATTTTAAGCCATGTTGGGGTTAAGTAACCCTTATAACAGATCACCATTAGCATACTGAATACACAAATGGATGTTTTTGCCCAAAAATAATTAAGTTAAATAAAAAATATAACTTGAAATTTAGAAAAAATAGTAAATTTACCGAAAATCACAGTTTTGAGAAAGTTTGCGCATGAACTTGCGAACTATTTCGGTTACAAAAAATCCCGCGTTACAATGACAACTTGATACAGGAACGATGTCGGTAAAACAACACCACACTGCGCGCCTATATGGCTATCTATGATTTTCAACTGGAACTATTACGGTCACCCAAGAGATACTGATGGGGCGGCAAGTTCAATATTTTTTCTGATTTGGGACAAAGTTACGACCGACCGACCCGCCCGAGCTAAAGTACAGTCACTTACGGTACTCAAAAAAGGCTTCAAAGTTGGAACTTTAGTTTTTAGTAGGATTTACTCAAACATTTAACTTCAATTTAAAAATACAAAAAGTAGTTTCCATTGCTTCTGGCTAAAATTAAAAACTCGGCATGCTTCTAATCTAACAAAAATCATAAAAAAATAGTACTTAATCAGCCTATTTTTGTTGTATTTCGAAGGCGGATGGGCTAAAAATCATCATCAGATTTTTGGTAGTTTAGAAGCATGCGGAGTTTTTAATTTTAGCCAGAAGCTATGGAGACTCCTTTTTGTATTTTTAAATTGAAGTTGAATGTTTGAGTAAATCCTACTAAAAACTAAAGTTCCAACTTTCAAGCCTTTTATAGCCTTGAGTAACTTTTAAGTAATTTCAGGAAGCTGAGTTATTTTTTTTATTAAAACTACATTCAAGACAATTATGTCACAAAGACTGCAAAATACCTACTACGAAAAAAGATATGAATTTTTGAAACCTACCTGGCAGAAATCATTGAAAATACACAAAAAAATTAACTCGAAAACTAAAAAAATCGCGGAACATACATGGGGTATTTTCGGATACCCCCAGGTGCGAGGAATCTAAAAAAAATTTGTTGACGTCACTAATTGGACCACCCTGTATATAGGATTATATTAATTCTAATATTCTTTTAGATAAAATTGCACCTACTCAGTACCAACTAGTGTATATTTAATGGGAAGACACTGGCTTTTGCAACACAGTTTATACTAGTTTAGAATTCAGGGCCTCACATATAACTGTAACCTGGTGTAAGTACGAATAACTAAATTATTAAAATTCTAAAATAGCCTTTATTCGTATGTAGCCGACGGCGGAGACTCAGACGCAGGAGACTCAACCCCCCGGGCACGCGGTGCGGAGCGGCCCGCTGGTCTCCTTAGGCGTACACTTGCACGCGGACACGCCGCCTATCATAGTGCGGCTAGACCGCGAGCAGGTACCTACCCCACTTATCATCATTAGCATATTAATGTCCCCACTGCTGGGGCACAGGCCTTCCCTACGGATTGAATAGGGACATTGGACCATAACCCATCACGCGGGCCCTGTGCGGATTGGCGGCTGCTAACGACTGCAGATGCAGCCGGGACTAACAGCTTAAATGCCTACCGGAGCACAGAGGAACTCGAGATAGAAGATTTTGGTCATCCATCCAATGACCGACCACTGCGAAAGTTGCTTAACTTCAACGATCGCAGCCGAACGCGCTAACCACCTGCACCATTGAGTTCCTCATTTTATCATCATCATAATCAGCCAAAAGACATCCACTGCTGCACATAGGCCTCCTCTAGGGATCTCCAATCACAACGATCCTGAGCTTCCCGCTTACAGGGGGTCCCCCCGATTCTCTTGATGTCATCAGTCCACCTGGTAAGGGGTCTACCGACATTGTGCTTCCCGGTGCGAGGTTGCCATTGAAGCACCTTAGGACCCCAACGTAGACGGGTGGGCCGAAGAAGGCAGGCAGCCGTGACTGCCGGTCTTCGTCGGCCCTAAGGTGGTCTGGGCGCGGCTTGGCCACCGCTTGCCCTAGCTACCATTCGGCATAGGCCACCCCGTCTGGGGATTGCTTAGTACCCTAGCGCAATCCACCAGAGGCGTGTCGTGTGAGACGCTCCCGCATGGGCGTAGGAGGATACCGGTGAGATTTAGTGGGTAGGACCGGCGCTGCGTTCCGCGCCGATTTCTTATCCAAGCCCGCCAAGGGCTAACTCTTATCTATTAGACAAGTCCGTCTGTCCGTCCGCCCGTCCGTCCGTCTGTCTGTGGTGCTGTTTCAGCGGCCAAATCGTAAGAGATAGATAAAGAGAATGTTTAAGTTATAAGTTAAGAATAGTCTGATAAGACTACAAACCGGATTTGAGTAACGTAGCACTTCCGGCTTTCGAGAAATCACGAATTTAAAACGAAACCACACAAAATCTCCGAAGTTCTCAATTAATTAAATACACTTTTTTTTTTGTGAACATTTGGTTCACTGCTTTGCTAGTTTATATTAATTTCTTATAAAAAAAAAAGAAAGGTCTCCAACATTCTTCGGTTGTCCAACAATGTGCCCCGCCCATTGCCACTTCAGCATGGCGATCCGTTTAGATATGTCGGTTAATCGAGTTCTTCTACGGGTTTCCTCATTTCTGATTCGATTTCGAGTGATCGAGTGCTTTGTACGCTGGGTTTCAAGGTGTCGCCTGCTCGAGAGGTCCCGGGTTCGAATCCCTGTGGGGGCAGATGTTTGTGTGATGAATACGAGCATTTGTACTCCAGTCTTTAATGTTTAATACTGTATAAATATGCTTGTATATGTACAGTATATGTATTCTATCCGTTACCCTAGTATCCCATAACACAAGCCTAACAGTGTTTACTTTGGGGATAGGTTAATTGGTGTGAGTGTTGGAAATACTTATTTATTTATCTAATATTGACTGGATGCGCAGGTGCATCTGGTAGCGACTGCTGTACACGGGCTGCAGCACATGCTGGCGTTGCTGCAGCGGCGACCAGTTTTACCCCAAAAAACGTTATATACGTCCGTGGGTACCTCCCGTCGGTCATTGATAAGGTATATATTGAACTTAGATTAAAACAAAAAAGGTAGATACGGCACTAGCCTCACAAAAGTGATCCGCCTAAATTGTGGTCCACGACCCTAATCGCTTTAGTCACAACTTGACATGCAAACGACGTACATGTGAACGCCAAAAAGAAATATTGCTAATATTTTGTGTTTATATGATAAAACAATGCCTGAGTGTGTTTTTAAAAAGTGCTCAAATTGCAAAAGAACTAAAAATAAAACCCACGGCATCACTTTTCATTCGTAAGTACTATAAAATATACTTTTTCATAAAAATTGCTGTTTGTTTTGAATCTTATTCGGTAGTGACGTCGAGTACTGGTCGCGTGATTGGTCGGTAGTGCAGTGACGCGGATCTCGCCTTACCGTTCGCGCTGTCGTGGGATCAGTTTTTGTTTGATGCAAGTAGGAGCGTACCGTATCTACCCTTTTTGTTTTAATGTAAGATATTGAAGAAGCAACATGCAGGCCGGCAGGGTGAGGATGGCTGGTGTGGCAGGTAGAACTGCTGTACCAGCTATCTTCGCGTCTGGACTTCACCGTCGCTTAACATCAGGTCGGGTGGAGTCATTTGTCGGATCTGTCTATAAAAAAATAGTTTACATAATGCTTTTATTTTTTTTCTGACAAAGCTTAAGGCGTCGTTCTATTTGGCAGCGATTGTGCTGCACGCTTGTGATGACACTACGCGTTCTCGACGCGCGAAGATTTTCTAATGTAAACATTTCTTTAAACAAGTTTATTTTATTTATTTATTGACGTTTCGCATCCTTTGCAGGAGTGCGTCGTCGCAGTAATAATTTTATATTTAGTTTTGAACACATAGACATTCCTTCAGAAGTGTCTTAAGTGCAGTTCTGAAGCCGTCGCACTATCACAGGTACATTGTTTTCATCGCGCGATGAGATCGAATCGTGTAATCGTACGATCGTTGCCAATTATGACGACACCTAAGAGTAGAAGAGGATAATTATTTTTCTTCCGACTATTGTCCTGTTATTTTTGCTTATTATTTTCCCCTTTTCTTTGCCAAATTTTTCTCCATGTACAGCCTACAAAACTAGTACTGATCTTGTCAACTCTTTATGTACCTAATCTCTCATGGTTTTAGTAAACTAAAATATTTTAAAATGACGATTATAGACGGTTTCCCATATTTTGCTATTGCTTTGACAATCTAATTTGCCAGGAATCATGAATAATGATGGATATTTTTTTTTAGATCTGTCTCTGAAATAGAAGAAGTTCGAACACCATCAGAGGAAACGCAAAGTGAGAACCCCTCCGAAAATCGATCAGAGCTCATATCGATATATGAATCCTATAATGCTGTCAAACGTAAGTGCTATTTATACTTTTAAAACCACTATATAGAATACTAGCGGCCCGCCCTCGCTTCGCTTCGGTGTAGAGCTAAAGTGTAGACTACAGTTTTTGTTCTCTTGTAGGTTTGTATTATACACAATGACATTCATCTATGATTCTTCTTATACCTGCATGCAAAGTCTCAGCCCGATCGCACATTGTGTTATTTCACCTCAAAATTACCACTCCCTTGATTAAAGGTGAATCAGATAAAGCTCTTCATTCTAAGCGCAAGAGTAAAACTCCCACGATTCTAACTATAATAGTTTCGATGAAATCCCGGTTTTTCTTTTTTTGTACCACATTATGAAAAAGAAATAAAAAAATTTTTTTGTCTAAACTATTACAGTTATTTTATTTTTTACATTGTATTTCAAAAGGTATTATTTTTATCCATATTATGAGTCTTCTATGGCTGCCCTAGAGCTTGTAGGAACCGAGAAATCGGCGATTTAGTGATTTTCGTTTTTAATTTTTTGTGCTCATGTTATGCAATATTAAAGCTTATATTTTAGTTCAAAATGTAGCTAATAATGTAAACTATCAACTCAAAAAATAACAAGCTTTAACTCGGTGGTATATCGGAAATATTAAGAATTTAAATTTGTGGGACAATGTCCCACATTTTGGAGACTTAATTTTGAAAACGTAGCTATGCTACTTTTTAAATATTATACTATAATAACTATATAAATACGTTGTTATTATATTATTTACTATTTATATAAGATTATAAATTCGTTTGGTATGTTTGTTACATAATCATCCACTTTTGTGAGCCAACTTGTTTAGATGAAATGTGGCACACAGGCATTAAGTTCTTCCCTATTAAGTGCAAATAATCAAATAAATCTGAATCATTTTTGTATCCCAAGTGAAAAAATGACCCAAAAGTCAGACAGTGGCGAGTAATAAAAAATTCTGACATAGGACAAATAACTGCAGAACGATAAAAAGAAATCCAAAATCAAATTAAGCAAAGTATGGGTCTATTGGTAGACGTTGTTAAGCCTAACTCAGGGACCACGAATGATGGTAATACGGCTCGTCGAGTATTCAAAAGTGAACAAAGCCGCCAGACGTTTGCCAATATACTTGGTATTGAGAAATGGCTCGTAGATGATTTAAATGTAATTTTAATAGCCATCAATTCGGGATTACCAATAGACGCCCAAAAATTCGGTACTTTTTGTAAAAATATAGCTAAAAAATACGTAGAAAACTACAACTGGCACCCTATGACTACTACCCTTCACAAAATGCTAATTCACGGAAAGAAAATTATAGAGAATTCAGCGCTACCCATTGGACTACTCTCCGAACAGGCAGGAGAATCCAGGAACAATTTTTGGCGTCAGGATAGAGAACATCACAGCCGGAAAGATTCTAGGGTTCATACCATGATCGACTTATGTCACAGGGCGCTCGAGTCATCCGACCCTGTGATATCGGCTATACGGCTAAAACATCGTGAAAATAACCGAATGAGACGTGCCACTGCCACAGGCTGTAATAAATTTATTAAAACCGGACAGTTCGGGATGTTTATATATGACGATAACAGTGATGTCGACGACGAAACTGCATGCATAGAAAGTGAAGAAAATGAATTCACCACTGTTCTTCATAACGAAGACAGTGTCTTTACGACAGATAATGTTTAAACAGATTTATTTGCTCTTAATAGGGAAGAACTTAATGCCTGTGTGCCACATTTCATCCAAACAAGTTGGCTCACAAAAGTGGATGATTATGTAACAAACATACCAAACACTTTTATAATCTTATATAAATAGTAAATAATATAATAACAACGTATTTATATAGTTATTATTGTATAATATTTAAAAAGTAGCATAACTACGTTTTCAAAATTAAGTCTTCAAAATGTGGGACATTGTCCCACAAATTTAAATTCTTAATATTTCCGATATACCACCGAGTTAAAACTTGTTATTTTTTGAGTTGATAGTCTACATTATTAGCTACATTTTGAACTAAATTATAAGCTTTAATATTGCATAACATGAGCACAAAAAATTAAAAACGAAAATCACTAAATCGCCGATTTCTCGGTTCCTACAAGCTCTAGGGCAGCCATAGAAGACTCATAATATGGATAAAAATAATACCTTTTGAAATACAATGTAAAAAATAAAATAACTGTTATAGTTTAGACAAAAAAATTTTTTTATTTCTTTTTCATAATGTGGTACAAAAAAAGAAAAACCGGGATTTCATCGAAACTATTATAGTTAGAATCGTGGGAGTTTTACTCTTGCGCTTAGAATGAAGAGCTTTATCTGATTCACCTTTAATCAAGGGAGTGGTAATTTTGAGGTGAAATAACACAATGTGGATCGGTGTAAAATTGACAAAGTTTCATACAAAGTTTCATTCCCTATTTTATCCCCTTAGGGGTAGAATTGATCAAAATCATTTCTTAGCGAATGCCTACGTCATAACATCTACCTGCATGCCAAATTTCAGCCCGATCCGTCCAGTGGTTTGGGCTGTGCGTTGATAGATCACTATGTCAGTCAGTCACCTTTGAGTTTTATATATATAATTACTCCTTAACTGCCTTATTAATAAACAAGGAATAAACCTGAGACTAGTTACGCCGTGTTTTATTCATGTCACTGTCATTCAATGAACAGAGACTTAACATGGAGTAACTAATCCAAGCTTATACTTCGTTTATTTCGTTTAAGTGAGTTGCCACTTTGAGAGCAAAGCAAAACGAAAGTTTTCAATCTTGTATTTGACTTTGCTTCACTTAGCTGCTTAAATGCTTTTAAATATACCATACTAGCAAACCCGGCGAACTCCGTTTCGCCACCAGATGGCTTCGTTTTATGTAACATTTCGTTTGGTGATTAAAAGAAGTTTTTTTTTTTTAATTTTCCTGAATTTTCTTTGCTATAAACCTCACGGAGCCCGAGACCTTTCCAACGAATGCAAAACCGTGGAAATCGGTTCGTGCGTTCTGGAGTTATAGCGTCAGGAAGGAAATCCCGACTTATTTTTATATAGTAGATATGAATACTTTACAACAAAATAATATTAATGAGGCGAGATTTAAAATACAAACATAGTATACAATAATCATGTTAATTGACATATTATTTTATTTTTATTGACATATTTATTAATTTTAATTACTGACAAATTTAATTTAATTTTATAAATTAATTTCCGTTTCTATTATATTTCTACTGTTAATAAGATCAATTGGAGTAAGTTATATTGTTAAACTAATGGAATCTGATGACATTTATGCATAATTTGAGATATAAAGTGGTTTAATACAAATTAGGTTCCTCATATACATAATTGTTTATTGATTAAATTCTTTTGTAATTTTTATCTTTAAGACTGTATATTGCGATACCCTGACAGGGTTCATGTTAGGTATTATAAGCATTTTGTAACCATCTATGTAACCACATAAGTGCAATAAATTGAATTGAATAGCTATGCTACGTTAACCATAGTATATGCCAGCTATATAAAGATATAGCGATAGTGACCTTGTTTCGCTTTCCTCCTTTTTGCCGACCTTCCTAATGTGTGTATGTAGTGGTATGTAAATACATCATCTTCAAGTTGTCGCCTACTCCCGGGTCGTGGGTTCGATTCCCAGTGAGGCAAATGCTCGTATGATGAATACGAAGATTTGTACCGAAGTCATGCTTAAATAAATAAAAAATAAAACTGAAATAATAATATAGGGCCGCGATAGCATAATGGTCCGCTGCTGCCTGGTCCGCGTGGATTTTTTTCTAGTAATATTTTCTTTAGATTTAAACATCGAGCATATATATTTCACAATAATGTATTAATTTCCGTTACCGTAGTGAGTATCCCATTACACAGTCCTCATAGATCTTACTTTGGGACGAGATATTTTGGTGCAATTGTAAGAAATATGAATTAGGTGAATGTTAATCAAGCTACCTTGCCGCTTAAGAAACGCTAGAAAGAATTCGACACGGCCGGCAGGGTCGCGATAGCATAATGGTCATTGAATTCGTCTGGGTTCGGAGGGGTTCGAGTCCCGTCTGCTGCCTGGTCCGCGTGGATTTTTTTCTAGTAATAATTTCTTTGGATTTAAAGTTCTTTATTAAGAGCTTGATGTTTTGTAGCGATAGTGAAATTGAAGACGTTCTTCTGGTTCCAATGGGTGGTGAGTCGCGCCACTCTCGTGGTGGCCACCAGGTCGGTAAAACTGGCCTTCGACATGGACGACATCATATCGACGGTCGATCTGCAGTCGCACTATAGCCAACTGAAAGTCAAGGTGGCGTCTGCCTCGGTGCGGCATTACGAGAGGTTAGTGTTTATTGTACGTTTGAGGAGCTCTATGTTGATTAGCGCATTCGGCTGCGATCGTTGAAGTTAAGCAACTTTCGCAGTGGTCGGTCATTGGATGGGTGACCGAAAATATTCTATCTCGACTTCCTCTGTGCTTCGGAAGGCACGTTAAGCCGTTGATCCCGGCTGCGTCTGCAGTCGTTAGCACCCGCCAATCCGCACTGGGCCCGCTTGGTGGGTCATGGCCTTTTTTTTTTTTTTATGACGAGGGGAAATGCAGTTACGCACCATACCGTGACGCTGACTAGGCGCACGGCGTGTGTGGGACTCGCCGGCACGGGAAACAGTGCCGACCCTACTCAAGCAGGACCAGTGCGGAAGGCCACACTGATCCTACTCCACTAAAACCCCCCGGTACCCTCCTACGCCCATATGGGGGCGGTCTCGGGGCCGACGCACCTGCGTGCGCCACATCTCCGAGCACTGGTGGGTCATGGCCTAATCTCCCTATCCCATCCATAGGGAAGGTCTGTGCCCCAGCAGTGGGGACATTAATAGGCTGATGATGATGATCATACACCTTTGGAATCTATAACGTGGTTCGTGTCTGTCTGTGTTTCTGCACGGAGTTGTGGCAAGTGAGGGAGTTGTCCGCAATTTCTATTTTCAATCAATCAATCAATACTTTATTGCGTTCTACAATGTTTTCTTAGATCTTAATAGGTACATTGCTTTGATCATTGTAGACCCTGAACAGGGCACAGCAAATAGAGAAGAGGACGCATTCACTAATTGTAATTTACGAGTAGTTAGTACGTATACAATTTACCAGCCAAATACGATAATTTTTTACCCAACAAATAAAAATATAATAATATATCAACATTATTTATTCATTTTAGCTTAATATTATATTATATTATTTGAATTATTATCTATGTCATATTCTATAGTATATTATGTTATATTTATATTCAATTTTATTATATACAAATTAAATTAAATTAATAAAATGTCAGGTATAGTAAAAAATTAAATTAAATTGTAGATATCATTACTTTAAATTATTATCTTCTAAAAATTCCTTAACCGTGTAATAACATTTGCTTAATAGTAGCTTTTTAATTTTTCCAATGAATATATTATCAACCTTTTCCTCAACTAACGTTTTAGGTAATTTAATTTATGAATTTATGAATTTTGACAGCCATTTGAAGTGGACCAGATGTGTTCATTTTCTCTTCTGATCCAAGCCTAGAAACTTTGTAATACAGTAATTTGTGGTCTCTAAATACGAATCTGGAGTCAGATTCGGGACTGCAGTCCAATGCAGCAGCTGCAATTTCTTCGGCTGAAGTTTATTCTTCGCCCCGGCTCTGATTACGGTGTAACAAATCTGTGCAACAATCGTAATAGGGATGATGACTAATTTTTCTTTTCTTCTTTTATCAGGTAGATTATCAAAAAGTATTGGACACGTATTTTTTCTTTTTTCACATAATATAAACATTGAAGAGATATATTAATTTGAAAAGTCGCATGACGTCACGTTTTAGTACACTAGACGTCATGAGCCCCTACTTATTATTTTATTTTTTGGTTGATTGCCAAAGAAAAAATACGTGTCCATTATTTTTTTTGATCATCTAACTGACGGACTAAATAGAATTTCGTTTACTGTACTCCGTCATCACCCCTATTCAATTGATTCATTAAGTTTGCGTGTTGCTATTCAAAAAAGTCTTATTCAGTGTGCAAATTGTTGCTTGCCAGTTGATTTTATATCATGTCGCTGCGTTAACTTACTTTATTGATTTTCTACGAATTTCTCTGCATTCCACACCGCACGTAACACCCGGGTTTGATACATCGTCTCTTTTCCTCGCGGTCCGTACCTGCTATATTGCTAACATCGCATTCAGAAATGCGCGTAGAAACAAAGAAAGAATGTCTATATTCTTCCGCATATAGCAATAAGTCGTAAAATAGTACGAATTTGAATTTCTTATTGTCTTAACTCTTTGACGCATGCGTTGTAGTTAAGACCTTATACACTATGCGTTAAAGGTGACTTTCAGTGCTTAAATAATAGCTTATCATCATCAGCCAATTAATGTCGCCACTGTTGGGGCACAGGCCTTCCCTATGGATGGAATAGGGAGGTTGGGGGATGACCCACCACGCGGGCCCAGTGCGCATTGGCGGGTGCTAACGACTGCAGATGCAGCCGGGAGCAACGGCTTAACGTGCCTTCCGAAGCACGGAGGAACTCGAGATAGGAGATTTTTGGTCACCCATCCAATGACCGACCACTGCGAAAGTTGCTTAACTTCAACGATCGCAGCCGAACACGCTAACTACTTGGCCATCGAGCTCCTCAATAGCTCAAATAGATCGTGTTTTCAACAACAATAGCTTATATTGTTGTTGAAAACACGATCGTCTTACGGATCTCCGTGGATCGTCCAATGTAGGTAACATTTGGACAGGTTTCGGCCACGATTTTGTTCGTGTTGTTGTATCTAGGGTATTTTATATCGTTTATAGTCATATTTGTTTCTTAGGTTTTCACGCACATCACTCATTAAATAAAACTAGTTTTTACGGGTTAATGCACGAAACTTTATTTATTTATTGACGTTTCGCAGCCTTTTCAGGTCTGCATCGTCAGAATAATGATTTTTTCTATTTTTTTTTGATAAAAAAATCATTATTCTGACGATGTAGACCTGAAAAGGCTGCGAAACGTCAATAAATAAATAAAGTTTCGTGCATTAACCCGTAAAAACTAGTTTTATGTTTATAGTCATGATATAATCATGAATGTTGCGTAGGACGGGCAGCTACGATTGGACGGCAGGAGTACTGGGCGGTCGCGTGCTCGAAGCGCGGGAACCGAACAACGCATTGGAAGAAAACCACTTTATGTCGGTTACTGTCACGCAGGCAAGGTGAGATGCATACCATTGTGTGCTTTAGTGATGTAACGAATATTCGCATTCACATTCGCATTCGCAAAATCTCTGCGAATGTTTTGCGAATATGAATATTAGAAAAAAACAATTTGAAGAAGTTGTAGTTCTGCCTTTCCTTGAATATTCATTGTTACACAGTTTGCATTTAGCTCTTTCAGCATCGCAAAGTGTGAAATAAGTCCATGTTTCACTAGAATTCGATTTACTCATGTTAATAAATCACTATTACCACTCACATTACAAGCACTATGCTCAAAATTCACTTGTTTTGTTTACGGAAAGACCAGTGAGAGCGGAATGACAGTTCAGTCGGATGAGTTCATATCAACTCGGTAATTCGAACGAGACTGCCACCATGACATAGACAATTGGCGCCAATTTTAAAAAAAACTAAATATTCGCATTCGCGAATGTCGGTACCAGACATTCGCATCCGCATTCGCATTCGCGAATATTCAAAAAATGACATTCGTTACATCACTAGTCTGCTTCAGGCCGTTTGCAGCTAATTTGCTAAATCTCGGTTCAACTATAACCCATAAAAATACAAAACGTCAATGTGATTTGACATTTACGTTTAACATTGACACTTAACATCAGGTGGGACGGAGTAATATGTCTGACTTATTTAAAAAAAATGTCGATTCTGGAAAGGTTATCTTAACCTAAACTTAAATTTGACAACAGTGTATCCTTTTCATTCTCTATATAGAATGAAAAAGAAAAACTGATGTTAAATTTAGTTTTAATTTTATGATGAATCATGCCAGAATCGACACCAATATTGTATGAGATTTATCTAGTTTTAGTTAAATTAAGATTTAACAAAATTGCTGCAAGTGGATCTTATTCATGTAAGGTTTTGTATACTAGCCAAACTTAAGTTATACTAAGAAAATCTGCTCCTTTAATTTTTATTAAGTAATATCTAAACGAATTTTCCAATAACGTAAGTGAAGCTCAAATATTAGCTTAGAATATATATCTTTATATATATAATTCTTCTGTGAATATGTATGTCACTGAACTTCTCTTAAACGACTGGACCGATTTTGATGAAATTTTTTGTGTGTGTTCAAGGGGATCTGAGAATGGTTTAGATTCACAATTTTGTCCGCTGGACAACCCCTATTTTTTTAGGGCGGTACGAAGTTCGCTGGGTCAGCTAGTTGGAATATAAATATTTAATTTTTATTGAAAATTAATTAAGTGGTTTCGCATACACAGTGCGCTGTAAAAAGTCTCTTCTCTTCATAAGGTTTGAGTCAATTTTCGAGTAACATAATAAATGTATTTTGTAGGATTGCGAACTTACCCGCGAATTGGAAAGAAGAACTGCATCCGAAACTTCTTGAAGAGAAAACGGTAAGTAATTTAAAAAGCCAGGGTTTCCTCACAATATTCGTAATTGGTAAAACGCACCTATATATTTCGAACTGGGTACCAAACCCATGTTGCGTGAATCTTGACTTTGCACTAGAACGGGTTTTATAGCACGGTATGATTCTTTTTTTTTATGCTATAGGGGGCATACGAGCAAACGCCTCACCTGATGGTAAGTGATCACCGTCTCCCATGGACACTTGCAACACCAGGAGTATCACAAATGCGATGCCGGCCTTTAAGGAAGGAGTACGCTCATTTTTTAAAGGTTCTTGGGTCGTATTGGTCCGGAAACACTGCTGGCGACAACATATTCCACAGTTTATTCGTACGTGGTAAAAAATTTCGATTCTCAATACAAATCCATGTAATATTTATACATCCCCGGAAAACATCTTGAACTTGAAAACCATATAGCGTTCGTAATGGTTTATGACATGTTTTAAGCCTGCAAGCAATTTTACCCACAAAAATTATTTTACATTTTACCCAAAGAAATTTGCCGCTAATTATACGTCTCCATAAGCAATTTAACTGCATGAAAAATAAAGTACAGATTATTTGCATATGTTCATATTTAACATGCAAATTGGGAGCGATATAGCGTTAATACTTTGATCTATTGTCACGTGACCGATTACGCCTAGGATCGACCTTAAATGACGTCACCTGCTTGTAAACATGCTGCCGAGGTGACATTACTAAGCTTTGGACTGTTTGACGTTTTAATGAGAGCCGTGCGAAGTCACCTGCCTGTAAGACGCCGTATTTTCAAGAGATTCGTTTCCGCGGCATATAAGGAAATACACTTTTTATTTTCGATTCTTTTTCACGTTTACGTAACAGTGTTATATATCCACTATATATGGAGTCACTTTATACTAACTTTAACTTTAGATTAAAACAAGAGGGGGAGAAGCGGTACGCTCATACTAGCATCAAATAAAATATGATCCGAATCAACTACATAAGCAACTCTCACACACGCACACGTCTGCAAAGAAACATTCAATCGAGCGAGCGAGATAGAATTGTACGCTTCAATAAAAAAAAATAGGGAATCAGTAACTAAAATTTTTTGCCATGGCAAACCGTGATTTTTAAGATAAAATGTTTTTATAGTTTTACAAATGATAATTGTTGCCGTGGTATTTGTTATTTGATCTTGAACTATTTGTGTTCTTTATGAAAGCATTGAAGGCATTGTTTTATCTTTGTAATACAGAATATACGTAATATTGTTATATTGAGTGCACATGCGTCGTGTTTCGATGTCCAAATGTGACTAAAGCGAATTGCGGTCATGCACCACAATTTAGGCGTATCACTATTGAACCGCGAGTGCCGTATCTTCCCTTTTTGTTTTAATCTAAGTATACTAATGAATAACGTATGAACGTTTTCAAAATCTTGTCAAATAGTCTATTGTTTAATGCAGAACACGGATACAATGTGGGAGATCTACGCGACGGTGGCGCCCCTGGAGGCTGTGCTGCAGCCCGAAGTGCTGAAGAATATAATGTCCTTGGCGCATGAGTTCGCGCCGCGCTCTTTCTGCCCCTTGCAACAAGAAGCCAGCGAGAGAAAGTATGACAATTTAAATAATGTATACTGAAATAATCAAAGCAATAAGTGAAAGTTTTAAGGAAGTTATAAAATATACTATTTGACATGTATGTTGGTAGCGATTTTACCATTCTGACAATAAAGTAGATGATAATATTACTAAAAATCAAGAAATAGAAAAGTATTTTTTTATCTATTGTCGCGTGACCGACAGTGTCTGGGATTGGTGGAGCCTAAAAAGGCAACGCATGCTTGTAAACATCTGACAAAATGTCATTATAATTGAAATTCTCGATTTTGTTTTTTATATTTATATGCAACAGAGTTTTATCATAAATATCCACTTTTTATGGAGTCACTATACACTAATAAACAAGGTATTAACGTTTGCAAAAACTTGACAATTAATAATTATTTATTTCTAGATTGTTTAACATAATTAACCTAATACAGTTGCTTTTAAGCTATTGCATAGCTTTGAGCACGGCGACCGAATCAAGAAATTCCGTAACGAAAATAAACCTACCCCCCCCCCCCTCGTCCCCACTCCGGCCGGCACAGCGGTGCGGCGTTGACAACCGTGCATCGTCTAATGTCGTTTCAGATCGGTAGACTTCGGCACGGTGTTTATGTGCGAGCGACTAGACGTATGCGTGTAGACTAGCTACTAACTGCTCATAACTGATTTTTTCTTATCGGTCATCACGCTCAAAAAGTGTAACTTGAATTAATATCAAAGAAAAAAATACTGCCAAATAAATTATTACAAATGCATAAGTTGATAAAAAATGCTTTGCAAAAGCTTTTCCGCGGCAGTTCCCGAGTGCCACACGTATTTTTTTAATGAATTTTAAGGTACATAGAAAATTGTGTAAGATATTTATTATGCCTATTAGTATTTGCTATTTATTTGTAAATTGACAACAGTTCCTCATTTTCATTCTCCATAGGATGTGATGCAAGCACAATCTGCTCTCAAAATGACAAATAGCAAACACGGATAGGCAAGTGAAATGCCGGCATTACAGATAATTGATAATTTATATTTTTTTCTTGTCATACATCTTAGTTACCACAAAGTATTTTTATTAAAATATAAATATGTTATGTGGCACATAAATAAAATTACATTCGATTCATTAATTTGTTGAAAATTTGTAGTTTTGAATACTTTGAATTCTGCTGCGTTCCATACTCATAACGAATGAGCTTACTCAAACAATAATTAATGTCTCCAACACATTACAATTTGAACAGGAATTCACTCTTTTGCTTGTAAAGTTTTACATAGAACTTATTTCATACTAGCTGTGCCCCGCAGTGTTACCCGTGGTTTATTATGGATATTTTCCCGCAGTAAAATGTAGCCTGTGTATTAATCCAGGGTGTCAGCTAACTCAATACCAATTTTTATTAAAATCGCTCCAGCCGTTTAGACCAGAAGAACTAACAAACATACACACGCACAAACTTTCACCTTTATAATATTAGTGTGATTTCTCTTTTGACTAATTAGCACGTTAAATCCGCGTGCTTGGGCCGAACTTTGTATTTGTAACATGCCCAGTGTACCCCTATTCTAATGCAAATAAGGAAATTCTAATTCTATAATTCCAATTAGGTATTTGACAAGTTTTAGAAAACGATCTCACGTTATTGACTAATGTTTATGGAGTCCGTAAAAAGTAGATATTCATCATTCTGTTGTGTATTTTTGTAAAAGTAACCAAATCAAAAACTCCATTTAAAAGTTGCCGCGAAAACGTTTCTCTGGACAATATGGCGTCTCACTGGTGTGTGACGTCACACGACTGTTATTTAAACGTCAAACGATACAATGTAATGTCACTTTAACCGGAAGTTTACTTGCGTCTGACGTCATTTTAGGCTCCGCCAATCCCAAGCGTTTTGGGTCACTGACAATAGATAAGAAAACTATTATCTTTTTCGTGGGTTTTCACGAAAATTATGAATATTTTTTCTGTAAAAATAGTGAAAATCTCTGCCAATATTCATTCTAAACACAGATGCTAACAATTGGCACTTTATTTTAAATACTGCCAAATACCCTATTCTAATAATTCTAATTTTTAGGATGAGTAATTGGCAGTGGCCGACTTGCTACGTGAACGCGGGCGGACTTCGATTACTGCTCACCAGCGAAGAAGAGGACCGCTTTGGAGACGACACTTTCATATTCCAGGTATGTTAGCTCAAACAAGAACTACAACATTTCAGAATCAGAAATAATTTCTTCAAGATGAGCCTTGGTAGACGAGTTCTGGAGTGGAGACCCTAGACGCGGTCTGCAAATGTAGTGTAGGACGTCCTCAGGCACGATGGAGTGACGATTTGCGCAAGGTGGCTGGCAGGAGCTGGATGCGAGTAGCCCAAGATCGATCTGAGTGGCGTGCATTTGGACAGGCCTATATCCAGCAGTGGACTAAGATAGGCTGTTGATGATGATTGATGATGATGAACCTTTACATGCGCCTATCGACTTTATCCATAAGAACACAAAGGATGATGCCAGGGTTTGTATGAAATCTAGTCCCACCTTCTAATAGCTATGTGTATTGCATCGTTGGATAGGTATTTTTGAGCTGAATAAAAGTTATTATAGCGCCAAATTCCATTTCTTAGTCCGTTCGGAGTTATTTAGGGGTGATGACGGGGTACGAAATTCTATTTAGTCCGTCAGTTAGATGATCAAAAAATAATGGACACGTATTTTTTCTTTGGGCAATCAACCAAAAAATGACAAAGTTATAGCGCGTCAAAGTTTGGGAGTAGGGGCTCGTGACGTCACTATTGAGTGAATCTTCACTTATAAGTGTACCAAACGTGACGTCATGCGACTTTTCAAATCAATATATCTTTGCAATGTTTATATTATGTGAAAAAAGAAAAAAATACGTGTCCAATACTTTTTGATAATCTACCTGATAAACGAAGAAAAAAATGAGTCATCATCCCTATTATAACATTTATTACCATTCAAAATCAATGTTAATATTGAAAAAAATATTAATGTTAACGTTGACAAATGCTTTTTTGACAAATAAAACAACGATAGCATATTTTAAAAACACATTTATTTAATTATCGTCGTCTACAATTACGTCATTTAAAAATAAGGCAAGGCCTATTTAATGAGTGCGAGTGAGACAGACTGATAAAAAGGTTTGTGAACAATGACGCAATTGATATACCTGTAGATTGGTAACTACACTACTGTATTAAGCACAGAAATACAATTAATAGGTAAAACTAGCATTATTTGGCTACTGCTAAAACTGCCATGTTTAATTAAGGATAACTCGGAACGGACTAAGATTCGGAACATGGCGTCATAGGTACTTTTATTCAGCTTAAAAATACCAATCTAACGATGTCACATATATAGGTATTGGAAGGTGAGACCTAAGTGGGGCCAGGATTGGCATTCTCCTTTAAAGTGATGATAATGTAAAGACATAACTTTATTAATTTATAAAGCAACAAGTGCATTGCCAGCGCACAGTTAATTTAATTCGACGTACATTAAATGACTGTATATATATCGTTAAACTAGCGGCCCGCCCTCGCTTCGCTTCGGTGTAGAGCTGAAGTGTAGACTACAGTTTTTGTTCTCAGGCTTGTATTATACACAATGACATTCATCTATGATTCTTTTTATACCTGCATGCAAAGTCTCAGCCCGATCGGTTTAAAATTGACAAAGTTTCATTCCCTATTTTATCCCCTTGGGGGTAGAATTGATCAAAATCCTTCCTTAGCGGATGCCTACATCATAACATCTACCTGCGTGCCTAATTTCAGCCCGATCCGTCCAGTGGTTTGGGCTGTGCGTTGATAGATCACTATGTCAGTCAGTCACCTTTGAGTTTTATATATATAGATAGAAACAATACGGTTCTAATATCGTCCTGCTTTCTCCTTACGTGAAATCACGTCAGCACATCCACAGGAGAGTACAGCGTTATTCTCAAAATTTGTTTATAATTTTAAGTATATGTAGCGACAGATTCGATAATTCTTTGCTCTTTCAGATCAGCAAACTGACTGTCAGCCCATATCCAGAAAATCCAATTTGTCGGTGAGTTTCTTGGTGTTGTAATCCAATATGTTTATGATTTTTATCATACTAAGATATAAAAATAAGTTTTCGCTTTTCTAGGGACGATTTTTGGGATAATACTGTATTTAGTATATAGCTGTTAGGGCGCATTCCCATTAAGTAATTGTCATAGATTGTAGTGTACATTTGAACGTCGTGGCTTGTTAATTTAAATGTATAATTAGATTTTTTTTGAGGAGATCGATGGCGCAAGTGTTTAGCGCGTTCAGCTGCGATCGTTGAACTTATGCAACTTTCGCAGTGGTCGGTCATTGGATGGGTGACCAAAAACTACTATCTCGAGCTCCTCCGTGCTTCGGAAGGCACGTTAAGCCGTTGGTCCCGGCTGCATCTGCAGTCGTTAGCACCCACCAATCCGCACTGGGCCCGCGTGGTGGGTGATGGCCCAATCTCCCTATTCTATCCATAGGGAAGGCCTGTGCCCCAGACTTTTGGTAAAATCAGACTTTTGGTGTTCTCATATAGAATGATTACGATTAATTGTCGTTTATGACTTTTTTTGTAATGACGAGAGATTGACAAGGCAGAAAACAGCTAGATACGGGCAAAAAACACAATTTTGCGTTTATACCAACGAATAAGAAATGATATGGAAGCATTACTCTCTAAGGCCGCTAAAACATGGGCCCAAACTCATACAACTAAGGTTCATTTAAAGCGACACTGCAAATAAATTCGGCTATTCATTCATAGAGTAAGATAATGTCGCACGAAAATTCTAACCAATTCCATGATCAGCGTGTTGATCGCTTTTTCGATCGAACTCCCCATCCACTTGATCGCAGTTTATGTGGAACCACTTTTGTGTTCCATATTATTAAAACGAAGACTTCGGGGTTAGTTCTGATTTACACCACTTTTCCTCGCGTTCCGTACCTGCTATATTGCTAACAGCGCATTTACAATAGCGCATAAAATCATATCGAGTCCGTCAGTTAGATGATCAAAAAATAATGGACACGTATTTTTTTTCTTTGGGCAATCAACCAAAAAATTACAAAGTTATAGCGCTTCAAAGTTTGGGAGTAGGGGCTCGTGACGTCATTTTTTAGTGAATATTCGCTTAAAAGTGTACTCAAACGTGACGTCATGTCAATTTTCAAAACAATATATCGCTGCAATGTTTATATTATGTGAAAAAATAAAAAATACGTGTCCAATACTTTTTGATAATCTACCTATATTTCATGCAGAGTCAAAGAAATAAGGTCTAAATTCTGCCGTTTGTAAATCGTTGCTTTATACGGATTACATTGTCGCAGTCGGCCAGTGAACACGACGTCGGACGTGAGCTGGCTCGGCAGCAGCGGTCTGCTGGAGGGGCAGCAGTACGAGGTGCTGGTGCACGGCGTGGGCATTCGGTCCGCGCAGCTGCAGCAGCTGGCCTGCCAGGAGGTGAGGCTGCCTTCATATAGGAGCTAGAACACAGTGTTTTACGCCCGATAATATTGGGGTGATTTTTGAAGTGAAAACTTCTTTAGCGGCGTTGTACACTTTTTTTTAATGAGTAAAAACTGTTCAACACGCGTCAGGACACGTGGCCTGATCGCGTCAGTACTGACGTCCTGATTATGTCACGTGGACACGTGACCTAATCGATAATACGTAAGACGAAAACAATAAAATTGGAATGGTTGGACTTTCAATATATTGGACGAAACATAGTAATATTTTATTTTATCGTATTATAATAATAAGTCTCTAATTAGGACGTCCAGGTGGCAGCTTTATTGCGAAGAAAATGCATTTTTTTTTACATTACAATAGATGTCGCTAGGTGCTCTTAAATGTGATTCATGTAAGTTGATTTTTCTGAGATAAACTTTGTAATGTAATATAAATTGTCATGTTTGTGTATGATAGCTCAATCAACAAATATTGTTTTCTAACACATAAGTGATAGTACTTTTATACTGATAATGAAAGCAATTCGTGCAAAATTATTCCCTAACCACTCCAAAATATCAAAAATGCACAACGTTAATATTCAAGTTTTCACTTCTGCCGGCACTCCAGGTGTGCAACCCGTCGGTTTTTTCTTTATTATAGGGGGCATATGAGCTGACTGCTCACCTAATGATAAGTGACCACCGTCGCCCATAGACATCTGCAATATCAGGAATATCACAAATGCGATGCCGGGAAGGAGTTCTCTTTTTTTTTGAAGGTTTTCATAAATAGTTAGGTACTTCAAAAATACTGCTTTTTACTTGCATCCTGTCTAATCCCAAGCTAGAGTTTAGATAAAGATCAATTTTATAAATTGTTTTCTATTTATTTATTGAGGTGTAGCGTTTAGTGTTTTGGGATACTGGCGGAATTTTGTGATAGTTACAATATTGCAACAGTAGAATATATAATAACAATAGACACGCGGACTGCATTTTAACTGCATTCTTAGTTGTTTCTGAACTGCCAGCAATCCAGATACACACAAACTCAAATATAGCCTCCGACACGATAATCTATAAATTGTACTGTTTAGTCTATTTATAGTCTTGTCAATACAAATGCAAATTACCAATCGGAGAGCAGTTAAAATACTGTTGTCTGTCTAGTGCTGAAATGTCAATAATTGATTGTTATAGCTTTTTCTGATGGTTCGATTAGGTTAGCGAAAACGAGTTGCTAAAGGGCACCGGGGGCGAGAACCCCGCTCTTAAGTGGACCCAGCCCGTGATTGCGCCTGTCATCACACCTATGTTGCACAAGTATGTATAAACTGAACCTGCTTGTATACTTTATGTCATCATAAGGCCGCTGTGTACTTTATTTCGAGAATCATGAAGTTGTATGTGTACATTCATTATTCATTTATTTTTGTATACACTAATCTTCGAAGCAAAAAGTAGCATGTCTAAAAGCGTTCCAAATTTGTAACAAAATATTTAGAAGCCTAAAAAATTCAACTCAATGTTCGCCGTTACAATGATGCTAAATACAAAAGCATAAAAACTAAAGTTAATGTGAAACTTTATTCCTTGATTTTATTTAGTAATTTTTCGCCATACGACTTTGTGCAATTCGAAAAACTACGCAAAGAAAAGTGATAGGTTCTTGGTATGTTAGAAAGAGTTCGAAGAGCTGATTTACCTATCTAAAAAAGTGATTTATTGTCTAAGTCAACATGACACCTTATGCGTCTCTCGTCGAGACTTATGCTACTTGTTTTCATGCTAGATTGTCCAGGTGATAATTAAGAAAAGTAATGCCCAAAATATTGAACCTATTTATTGGGCTAACAAAGAAAAATGATAATCAATATTTATAATGAAGCTGCCTAGTGAATAAGGCAACATTTGTGTATAAACACTGTTTATGAACAGTATTTGACAATGTTATATCACCTCGTTATACAATCTAGAAATAGTTTAAAAACAAATTCATATACATGTTGCCGTGTTCTTCACTCTAAATGGAGATCCAGACGAAACATTTAGTTTATAAACAAAACTTAATAGTGTGGACGTGTGTTGCGAGAGGTTTATATTTTATTTATTTGGGATAACAACAGCCATCAATCAGGTTTTACATTTTTGGTTTACAGTTACATGTAAGGCCAATAACAATCACCGACAATTAATTTTATTTGTACAAAAAGAACAGTTTAGTACCACACATATCCAAAATATGTTTAGTTTTTTTTAAATGATGTTAACATTTTGTAAGGATGTAAATAAAATAAAACTAAAACTAACTGACTATGAGCTATTATTTAAAATCAATGCATCATTCAACGAAATTTGTAAAATTACTTTTTATCTTTAAGTAAATGGTAAGATATGAACTGTAATTTTTATTTATGTATTATGGAACACACGTCTCTGTATCTGGAGGTGGGCGCTAATAGCTGTAACACAGTTCTAAAAACTAATATAGCTATTAACGAACCTAATTATACATGTAACCTTAATTAGTTCCAATAAATATATTTTCATTTTTCATTTTCATTTTTAATTACGAGCGTACTACTTATACCTTCATAATAGATCATACATTTGCGAAATTCAATTTTCTTATTTTTTTTTATGACATAAGTAGTTTAAGTTTTTTGATTATGTTTTTTTGATAATTAAAGATAGACGGGTTCAAACGCTCGTTCCTTATAAATATAATATTATTAAAGAGACTCACCAAAGTGACTGGTGACCAAAAGGCTGGCAGCTATCTTGGTCAACGGATCAGCCTTGACATTCAACCTGGCGATGTTGCCAGCCTATTGAGCACCATTCCTGACGGCGGCGCTAGAGTCGACTTGTTTTTCATTTTGTAAATTACACATTATTCGTAAGTAGGTTAAGGTAATTTGTGTTTAAATTTTATACATTTAAACACAAATTACCTTAACAGTTTTTAAGTTGTTGTTATTTTATTTCTATATTATATTGTTATACTGTAAATAAAAAATAAGATTGGGTAATAGGGATGATGACTATTTTTTTTTTCTTCGTTTATCAGGTAGATTATCAAAAAGTCAAATCAGTCAATCAAAAAATATTGGACACGTATTTTTTCTTTTTTCACCTAATATAAACATTGCAGAGATATATTGATTTGAAAAGTCGCATGTCGTCACGTTTTAGTACACTTATAAGTGAAAATTCACTAAAAAGTGACGTCACGAGCCCCTACTCCCAAACTTTGACGCGCTATAACTTTATCATTTTTTGGTTGTCACTGTCCCAAGAAAAAATATGTGTCCATTATTTTTTGATCATCTAACTGACGGACTAAATAGAATTTCGTTTACTGTACCCCGTCATCACCCCTATTGAGTTTTATTTGCAATTTGTCCATAGCGTGGACATAGGCTGCGTGCTGGCGCCGGCGATATACTCCAGCGACCTGCTGGTCAGCGGGCCCGCCGTGGAGTTCAACCTGGTGTCTGACTGCTGCGTGGACATCAGCCTGCAGCAGGCCACTCTGGGGGCCTCCTTACTGGCGGACCTCGCGTACGCCAGGCTAGTGCACTTACAGGGATATTCTATTTCAATGTCTAGTTACACCTAATATAAATAACACTATTTGTATATCATCATCATCATCATCATCATCAGCCTATTAATGTCCCCACTGCTGGTGCACAAGCCTTCCCTATGGATGAAACGGAGGATGGGCCGTAACCCACCGCGGGGCTAGTGCGGCTTGGCGGGTGCTAACGACTGCAGATGCAGCCGGGACCAGCGGCTTAACGCGCCTTCCGAAGCACGGAGGAGCTCAAGATAGTATATTTTCGGTCACCCATCCAATCACCGACCACTGCGAAAGTTGCTTTAATTCAACGATCGCAGCGGAACGCGCTAACCACTGGCGCCATCGAGCTCCTCATTTTCTCCCTGTTTATTTGTATATAATATACTGTATGATCAGCAATCGAAATGCAGGTGAACAACTATAAAAATAATGTATATTTCACATTATTTAATGAAAGGTGACTTCATGAATCATCCCTGAAGTCATTTTTGAACTTGACCACTCTGCAAATAATAAAACAGGGAGAAAAAGCAGCCCCTGCTGAGTTTCTTGCCGGTTCTTCTTAGTACAAGGTTTTCCGACGTGGAACGGCATTTGGAACGTTATTCAACAAAATTCAACAATGTTCGTTGGCATTATGTTTTATCTGCCAAAGAAGAGATTGGTGGCGCGGGTGATTAGCGCGTTCGGCTGCGATCATTGAAATAGGGTATTTGACAAGTTTTAGAAAACGATCTCACGTCATTTACTAATGTTTATAGAGTCCGTAAAAAGTGGATATTCACAATTATGTTGTGTATTTCGGTAAAAAAAACTAAATCAAAAACTCTATTTTCAAGTTGCGCGTTCAAGGTGACGTCACACGACTGTCATTAAAACGTCAAACCATACAATCTAATGTCACTTTAACCGGAAGTTTACTTGCGTGTGACGTCCTTTTAGGCTCCACCAATCCCAAGCGTTTTGGGGTCACGTGACAATAGACAACAAAATTATTATCTTTATCGTGGGTTTTTAGAAAAATTATGAATATTTTTTCTGTAAAAATAGTAAAAACTCCTGCTAATATTCATTCTAAATACAGATGCTAACAATTGGTACTTTATTTTTTAATACTGTCAAATACCCTATAGAGCAACTTTCCCAGTGGTCGGTCATTGGATGTGTGACCAACAATCTTCTATCTTGAGTTCCTCCGGGTTTTGGAAGGAACGTTAAGCCTTTGGTTCCGGCTGCATCTGTAGTCGTTAGCACCCGCCAATCCGCACTGGGCTGGCTTGGTGCGTCATTGCCCAATCTACCTATTCCATCCATAGGGAAGGCCTGTGCACCAGCAGTAGGGAGATTAATAGACTGATGATGATGATGATGATATGTTTTATCAATAATTCTTTTCACCCTCAGGCCAAAGGAGATGTCGTTTGAAGATGGGAATTGTGGTGCGTGTCCATTCGCCCCGCTGCTCATCCACGCTGGGCAGGTGCAGACGGACACCAGTCAGTACATCTTCACTGAAGGTGAGAAGTTTAGCCTTCTATATGTTTATCACTTAATTTTTGGAAGAACAACAGCTATTAAGAAGAAGAGTAAAAACTTAAATAATTACAGATTCACCAATAAAAACTCATTTTCAACATAATAATTACAAAAAAAAAGCATTTTACATTTGCGTGAAAAATTGCACTGCTTAATACCCGCCTCGGTGATGAAACGCTAGTGTAAAACTGGCATATATTCCAGTTTTCACTGGTAAAACATTAAAACTAATACCTGCACGCAAGAGATATCAGTGTACTTATAACTTATATGAACAGGGGACTTTACACGAGCCTCAAATATAAAGGGTTCCACCGCGATTACAGTTTTCTCTCTCTCTTTATTTAAAGGACTTTTATCTTTACAGACATGTCAGTCCCATCATGTACTTATATAAATTAACAAATCATCTTAGCCAATTAACTTAATATGTAATTGTCGGAAGAAAGTCGCGGCAGACATATAAAGCGATACAGGATACTAGCCTCTTCCGAGACCGGATAGGCCAGAATGCTGTAAACACACCAATGTCTGACATATTCAATTTACATTTGTTAAAAAACTCTTGTCTCTCATTCTGGTAGCGGACACAATCCATCAACAAGTGCTGGAGATCTTCTACAACACAGCATACTCCACAGTTGGGAGACTTAATTTTTTTCATAACATATCCAACTTTTTACATGGAACAAAGTCTATTTAAGGTCACTACAAAGTGTCGACTTAATGTTAAATTGATAAACCACGGTATTCGTCGAGGCTGACTCTGTATGGTTTTATACCATATTCCTTTTTCTTTTGATCTTTCATCAAAAATGTTTATCTCTTATTTTTTGGAAGTCCAACAGCTATTAATAAGAAGAGTAAAAACTAAAATAATTACAGGTATTTACCAATAAAACACATTGCAACATAATTAACAAGACTTTCAAAATAACAAAAAAAGAGCATTGTACATTTGCCTATTAGGCAAAATATACACTGTTCAATACCCGCCTCGGTGATGGAACGCTAGTGTAAAACGAATTAATGCCAGTTTGCTCAGATATAACATTTACTTATTTATTTATTGTATTTTATTATCAAATACAATCATACACATATAATTAAAATAAACCATACACGAAAATCTGTTAAGGTTTATATGTGTATGGGAGCCACTCATTTACCACTTTATACACTTTCAAGTTGACTATTTTTTAAGTAATGTCTTTTAAATTTATATTTATATTTATTGATTACAATGTTCGAGTACATTTCCTGTAGATTACTAGGCAATTCATTAAGATAGGAAGGTATTAAATAACATAGCTTCCTATTTCCGTGGACATTATTACATTTCGGCAACAAAAACTTTCTACGATCCAACACATTTCTCAGATTATCTGGTCTCTTATTAATATTCAAGTACTTAGTCTCGTTAAATTCGGTTAGAATTACGTATTTTACCTTGTCATAAACATTCATCACATTACAATATCGAAACAATTCTTGTGCGTTACCTTTATATTTAACTTTTATATATTTGGGTACAATTATCTTTAGCATTTTATACTGAATTTTATAAATAGCCTCTATGTATGTCTTATAAGTTCTTCCATAACTACTTAGGCCATAATTTACAACAGATTCAGCTAGGGACAAATATGAGTCTAAGGGTTCTGTATGGTAGTTTATTTTTTAATATAGATAGTCTACTCGCGATTGATCTTAACTTGGCGCATACGTAATCTTTGTGAGGTCCCCAGCAAAATCTCTCGTCAATCAAAACTAATACCTGCACTAAAGAGATATCAGTGTACTTAAAATTTATATGAACAGGGGACTTTTTACACGAGCCTCAAATATAAAGTGTTCCACCGCGGTTACTGTTAATCTTGATAAATAAATATGAAAATAAAAATAATAATAAGATGTGAAGTTCATTGATTGACTTATAATTTGTTGGTGTAGTTATATTCTATCCACTGAAGAGGTTGAGAACGTACTATTTAATAGGAAATTACCTATTGGAGATTGGTGAACAGTCTTATTTCTTAAAATCCAAGTTTGTGAAAGAAATATTGTTTTCCATTGAAATAAGTACAGTGCCCCTAGCACGAACCATTATCGAATTCGAATAGTTTGCAAACCGAAATGTCAATGTCAAATTTTGTATGGAAACTTGAACAGTAGCGCCACTTAGGATGTAACGGGAACTAAAAATCAGTACACATTTGACAGTGCCATTTCGGTCTCGCAAACGTTACGAATTCGATTTTGGTTCGTGCCAATGGTACAGATCATATTATTTAGTACAACCAAAAATTATACTTGAATTTTATTACAATATTGTCAAGAAATATCTACGCCCTTCACTTGCCGATCCGCTTGTAGGCCTAATGAAGGCTTTTTTTTTGTTATAAATCAATGCATTTGATCCTTTACTTTTTCCGGTACTACTGTATCCCCCATATTAATAATCGACGAATAAGATTGGATTAGCTGCTCTATGTTTTGTCTCTGTTCATTGAATAGGGTATTTGACAAGTTTTAGAAAACGATCTCACGTAATAACGTAATAGACCAATGTTTCATCATTCTTTTGTGTATTTCACTATAAATAACCAAATCAAAAACTCCATTTTCAAGTTGCCGCGCAAACGTTTCTCTGGTCAATATGGCGTCTGACTAGTGTGTGACGTCACTCGACAGTTATTAAAACGTCAAACGATACAATGTAATGTCACTTTAACCCCAAGTTTACTTGCGTGTGACGTCATTTTAGGCTCCGCCAATCCCAAACGTTTTGGGTCACGTGACAATAGATAAGAAAACTATTATCTTTTTCGTGGGATTTTAGTAAATTTATGAATTTTTTTTTTTATAAAAATAGTAAAAACCACTGCCAATATTCATTCTTAACACATATGCTAACAATTGGCACTTTATTTTTAATACTGTCAAATACCCTATTACAAATGGCACTTGAGTGACTTGAACAAAACACGGCGTAACTAGTCTAAACTTATTCCTCGTTTTATTAATAACGGGGTAAATGTACTGGGTAGCGGGATTAAAACTTAATGAAGTTGAGTTCCGTATGCAGATTCAAAGAGCATCAGCTTCAAGATTAAAAATCATTCTAGTTAAGTGTTTATTGTATCAGTGGGTGAAGGCACTGATTCGGGCGTCGACACAATCACCTCGCACTCCACCCTCAAGACCGGCTCCCGAGTGGACGAGACCACTTCCAAAAAGACTCTCTCCGTGGTCTTCGTGGATCACTCGTGAGTCAACTTTTTTTCATCATTGCTACTATTCCTTGAAATTTAAGATTTTTTTCAATGCATCTTTAAAAAAAGAAGGACCTTTACTATACAGTAGAATTTCATCGTCATCACCTATTGATGTCCCCACTGCTGGGGCACAGGCCTTCCCTATGGATGGAATAGGGAGATTGGGCCATGACCCACGCGGGCCCAGTGTGGATTGGCGCGTGCTAACGACTGCAGATGCAGCCGGGACCAACGGCTTAACCTGTCTTCCGAAGCACGGAGGAACTCAAGATAGAAGATTTTTGGTCCAATGACAATTTAAAAGTTGCTCAACTTTATAAATTGAAATATAAATATCAATTTTAGCATGAAAAAACATAATTACACTTCTCTCCGTACTTACTCTTTATTATTATTATATGAGAATTTTGGGGCTATGCAGTCGTCGGGTCAAAGTATCCCTTTTAGCCCGACAGCTTCCAACTTACAACACAACTTATTATTAGCGCGTGGAATAATAAGCTTTGAATCAATTAAATAATTTTATCTACTCCATAGCGTCTTCAAAGGACATGGTAAAGTTTTGTATGAGCGACTGCCCTGGCAATGTATAAATACTGTACTTAGTAATATTTAATGGTTAATGGTTGAATATTTATAATTTCTATGAAAAAATCTCAGGCTCAGGAACTTGCGATAAAGTCACAATCTTGAAAATTATGAAAACTCCTACTATGTCATTATCTTACTACAGTTGATAAAAGATGTTGCCAATTATTCAGAGAGTCATCAATTTCACATTTTCCTAGAATCTTTCTTCCCATTTCTCTGTTTAACTTTTCACAAAAAGTTTTTTAAAGCAAAAATAAGTACAAGTAATTTGTTATTGTCGTCGGCCTGACAGGAAGTTTTATTTTTTTCATTTGCAAAAATTAAAGGATAAATTATCATACAGCCTTGTTTCAAGCCTGATCAGAAAAATAAAATCAATTTTTTTAGGCCTTCAGTGATTTGATATAATAAAAATTAGGGCCAAATATGTCATAGTTCGTATATTTCGATATACTTACACAAATATTTTTTGTGTACATTTATTGTTCATTTATTTTGTAAAACGGAATATTTTGCTTTTGAAACAGACATGAAGTCAATTTTTATACTTTTAAATATTTGATTATTTCACGAAAGTTGTATGAGAAAAATAAACACGTAATAATTAATAAATAAATATTGTAAAGTTACGGGCTAGTGCGAAATATTTGTACACGTTAAGGGCAGTTTCTTAGCCATGTCCTTTTAAGTTAATAAGAGCCAGATTAGCCGTCCACCGCTCTAAGCGATTAGTCAATTACCACTCAGAAATAATAATAATAATCTATTTATTTCAAGAAGGGATACAAAGTCTTACATGATAAAGTACAAAGTATAATTAACAAACACATTTAACCTTTCCCTAAATTGATAATGATTGTAACAACGCTTTCATATTCTTTCTATCAGTGCGGTCCCATCAGAGTACCTGGAGGTATTCGTAACCATGGGCGTGATCGACGTATCGCTGTACACTGTTGACGACAACAGCCCCTCTGTGGTTGCGTTGCGACCGCCCGCCGCCTCCGCTCCCGCTCCCGCTTCCGCGCCCACTACCGCTAATGCTACCTCTGCAGCCGCGACCGCGACCGCGGCCCCCGCGCCCGCTTCATCGACGCAAGTTAAGGTGGGTACTGCGGCGATCTACCCTGAAGGGGTCGATCCTGGGGGCGAAGCAATTTATTGAAACAACTTTGATTTTATATTGGTTTTATTAGATTTCAGGCGAATATAAAATATGAGCTTAATCTTATTAACGTACGGTTTGGTGCCTAAAGTCTATATGATGTGGAATATTCTATCAAAAGACAGACGATTCCTAATTTCAAATATATTAGACAAGTCCGTCCGTCTGTGGTGCTGTTTCAGCGGCCAAACCGTAAGAAATAGATAAAGAGAATATTTAAGTTATAAGTTAAGAATAGTCTGATAAGACTACAAACCGGATTTGAGTAACGTAGCACTTCCGGTTTTCGAGAAATCAGGTTTTGGTGAACATTTGGTTCACTGGTTTGCTAGTTTCAAATATTAAAATCATGACATTAACTTTTTAATATAACTGCCAGCCGTAGGCATAACATGAACAAAGAGTTTACCCAAACAAGGAGGCTGTAACGTAACGGACGTTACAGTACGAAAGAAGATCGCAGTCATCATCATCATAAGCATAGTAATATCCCCACTGCTGGGCCTTCCCTATGGATGGAATAGGGAGATTGGACCCTGACCCAACAAGCGGGCCCAGTGCGGATTGGCGGGTGCTAACGACTGCAGATGCAGCCGGAACCAATGGCTTAACGTGCACGGAGGAACTCAAGATAGAAGATTTTTGGTCACCCATCCAATGACCGACTACTGCAAAAGTTGCTTAACTTCAATGATCGCAACCGAACGCGCTAACCACCTGCGCCATCGAGTTCCTCCATCATCCACATCACAGTACTATGATACAATACAAAACTCTTTATTTTACACCACAGAAACACATAAAACATAAAGTACATAATAGAGATGATGACTTTTTTTTTTCTTCGTTTATCAGGTAGATTATCAAAAAGTATTGGACACGTATTTTTTCTTTTTTCACATAATATAAACATTGCAGAGATATATTGATTTGAAAAGTCGCATGACGTAAGCGAATATTCACTAAAAAGTGACGTCGACGTATTTAGAATGAATATTGGCAGGAGTTTTTACTATTTTTACAGAAAAAATATTCATAATTTTACTAAAAACCCACGATAAAGATAATAGTTTTCTTGTCTACTGTCACGTGACCCAAAACGCTTGGGATTGGTTGAGCCTAAAATGACGTCATCCGCAAGTAAACTTCCGGTTTAAGTGACATTTGATTGTATGGTTTGACGTTTTAATGACAGTCGTGTGACATTACACACCAGTGAGACGCCATAATTGTCCAGAGATAAGTTTTTCGCGGCAACTTGAAAATAGAGTTTTTTTTACCGAAATACACAACATAATGATGAATATCCACTTTTTATGGACTCTATAAACATTAGTAAATAAGTGAGATCGTTTTCTAAAACTTGTCAAATACCCTATTGCAACTGCATGTATGACAACACAAATGTCATTGGAAAATCTTAGTGAGTTAATTAGGACCAATGTTATCAATAAGTGTAAATAGGATCATGACCACACTCAGAAAAGTTTCTCAAAATGTCAATTCACTTTTATGGCTAAAGTTGCTGCTGACACATTCTTTGTGCTAACAATAGAATAAAACAACACGTGACATAATGTAGTAGTAGCATTCATTAAAATTTTAATATGTTTCTGAGTACAGCTGTTAAAGTAGTCTCATTAGTAGCTTAGCTAAAAAATAAATAGCCTTTACCAACTTCGTTAAACGAATAATATTTTTAAACGACAATGGCGAGCAAAATTAACTTATTTTGACATCTTTCCGCTTGGCTTCCAATGTAGCCTTTACTTTCCCACGTTTTACCAGGTAATCTTCGAAGAGGCAGAACATAAGGAAGAGGATGTGACCTCAGTAGGCAGCCGCACCAAGAGTCTGACTGACACGATGCGTTCCGGCACCGCGTCCAAGTCGAAACTACGATACGGCGAACATACGGTATGTTCTTAAAAAATACTAGAATAAATTCCACTCGATCCAGACATCCGACACCAGACAGGATCAAGGGACAATCCATTATCCACAGATGCACTAACCAATAGGCTAGTTGCCAAGAAAAAGGTTTTAAATGGTTAATAAATGTTCTATTAGACCGAAAAAAAAATGTATTGTATTTTTTTGAGACCTAGAAAGCTACACATCTTTAATTTTAAAATAGACTTTTCATGGACATACAAAAACGCTGTCGGCCATTTTAGTCTATAGATTATCTATGCTATGACGTCAACCGGTAGTAAACAAAAAGGCGTAAGCACGTAGAAAATAACCTATCTGAGTTTATAATAAAAAAAAACATGATTTCTAGTAAATACCACGAAAAATATAGTAATTATCATTATTGTATTTTACGAGAATGTAAAAACACATCCTTGAAGACTCCAGGAAAGTTGTGGATTAAAGTGCCGAAAGAAATTACGCAATACCTGGTTAGAACTTGCTAAAAGGTATTCTGCAACTTTATCGACTCATAGAAAAAAATATTTTTGCGAAGATCTAAGTCTTTTCATTTATTATCAGTTTTAATAATACATGTTTGAAGGTTATGTATGAATGACATTTAGTTGTTTACTACCACAGACGTCACAATCATGGAGGATGTGGCGAACAGCGTTTTTAGTGTTTAAAATGATAAAACTAAAAATATTTTTTTAAAATTAAATTTCTACTGCAATATCTACTTTTATGAAGTGAAATCGATATATTTGGGTTCCTTAGACCAAATACTTTAAGAAATAAACATTTATTTAATACAATTCGACATGAGTCAACTAGCCTATTAAGCTACCGGGACCTTAATGGCCGTGCCGAATTTCTCCGTGTACTTTTCCCCCCTTATTAATAAACGAAGAATAAGCTTGGATTAGTTACTCCATGTTCTGTCCCTGTTCATTGCATGACAAATGGCATTTTCCTAGCGTATGGCCAATGGAACTGCGTCGTCCTGTCGCAAATCAATTGCAAGTTATATAATAAGTGTGCCAAAATCGCAAACATGGTAGCGCAAGGAAATTCGGTGTGCTAGCCGCTCGACCACGTGAGTCGCCGGGAGTGTCAACTTCATCTCCAACTTCACTTCTCGCTTATGATTAAATTTATGACGTTACATAGTCATTTAGCAGATCATTAAGAAATATTAGAGAACACGTTCGGGAAGAATTATGTTAACCAAAGCAAGTTGTTATAACACATAATTTTATGATGGTGGTTTAATGTAAAGTCTATCATCAGGATCTACAACAGTATAAGAAGGCGGAAGGTTGTATTCCATTGCTACACGTCACCTTGCACCAGCCCAACCTCTACTATTGGCGGAGAAAGACGCAAAAGAGCTTACAGGTGAGTTGCGCACTTTTTTTTTATTTTGCAAACGTAAAGTCGCATCTATAAATCATTATCACTACATAGTATAAAACAAAGTCGCTTTCTCTGTCCCTATGTCCCTTTGTATGCATAAATCTTTGAAACTACGCAACGAATTTTGATGCGGTTTTTTTTAATAGATAGAGTGATTCAAGAGGAAGGTTTATATGTATAATACATGCATAATATAGTAGAGCAACACTGATAATTTTAGAGGTTTTTAATGTAAGGTCGTAAATAAACACATTTTTTGCGCTTACATTGCAAACGCTGGCTGAACCCCACGAGATAGATCAAAATAATGTACTACAGTATTGTACACCTTAAAAAGGTCTACAAAAAAGTCCGCGATGGTATATGTCTATCTCTTAAGGATAACCCACAATAACCAATTTTTATCCTATACTTTTTACGAGAAATAATAGATTATTTACGAAGCGATTTTAAGCAATATAACATTCATCCTTATCCAATTAAGTACCTTAAATACATTGTGCATTTAATATAGAACAATTTGGCCCTTTAACGCATATAATTTAAATGAATATTTTCGAAGATATTACAAATTTAAAATTCAGGGACATAGCGGTTCCGACGCTACCGGGCTTGGCGGCGCGTGCCTATATTGGGTATTAGAAGAATGTCATTGTGTATAATACAAGCCTGAGAACAAAAACTATAGTCTACACTAAAGCTCTACACCGAAGCGAAGCGAGGGCGGGCCACTAGTGTATAATAAAACTAAGTTGATAAAATGTGCGTGCCGATAAAACTTAAAGGAGTCCCGGCACGATAAAGGGACTTATATAGTGTGATAGCCCTTTGTCCCCCCTCGAACAAGATAGTTCCCGTTTTAACCTAAAGGGCGTGTTTTTAAAGATATAAGGGCTTTTCCAACCCTTGACTTCGAAATTTAGTGTAGGGGCGCACTCTGTTGTCGAATATTTGAACTTGGAAATTAAGTGTAGTGGCGCCATCTGTTGTCGAGTATTTGAACTTCAAGAAGGTATGAGAAAGTAGAATACCACTGATCTCTTCTGAATTGCCATTTCAATTTAAAAGATTGCAGTTTCCAATTAAATTAGACTTTAGTTATACAATTAACAAAGCGCAAGGGCAAACTTTAAAATATTGTGGCATCAACCTCAAAGAATCCTGCTTCTCTCACGGTCAGCTATTGTAGCTTGCTTAAGAGTAGGAAATTCGAAAAATTTATATATATATACCCGGACAATATAATGAAATATGTTGTTTATAAACAAGTAGTGTAGATAATGAGAAAATGTTTCAATTTTTTTTTAATTTTACGTCATATTTTTTTTATTTCAACTACCACGTAATCTCATATCAACTCCCAAGGGATCAACTCCCAGGCTATGAAACCCGGTTCATAGCTAGTAAATTTTATAAATTAAAGTTTTACCAAGCTCTGTTGCTATCTAGTATGGGCGTTTAATGTGTATCAGTGTATCTCGACGTTTCTCAATTGTTACATTGTTGAAGATAATTTAAATAGTTCACCGTTTGTTTTTGTCTGGATATAAAAGACTGATATCTGGGGCAGGTGCCAATCTGAAGGGCGGTGAAATATTCCTCTGTTGACCACCAGAAACGCTATCCCTTACGATTTCATTTTGTTATTTCTGCCCGCCGAAGGTATTCAAATACCTCACGCTCATTTTCTTTAATACTGTTATTAACAACGCAAAAGAAAAAAAAGAGCGCGAGGCATATGAAAACCTCAGGGGGCTAGAAATAACAAAATGGAATCGTAAGCGATAGCGTTTTCCAAAGCAATCCGGGTAGGCAATTGGCCCCCAGTTGTGACTTCATTGATGGCATATCCATCGTTCTTGTCGTTTTAAAGACTAATCCTTGGACAGGTGTCCCTATTCAACGCGTGGGTGGGGCTTGGCGCGGGCCAGACTGAAGGCCGGTGGAACATTCCCTTGTTGACCACCAGTCGAGGCATTGCTGACCCAGTCACCGATATTCCGCCCGCACTAGCCACCCTGCGACTCTCCGCACCAGCTGCAGGTATCACATATTTGTATCATCATCATTTATTAATATCCCCACTGCCGGGGCACAGGCCCTATGGATGGAATAGGGACATTGGGCCATGACCCACCACGCGGGCCCAGTGCGTATTGGTGGGTGCTGACGACTGCAGATGCAGTCGGGAACAACGGCTTAACGTGCCATACAAAGCACGAAGGAATGAATGAATGAATAACTTTATTGTACACCATGAGATTGTAAATTACAATTAATTAAGACTATTACATTATAGTACAAACGGCGGCCTTATCGCTAAGAAGCAATTTCTTCCAGGTAATCGTATTTTAACTGGACTGTTACATAGAGAGTGGGAAGTAGATGGTGTCATTTAAAGTGAAACTACCATTAATAATACTTATAAATAATTATGTACAACGAAAAATAAAATAAAATACAAATACATAAACATAATATATCCATATATAAACACAATAACAATTTAATCATACTTTGGATGATGTGATGACTAGCTAAAGTGTCAGGTAATGTTCCTTTAACATTTTTTATAACAAGGTAATGTTTTAGCACCTCTAATTGTTTCCGGCAAGGCATTCCACAAACGAGCAGCCTGAACTACAAATGACTTTTCTATAAATTTCGTGGAGTGCATTTGAATCTCCAGTGTTAAATTCTCTGACGATCTCAAAACACGAGCATGTCCTTTTTTTGTACTTGTGAAGGAGGTCGAGATAAAAAAATTTTGGTCACCCATCCAATGACCGACCACTGCGAAAGTTGCTTAACATCAATGATCGCAGCCGAACGCGCTAACCACTTGCGCCATAGAGCTCCTCATATTTGCATATCTACAGACATATATTACCAAGAAATAAAAATTAAATGAAAATGTACGTCATTCATAAGACAGTTTCTTTAGAATGACTTCGAAAATTGTGATAGCAACAAGCTGGTACTTCGGCTTACGACCGTAATTTAAAATCGGTTATTACTCGAAGAATATAAGAACACAGAAATTCAAATGTAAAAGCGGATATCCGCTCCCCGTGTTTGTTTGTGTTACCTCATAGAGCAACGCTGCGTGAGGCGGGTCGCCCATTACAGCGTTGTCCTATGAAATGACATAAACTGCACGCGAAGCGGACGTCCGCTCCGTGCTCCCGATTAAGGTTGCGCATACCCTAACTAAGTGATGTCGTTCAAAATGTACTTATTAAACTTTTTCAAGTGAAACTTCTATACGCACGCTCGAATTGGGGGGTAAGCTGGCGAATGCGTTACGCGTTACGAAAAGTGTGTTCGGGTGAGGCCAATGGGAGTTGAGTGGGGTATATAAGCAGGAGAAAGCAGTGCGCGCGCACATTTTCTTTCTCTCTTTCTCTTAAAGTTAGAAAATGAAGTATGTACCGATGTATATATATATATATATATATATATATATATATCTGTATGTATGTATATTCATAGAGATGGAGCTAAAGAATTTTCACTTCAGTAGTGTGGTCATAAGCACACTCGTTTTTTTATTATTGAAAACTACAAATAATTTTCTCGTCTTTTTAATAGTAATGAACAATAGTCAAATCAATTACTTGAGAGAAACATTGATATAAAACCATTATTGACTGTTAAAAATGTATTATGAAAATAAAGAGTAAATATGAGAATCGGATAAAATGATATTAAAAAGAAAGATTTATTTTGAGAACCAAAATAGATAAACTCCAATATATATGACGACCTCCGTGGCCGAGTGGTTTGTACGCCGGGTTTCATGGCTGTCGCCGACTCCAGAGGTCCCGGGTTCGAATCCCGGTGGGGGCAGATGTTTCTGTGATGAATACGAGCATTTGTACTCCAGTCATGGATGTTTAATATGTATTTCTTTATAAATATGACGTATATATGTATTCTGCCCGTTGCCCTAGTATCCCATAACACAAGCCTACAGTGCTTAATTTGGGGCTAGGCTAATTGGTGTGAGTGTCGGAAATATTTATTTTATATTTATTTTATTTATATGAGGATATTGTGGTTCAGAAGTTGCCACTTGTGCAGGTAATACTCGCGGCAGCATACGGCTCGATGTGGAAAGGCCCGTGCAAGTGGAGGTGTGCACGGAGCGCGTGCGCAGACTGACCGGCATATTGGCGTTGGTGAGTACTCGCCCGAAGAGCCCTTTTACAATAGGGTTGATGACGGGGTACAGTTAACGAAATTCTATTTAGTCCGTCAGTTAGATGATCAAAAAATAATTGACACGTATTTTTTCTTGGGGCAATCAATCAAAAAATGACAAAGTTATAGCGCGTCAAAGTTTGGGAGTAAGGGCTCGTGACGTCACTTGAGTGAATTTTCACTTATAAGTGTACTCAAACGTGACGTCATGCGATCAACTATCAATACCAATACTTTTTGATAATCTACCTGATAAACGAAGAAAAAAAAATTAGTCATCATCGTTCGTGAGTACTGAAGAGCCCTTTTATAATTGCGCCGCTGCCGTACTGATCGACGCGTAGGTAGATTTGCATTAGTAATATTGCATTTTACGGGTGATGTTCAAGTCTTATAAAATAATTATTAATGAACTAATTATAAAAATATATAAATATTTTAGTAGTTCAATAGTGGTAGATTAGTTTTATGAAAGTTTTAGATAGTAATTCAATATCAAAATACGGGTAAACCTGCATTGTTTTTTGGGAAATCCCACTGAGGTTAGATATTTTTTTTTTGATAATTAATGAGATGGAAAATCAAAATTCTAATACATTATGTTACAACAAAAACATATTTCTGATGTCGTAGTAATTAATTTGATCTAATTTATTGAACATTATTTAGAGATTCAGGCGTTTGAAGTTGTGTATATTATCGTTTTTTCCGTAAACTAGCTGCGGTTGATAACTAAGATCATCGTTTATTCTTATGTTATGTAGATACTAATTTTCTTAACTCATGATTGCTGTGAATTGTGAGATCGGCTTGTTCTAGATACAAAGTACATGCTGATGCTATAGTTGGAAAGTGATAAAATTTAAAACACACATTAACAATAGGGTATTTGACAGTATTAAAAATAAAGTGGCAATTGTTAGCATCTGTGTTTGAAATTAATATTGGCAAGAGTTTTTACTATTTTTGCAAAAAAATATTCATAATTTTACTGAAAACCCACGAAAAAGATAAATGTTTTCTTATCTATTGTCACGTGACCCAAAACTTTTGGGATTAGCGGAGCCTAAAATGACGTCACACGCAAGTAAACTTCCGGTAAAAGTGATATTACATTGTATCGTTTGACGTATTAATAACAGTCGTATGACGTCACACACTAGTAAGACGCCATATTGTCCAGAGAAACGTTTTCGCGGCGACTTGTAAATGGAACTTTTCATTTGGTTATTTTTACTGAAATACACAACAAAACGATGAATAGCTACTTTTTACGGACTCCATAAACATTAGTCAATAACGTAAGATCGTTTTCTAAAACTTGTCAAATACCCTAGAAAGTACATATATTATACTGTTAAACAATTTTAATGATAAAACCGCCTGGTCGTAATTCTTATCTTCAGAAAATTTTCATAGTTATATTAAACTTGTCTCGTCAAGAGGAGTATTAAAGAGAACCTTGGACTTGGTGTATTTTTAAACTTGCTCGTGTATTTTGATAATTGTTTACTGGATTGTTTATTTATTGTTACCTTTTTTACATTACGTGATGGAGGTTGATCTCAAAACATGTTTATAAGTTTGATGTCAGCTTTCAATTTTGACGACACTGAATGAAATAATACAGGGAGACAAAAACAGCAGCCCTTGCTGAGTTTCCCGCCGGTTCTTCTCAGTACAAGGTCTCCCGCCCTAGATTTGCGAACCGATGGCGTAGCTTTCGACTTTTACATGTGCTTGTAAATGCCTAAACTGAATAAATGAATATTAATTTTGATGTTTTGAATGTCTTAAAGTAAACATTTAAATAGTAACAGTGAATGTAAATATTTTATTTAAAATCTGTTTCTCATGCTTCCGACCAGATCCAGGAGGGACTACCGCAAGCCGAACAGCGTCCTGCTACACCGACTAAGGAACATCAACAGTTGCCTTTCTTATATAAAATACGACGTTTCTTGGGTAGGTAAATCAAGTAAAGCATGTTTTAATTCATTAAACGTGTTCCTGTGTTTCTGATATTTAGTGTCTTTTTGAGTAAGATATTTGTTTTTTTTTAATTTGTCAATACTAGTATTCATTAGCATTAAAGTGCTAGATCTCTAAATCTAAAGGGAATTTTACTAGAAATAATTCCACGCGGTTCAGGCTTCGGGATTCGAACCCGCACGTGGTTAGTTAATAGCGGAGGTTGCGGGTTCGAGTCTCGTCCTGCGCCTGAATCCGAAAAAAAATATCTATACCTGCAGCTGATTTAAACTTGTGTTCCCCTTAAGGGGGTTCAAAATATTATAAGTTACAATAATGAAGTACCATGTTCCTTACTTCCTTGCCAATTGCCTCGCATCTCGCGTTACATGCTACACGTGCGAACGAAGCCTATTGGCTTTGTATCTATTCATTTATTTCAGATTCATTGGCTAATATAATCTTATATTTAATTTCTGTCTTTGATGATTGTACTTCACACAACTATTTGTATTTAGACATTCGACAGCGGTATATCCTTATATGGAATAAAATGGAGAGACTGTTAAAGTGACAAGTAGCAAATATTTTAGCTTTTATACTGTAGCAATCTCGTACAGGCCCTGCCAGAATACCAGCGCTGTTACGGTGGGAATATTCCCGTCCCATTGTAACAGCATTAAGTTGCGGCAGGGTCCTGATTGGCCTTTCTTCTCTCTCTATATTGTTTTAAACTTTCATGGTCACTAACATTATAGTATTATATGTTATTCCGTGATCAAGGCGCTTGCAACAGTGCCGAAATATCGGAAACTCGCTAAAAACAAGGTACAGGGTAACAATTTCGTTAATAACATATATTACTATAATAGGGATGTTGACTGATTTTTTTTCTTCGTTTATCAGGTAGATTATCAAAAAGTATTGGACACGTATTTTTTCTTTTTTCACATAATATAAACATTGCAGAGATACATCGATTTGAAAAGTCGCATGACGTCACGTTTGAGTACACTTATAAGTGGAAAAATCACTCGAAGGTGACGTCACGAGCTCCTACTCCCAAACTTTGACGCGCTATAACTTTGTCATTTTGTGGTTGATTGCCCAAAGAAAAAATACGTGTCCATTATTTTTTGATCAACTAACTGACGGACTAAATAGAATTTCGTTTACTGTTGTACTCCGTCATCACCCATATTGTTTTTCTCTGTTTGTTTTTGTGTTTTTTTAGGCCAATAATTTTTTTATTTATTTTCTTCTTTATTTCTTTCAAATGCGTATAGGCCACGTAAAGTCCATCACGCGGTGTAGTTTGAACGTATATTGTTTCCGTCCCCACTAGTCCAACACTCAGCGGAGAGCGTTACGGTACACACGAGCCAGGTAAGCGTATGCGGCTCGGAGGGAACCCTCGGGTGCGACGGCGTGTCGATGCAAGTCGCGGTCGGCGCGCGGCCGGACCGCCTGTACGCGCGGGCGTTAGTGCACGCGCTGCTCGCCGCGGCCGGACCGCCCGGCGACCGCCGACACCCGCTCGTGCAACCCGCCGCCGTCGGGTAACTATACAATCTCTTATCTATTAGACAAGTCCGTCCGTCCGTCTGTCTGTGGTGCTGTTTCAGCGGCCAAACCGTAAGAGATAGATAAAGAGAATATTTAAGTTATAAGTTAAGAATAGGCTGATAAGACTACAAACCGGATTTGAGTAACGTAGCACTTCCGGTTTTCGAGAAATCACGAATTTCAAACGAAACCACACAAAATCTCCGAAGTTCTCAGTTAATTAAATACATTTTTTTAAATCAGGTTTTGGTGAACATTTGGTTCACTGGTTTGCTAGTACAATACAATACACAATTCTTTATTGAAAACAGTACAGTACATAAATGGGGTAAATACATTATGTTTGAACACAGTGATTCAATGGGCGGTCTTATCGCTAAAAGCGATTTCTTCCAGACAACCTTTGGACGGAGAGGATTGAAAGAAACTGGAGTCGGTGGTGTTATAAAAAATAAAAACAAGGGATATAAAAATGTATAAAACTATATATATTAAATATATATACATACCATACATACATAATATATACACATAATATAACTATAAGGTATATACATATAATATAGATAATTTACTATACTGCAATAGCAATAATTCCATTTTAAAAACATATTTTCTATCTCTTTTGCATAACAAAAACCAATATCGACATGATATAAAACTAAAATAAAATAATATGAAACACGAAATCAGCCCGTGTGTTTCCACTCTTTTGGAGTATTGCTCTGCACGGTGTTTGGCCAACAGCTACCTGGCTTTTCACTAAAGGCGGTGTGGTATATATAAAAAAATATTAATATCATTACCTTACCGATTAATGTCTGATGAATGAATGGTTTTAATTTAAATTTTTTGATTGAGTAGACGTACCTGCGGGTCTTGATGGCGAACGGCAGTGTACAGGAAAACCAATACTGGTTTTGAGACACTGTTATACACTTAAGATTATAATGTATTTCTTATAATTTAATAAATAAATAAAATAAAAATAAACCCGCCGCCGTCGGGTAACTATACTGCGATAACCCGCCGCGGTCGGGTAACTATCCTGCGTTAACCCGCCGTCGTCGGGTAACTGTGCTGCGATAACCCGCCGCCGTCGGGTAACTATACTGCGATAAACCGCCGCCGTCGGGTAACTATACTGCGATAACCCGCCGCCGTCGGGTAACTATACTGTGATAAGCAGCCGCCGTCGGTTAACTATGCTGCGATAACCCGCCGCCGTCGGGTATTTTTTTTTATAGATAGGTCCGATAAATAACTCCACCCCACCTGATGTTAAGTGAAGTTGAAGTCCAGACGCAAAAATAGCTGATACAGCAGTTCTACCTGCCACACCAGCCATCCTCACCCTGCCGGCCTGCATGTTGCTTCTTCATCTTCAACTATACTGCGATAACCCGCCGCCGTCAGGTAACTATACTACGATACCACGGAGAGGAACTGGAAGCCTACTCTAATTTTGACGACCTCCGTGGCCGAGTGGTTTGTATACCGGGTTTCATGGTGTCGCCCACTCGCAAGGCCCCGGGTTCGAATCCCGGTGGGGGCAGATGTTTGTGTGATGAATACGAGCATTTGTACTCCAGTCATGGATGTTTAATATGTATTTCCATATAAATATACTTATATGTGGACAATATATGTATTCTATCCGTTACCCTAGTATCCTATAACATAAGCCTTACAGTGCTTACTTTGGCGCTAGGCTGATTGGTGTGAGTGCTGGAAATATTTATATTATTTATTTAATTCAACGCAGACGAAATTTCTATTGAAACTTCATACTTTTCTTACTATGTTTCTGGTTCGTTTTTTATTTATAATAATATTCGTCGTCGGAATATAGATTGAGGTGTAGAATTTTAAACCTACTCAAAGAAAGCTTCAATTTGATAGTTTACCGTTCAAATAAAGTATAACCCTTATATTGAAGAAATTAAATTTCGTTTGAACTTCATTATCGAAAGTTCGTTTCGGAGAAAGTGAGTAGACCCCCTGCTCATCGTCATCAGGCCTATTGTATTTAAATGTACTGTATTTAAATTTAGTCAACTAAAAGAAAAATTCAAATCAATATCAGCCTAATAAAGTCCATACCACAGACCTTCTTCATAGATAAAATAGGTAGAATCTCTATAAAGTTCAGTTTAGCCAACGTTAAGAAATATTCAGATCATCATGGTCAGCCTAATAAAGTCCCCACCACAGGCCTTCTTTATAGATAAAACAGGAAGAATCTCTATAAAGTTCAGTTTAGCCAACGTAAGGAAAAATTCAGATCATCATGGTCAGCCAAATAAAGTCCCCACCACAGGCCTTCTTTATAGATAAAATAGAAAGAATCTCTATACAGTTCAGTTTAGCCAACGTCAAGAAATATTCAGATCATCATGATCAGCCTAATAAAGTCCCCACCACAGGCCTTCTTTATAGATAAAATAGAAAGAATCTCTACACAGTTGAGTTTAGCCAACGTCAAAAAATATTCAGATCATCATGATCAGACTAATAAAGTCCCCACCACAGGCCTTCTTTATAGATAAAATAGAAAGAATCTCTATACAGTTGAGTTTAGCCAACGTCAAGAAATATTCAGATCATCATGATCAGCCTAATAAAGTCCCCACCACAGGCCTTCTTTATAGATAAAATAGGAAGAATCTCTATAAAGTTCAGTTTGGCCAACGTAAAGAAAAAATCAGATCATCATGGTCAACCAAATAAAGTCCCCACCACAGGCCTTCTTTATAGATAAAATAGAAAGAATCTCTATACAGTTCAGTTTAGCCAACGTCAAGAAATATTCAGATCATCATGATCAGGCTAATAAAGTCCCCACCACAGGCCTTCTTTATAGATAAAATAGAAAGAATCTCTATAAAGTTCAGTTTAGCCAACGTAAAGAAAAATCAGATCATCATGATCAGCCAAATAAAGTCCCCACCACAGGCCTTCTTTATAGATAAAATAGGAAGAATCTCTATAAAGTTCAGTTTAGCCAACGTAAAGAAAAATCAGATCATCATGAGCAGCCTAATTAAGTCCCCAACAAAGGCATTCTTTATAGATGAAATAGTATAGACAAGTCGAATAACTAAAGAACTAAAAAAAAACGGAGTTTGGTCTGGGGTGCCGCCTTATGGCCAAAACTAGCTCATAGTTGCTGAATGATAGAATGTGTTAATTTAAGTTGCTTCCTATTGCGCATGCCGTGGCAACCTATAGTTAAAGCGACACTAATCCTAGCTTTAAACTGCTTCTGTAGCTACTAACACTGACGCTGTGTTATGCTTTGTTAGTTGTCCTTTTTTTTCTCTTTATTTAAGGGACTTTTATCTTTACAGACATGTTAGTCCCATCGTGTTCTTATATAAATTAACAAATCATCTAAGCCAATTAACGTAATATGTTATTATCGGAAGAAAGTCGCGGCTGTCATATTAAGCGATACAGCATTCTGGCCCCTTCCGAGACCGGTTGGGCCAGAACGTGGCCAGAACGCTGTGAAACACACCGATGTCTGACATATTCAATTTACATTTGTTAACAAACTCTTGTCTTTCATTCTGGTACCGGACACAATCCATCAACAAGTGCTGGAGATCTTCTACAACACAGCATACTTCACAGTTGGGAGACTCATTTTTTTTCATAAGATATCCAAACTTGTTACATGGATAATGTCCAGAACGAAGTCTATTTAAGGTCACTTTAAAGTGTCGACTTAATAATAAACTAGCAAACCAGTGAACCAAATGTTCACCAAAACCTGATTTCTCGAAAACCGGAAGTGTTACGTTACTCAAATCCGGTTATTAGTCTTATCAGACTATTCTTAACTTATAACTTAAATATTCTCTTTATCTATCTCTTACGGTTTGGCCGCTGAAACAGCACCACAGACAGACGGACGGACTTGTCTAATAGATAAGAGATTAAGAATAAAAAAATATAGGGAGATTGAATTAATTTTTTACACGTTTCTTCCTCATTTGAAAAAGGATCAACATGGAAGCGTCTTGGGAAGCTTGGCGTCGCGCTGAAGGCGGCGCGTCCCCGCTGCAGCCCACTGTGCAGCTGTGCGTGGATGCCGACCAGCTTTGCGTGGAGCTGCGGCCCAGCGAGCTGTGTGCGCTGGCCCGCCTGCAGGAAGCTTTCCGCGATGTGATGCAGCAGGTGAGAGAGAAACAGACACAGGCAGCTGAAAGCCTCCTTTTATACAGATGTAACATCTTTCCTCTCGCTTTCCTGCAATTTGTGGGAGTGATTTCATGAAATGGGACGGTAGTGTGTAACAGGAAGTCGCGAAAGCGCGCGCTATTTGATTTAATTTAAGAACATACTGTTCAAATGGCTTATTCCTTTTGTGGTAGGTTTTATTTCTTTTTTTACTTATATAAGGTGAGGTTTCAAATGTTACACATCATACGCGGCTACTGTAAGGCTCGCTCGCTTTTTTATTTTTTTGTGTCACAGGCAATCCCTCTATTTACATGCGACGGCGCGTTTAAGAGGCACACTGCCGAACGGACCTCACACCTGGCTCCCGCAAGCCTTACGAGCCCCCGCAGTGGCTGCCCAATGAGGGCCCCGTAACTCTTACGGGTGCTTTACGGCATAGTGCCCTAAAAACCCTGCGAATACCCTCGAAGCTGCTTAGTGCGAAACCGCGGGATCCGCTTAGGGATTCTTCCGCGTTTCTGCACCCAGCAGCCTCCCGAACTAGCCGGGGATCCACGTCCGGGGTCTCCAGAGGTAAACTGAGAGCCTCCTGCAGATGCACACTCTTGGAGATGCCGAAGGCAACATGTTGTACAATCAGGAGGCCAATCGCCTAACGGGATTTGCTAGGGCTATCACTATTGCTGGCGCTTACGTTTTCATTTTTTTTTATGCAAAAATAGGCAGTGCGTGTGACCACAATCTCACCTGATGGAAAGCGATGATGAGGCCTAGGATGGTACACGCCTGCCTAGAAGATGCCTGTTCACTCTGGCCTTGAAGATGTCCAGATTCTATTGGTCCGGGAAAACAGACCTCGGCAAGGAGTTCCACTCCCTAGCCGTTCGCATAATGAAGGCCGAAGCAAATCGCTTCGTGCGAATGGGAGGAACTTCGACAACATAAGGGTGGAAGCCCTCGCCGCGCCCTTGACCTCCGAAGATTTTTAAATACCTCGCGCTCAATTTATTCTTTTGAATTGCTAATAACAATATAAAAAAAATGTGTTCTAATTTAAATAGTTGATCAAATCACGTGATAATACATTTGTTGTCCTCAGGCTTCCGCGTTAAGATCTGACGCAGACTATGACGCGAGCAACATCAGCAGCAAGCCGTCATTTTCTTCGACGAGATCCTCGCACCGGCGTTCCAGCAACAGCGATACTGAGCTCAGCGATCACTACTATAAAGACGACTTGAGGTAACATGATAGTAATAGAAGATGATCCAAAGCGGGGGTTTTGGGATTCACTCGAAGGCAAAATAACATAAGGGGGACAACCTCGCCCCTTGTGAAGTATTCCCACCGTACCAAAGCTCTTTATATAGGGTTCAACAGAACACAGAAAGAGGTTAGTAAAGCCTTGTGGGCGGGGCGGGTGCGTAACAGTTATGAGCAAATGCTCATAACTTGACCAAAACTCCAAATTAGACCTATGGATGGACTTATTATATGATTATCTATATATATAAAACTCAAAGGTGACTGACTGACATAGTGATCTATCAACGCACAGCCCAAACCACTGGACGCATCGGGCTGAAATTTGGCATGCAGGTAGATGTTATGACGTAGGCATCCGCTAAGAAAGCATTTTGATCAATTCTACCCCCGAGGGGATAAAATAGGGAATGAAAGTTTGTATGAAACTTTGTCAATTTTAAACCGATCGGGCTGCGGCTACTTTGCATGCAGGTATAAGAAGAATCATAGATGAATGTCATTGTGTATAATACAAGCCTGAGAACAAAAACTGTAGTCTACACTTCAGCTCTACACCGAAGCGAAGCGAGGGCGGGCCGCTACTATAATATATGACTGTTTATATCTTTACATGACATTGTTTCAATCTTCGATCACAGAAAGACTAGATACAGTACTTCATACTTCAACTATTACTAAATGCGTCGGCGCGACATTAGTAGTGTGTGTATCGCGTGATATATTACCGTTCAGCTTCAAGAGATCGCTAGCAATGTACTGCTATCCTTTTTTCGCGCACAGTGATCTCGTATTGCTTGACCTTTCGTTTCACGCACACATTTACGTGCTCCAAAATAGGCGAATGTGGGCGCGCGTATTCGATATGTTATGTGTGCGTGCCGAGGCTCAAAACTATGGATTCATATTCATAGCGGCTTTTATTATTTTTTTATTATTGTAGTATAATTAAATATCAGATGTATAATAAAAATGCAATAAAATTACAATAATAATAGTATTATATGATAGAATGTGAAAAAAAGCATTGAAAATTATTAAGTTAAAAAGTAGTGTTTTGGGGTTTCAAAGTATTCAGTATCGCTCCCTATCCGTGCCCTAAGCACGAACTTTTGACAGATGCGTAACCCTATCGAAATCGTCAAAATTTCTATGGAAAGAGCCAGTTTGTTCTTACGTTCGGTAGGGGCGCTGCTTAGTTTCCATCGAAACTTTGACGGTGGCGATACGTTTACGGATCTGTCAAAGTTCGTGCTTAGGGCACAGCTGTCGATAGAAAGTAAAACCTGTTTTTTATTGCATATTAAAAGAGGTTGCAACCATACAGAATACAGATAATTTGAGTGCGGGAATGAAAATTATAGTATTATGTCGCTATGGCTACTCCCTTCCGTGTTGCTCTATGAAATAAATGAATTAGACAGGAAGATCAAAGTATATCTTCTATCATCGAAATAAGTTGGTAAGTAAGTTGTTAAGTAAGTTGAACTTTTCAGTAAGGATAAGGTTAAAACATAAACAATTGAAATTATCATAAATTGCAGGTTTATTATATAAAAATTCTCTATTTATAATTTTAAATGTATTGGCAAAATTTCATGTACCTTTAAAAAGTGTCAGTTTATTAAAAACTTGTCTCTTAGTTTTGATGTACGACTCCTTTTTTGAATTATAATAAAGACGCAGACTAACATACTCTTCAATCACACTTCTTACCAAAAATATCCGATGATTATAAGTGGCCGGTTGCTCCAACGAGTGCCCTTCAAGGCACTGGAAAATTTCTTTATATGCATACATGCAACTTTTGAAACACTGCAAGCAAATACGAGCGTAATAGTTTCTGTCAGAAGCTTTGACTCGTTCCTTGAATATTTTTCTAAGAACCATTTCACTGTTGATGCAAACTTTATAAACATCGACAGACGGATAAATCAGTCCACCAAAGTTTTTCTTATCAATCAGCTTATGAAAATATAACCCACTTGGCGTAAAAAGACTGTCAGAGCATGATCGACATTTAATTTTTCGGTTAATTTTTTTAGATACAAAACCTGATATGTACCCCACTATTTGCTCAATACTTTCCGGTGGCACTGAAGCATCCAACATTTCATTAAATATGTCACAATTTTTTCCTTCCTGCGTATCCTTCTCAAACGCACCCTCTGTTTCTTCATCTTCTTCAAATCGATAGCCAGTTACAGTACGATTGATTGTCGATACAGCTGATGAACAATTTAAAATTGGATAATTTTCCAGAGGGATGCAGTTTCCAGTGAAATTTGATTTCAGTTCGAAGTGGTTAAGCAGTTTTCTGAAAGCACCGCGTAGTTGACGGGCATCAGGGTTATTGTTGTGCCCCCCATGACTTCGAATATTACTGAAAAATAATTCTACGTGGTCCTGTGAGTACTTATATGATGGAAGATACTGTATCACTTCAGCCTTCTCAATCAGTTCTTCATATAAATTTCTTAAACTGTTAATACAAATAATTAACCCAATAAATCCTGTTTTATTTCTAGTTTCAGTGATCGGTTTTTGATAAATGGTAGTTGTACTTATTTTCTTTTTTTTATACGTCTTTACATGTGTTATTGGCACTTCTATCTTTAATGCTTTTAAATATTGTTCGGCTTCGTTCAGTAGTCTAAAATGTTGTTCTTTGTTTTTTGCACAAATTGGCTGTTTGTAACCGTTATTTTTGATTGATCTAGAATTTAAAACGTCGAATAGGTCATTCATTATTTGCACCATTTTAGTAGTTGCTGAAGCATCATTGAACGTAGATAATTTAAGTTCATTTTGACACAAATCCAAAGTACTTGCAACGCTTCTGCTAAAAAGTTGGGTAGCGAGTTTAACTTTCATGATTTGGTTACGAAATTTTATGTGTTGTTCAGTGACCTTGTTTGCAAAATGCATGCCTAAGTTATCCTGCAACTTTTGTAACTCAACGAGATATTGCCATTGTATAATTTTTCCATTTGAATCTATAAATTCCTTTTTTGACTCCAATGTATTTCTAACCAACTTGACCATATGACATGGATCAAGCATCAAGTAAACGTTTGTGCTATTGTCACTTGGATGTGGAAAGTGCGTTTTCAAATTATGAGTGTCATCTAGTTTACAGCCCAATTCGTTGGCAGCTGCAAAATTTGAGGCGCATCCATCAAAAGTAAGCGTTTTTACTATGGCTCCAACTTCGTGACATTTTTCTAACGTTCTTTTGATAATATTGGCTCTTTGTTCGCCTGAATAGCCATTTACTAAAAAATACCCCAAAGGTAATTTAAAAGAATCGTTTATTGGCACTAAAATGACACAGTATGCTTGAGTTGCTATTTCCTCTGTATTTTCTCCGAATGAAACTAATCCTTCCATGAATTTCCCGTTGAAAATCTTTTTTTGCCTAATGGCCATTTCATCCACTATCAAGCAAAATCTTAATTGTCTGTCAGTAGTTGCAACCACTTTAACTTGTAATGCCCGAAATGCCTCCTCCGAGAAACCTGGTTTCCCATCTATGCTTTGATACCACTTATTAAGCGTCGACGGATGTGGTAAACACGAGTCAAATACCCTTCTAACGTACTTGTATCCAGCTGGTGAAAGAAAGTCTAGGGTGAGGGCAAATTTTCTTATGAATGCAGGATATTTCAATGTTGTTCTCTTACATTTCTTTTTTTTTAAATGCATCCTATTAAATATCTCAGCTGCCATTATATTATTATTAGAAAGTTTTTGTTCATCGTCACTAGTAATATATTTTTTTTCTTTAAGATCTTTTATTATTTTCTTCAAAGAGCAGTTCTGTTTAATCAATCTTCTATTTATTCTCTGCACTTTTTTCAATTTTTTTAATCGAAGGTCAGCGAGCATAGTTTTTTTTCTTAATTTTGTTTTAAGGGCATACGTTTTTGGAGATTCTAAATATGAATTTATATCTGAATAAGATGAAATTGGAGAATTAATATTTTCTTGCAAACAGCTCTGCATAAATGTATTGTTAGGTTCCTGATGTTCACAATTTGGTTGAAAAGCAAACTCTTCAGTTGTTCTAGTTGGTTCTTTGTTAATAACTACATTTTTAAGTTCAGTGAATGTTGTATTCAAAAGATTATGTGATGTAAATGACGTTGAATTAGTTAAATCTTGTAACGGTTCACGCAATAAATAGTCACTCGGTGCTTTGAGAATTTCAATAGACTTGAATGTTTGAGACTCGGATGAACAGTATCTTTGAGATGAAGTACTTGGTTTGTCTATTTCAAATGTGTCGATATGTTGTAGATCTTGTGGCTGGCTGGAATGATTCTGCAAAAAAATATTGAAATAATTAACACAAACAACTTAATTGGTCGTTAGCCCGTATTCGGGTGCACGAAAGACGTTACTGGAATTCGGCCACCCGATGCAATAATTACATTGTTTTTACTCGAACACGGGCTGCAAGACGGCGTCGGGTAAACAAAACGAAAACTGTCCGATATGGGCGACTCGACTCCGTTCATTTACACTTAGTCGTTTGTCCGAATTCCATAGGCAATCGTATTCGGGCTAACGACCAAGTGTAATTGCGCCATCAGTCACCTAAAACACCTAGTTTTAAGATCTTTTCCAGGATCATACACGTTCATAACTTAACATATCTAAAATTTATTTGAATTTCTTTTAACACCTAGTTTTAAGCTTTTTTCCAGGATCATACACGTTTATAACTTAACTTAGCATATCTATCATTTATTTGAATTTATTTAACACCTTGTTAGTGTATCATATAATTATAACTTATCTATCATATAACATTAACTCATTTGAAACTTCGTTAAACAAACTTTATAGGTATTTATCTTTAGGCGTGAAAAGGAACACAGAGAGACCGAGTCACCTCTGTATTTATAATATGTAAAAGTGATATAGGTACTTACCACTAGTTTATATTTAGGTAAAGCTGTTTTCTTTAATCTCCGTAGGCCTTTGTTAGTGGTATAAAAATCCGATTCATGAAAATGTAAGGAGCAAATAGAGGCACGTTTTGAAGGTCTCCAATTGGGATCCCTTGTAAAGAGTATGGCATTAATCCAATTTTCTCGCCTCTCTGCCGATTGTGGAAATCTAGATAAAATTAAATTAATAACGAGATTAAAAATTAAAAGAAAATGATCATAACAAGTTTGTTAGATACACGTTTTTTTTATCTGATACACTCACACCTCAAACTAAGCAGAGTTTGTACTATGAGAGCTAGGTAACGGATATTAATACATAATGTCATATAAACATCTATGACTCTGGTGCAAATGTCCGTATTCATCACACAAACATTTTCCCTTTACGGGTTTCGACCCCGCGACCTATGGTTCTGTTCCATAGGTCGCGGGTTCGAATCCCGTTTATTAACCACTAAATCAACAGGCCTCTCAATATCCTATCTTACGTATTAAATCTTTACCATTCAAACATAAGAAAATAGTTTATTTTTTAAAGAAGCCGTCTCCACTTTACACAACCAGATGAAATGTATGAGAGAGTAATTTTTGTTTTTTTCTTATCAAAAATTGTATTTAAAAGCATACTCACTCATGAAATGTAATTCCAGTAGTTTTAGTGTGCTTTCTTGTATCACTTTTACATGTTTTGATCGTGCAAGTCGGCATTTTTGCAATATTAGTGACGAGAAACACTGCGAAATTGACGGGCGGTCGCGTAGCTGCCAACGACAGACTGAGCGGGCGATGAGTGGAGTTTTTAAATTGAGCGGAGTTTTCATGGAACGCGATTCGAACCTACTTGCTGTATCTAGTCTTTCTGTGATCGAAGGTTTCAATGGCTTTAACAGTTTGTTCCGTAATTAATAAGTAGCAGTGCTTTTGAATGTCCATCGTACAATAGTTTTTGACCAAATTGTCCATACGGTAAGAGTTTGTTCCATTATGTCCTAGGAGTGGAGCTTTCAAACTGGTGGGCGGAGGACAACTGCCAATGGCATACCAAGTAACATTGCACGCCCAGACTGTGGCGTGGAGATATCCACACCCTCGTGCCGTCACCAGGGTGCTTGCCTTCCCGCTACCTGACCAGGTACGTATGCGCCTACGCCTATCATCATTATCATCTGTGTCATCAACAATAGGCCCTGCCAGAATTATCAACGCTGCACCAGCTCTGGTGTTGCTGCAGTATCAAGCTGAAGAAGGGACCTAGTTGGCCTATTTTGTCTTGTTTTATTTATGTAAATCTGACTGTGTTTAAGGCTAATAAATTTATTTCTATTCTATTCCTATGTTTCTTAAATATATAAAATACTAGCTGTGCCCCACGGTTTTAAACGCGGTTTATTAGGGATATTTTCCCGCAGTAAAACGTAGCCTATATGTTAATCCAGAGTGTCAGCTAAGTCCATACTAAATTTTATTAAAATCTCTCCAGCCGTTACGACGTGAATAAATAACAAAGATAAACATACACACTCACAAACTTTCGCCTATATAATATTAGTGTGATACATACAACACATCAGTCTGGGACACCTTTAGTTTATACTGTGATAAAGTTTCCGAAAACTGACCCAAAAATTTCATTAATTGAGAACTTCGGAGATTTTGTGTGGTTTCGTTTGAAATTCGTGATTTCTCGAAAACCGGAAGTGCTACGTTACTCAAATCCGGTTTGTAGTCTTATCAGACTATTCTTAACTTATAACTTAAATATTTTTTTTATCTATCTCTTACGGTTTGGCCGCTGAAACAGCACCACAGACAGACGGACGGACTTGTCTAATAGATAAGAGATCACACCCAGACACAGAACAAATACTCGTGCTCATCACACAAATATTTGTACTGGGTAAAATAAAAAATCTATAAGACTTTGTAATAATTTATAAAACACTAGTATTTTTGATAACTAAAATAATTTCGATACTATTAATCGATTAAACAATGTTCTAGCATAAAATCGATTATAGCTTTAAATCGAACGAGTTATGTGATATTTTTACTTCGATCGATCTGTCAAAAAGATAATAATAGAATGGACAGACTATAATATGTTTAAAATTGAGGTTGCCCGTATAGGCTTTTGTTGTCAGTGCATGCTGCATCTTAGTCTTCATTCTCGCTCTTTGAGTTAAATATGAGAGTCACACGCAAACAGTCTTAAACATAACCATAAAAAATATATCAACCATAAGTTTTAATAAACGAAAAATTAACTTAGACATGTAACGCAATCTAATCTCTAAAAGCTAGAAATGTTTTGAGTTTCTTAGAAGCTGTCGGTCTAAAAGAGACACTTTAACTTGGTGGCGAGTTTGAATAGATATTTTAGGTCGCAGCGACTACCGCTTCGCTGGGACTGCATAGCCCCAAAAATCCGAAGTAATAATAAACTCAATGCTTTATTTACCTCATTATCACTTGATTGATTTTGACGACCTCCGTGGCCGATTGGCTTCGACGCCGGGTTTCATGGTGTCGCCGTCTCGAGAGATCCCGGGTTCGAATCCCGGTGAGGGCAGATGTTTGTGTGATGAATACGAGCATTTGTACTCCAGTCAAGGATGTTTAATATGTGATTTCTATATTAATCTTAATATATATAAATCTCGTGTCACAATGTTTGTCCTCAATGGACTCCTAAACCACTGAACCGATTATAATAAAATTCGCACACCATGTGCAGTTCGATCCAACTTGAGAGATAGGATAGTTTAAATCTCAAATTATACTCGCAATTTTAATTTATTGCAAATTATTACTTTTGGGCGGTACGAAGTTCGCCGAGTCAGCTAGTATATTTATATGTGTACAGTATATGTATCCTATCCGTTGCCCTAGTATCCCATAACACAAGCCTTACAGTGGTTACTATGAGGCTAGGCTAATTAGTGTGAGTGTTGAAAATATTTATTTATTTTATTTTATCACTCAAATCTCATTTAGAATACTATATTCTATAGTAAATTTTCTATCACCTTTGTTTATAAGATTTTTTAATGTTAAGGACGATGAATTTGAGTGCATTCTCGAGTTCTACAACCCCGTGGTGGGCGAATGGCATGCATACGCTCACTTCAACATACCGGTCTCGGGGCCCGCTGAGGTGAAGCTGTATATCACTGCACCAGGTAAATGTTAAAAAGTCTTTACCTTTTTACATGGTAAATTTGTATATCTTCATAGAATTTCCAAATTAATTTTTAGATTATAGATAAAAAAGAAACCACAAGAACGATTAAGAATAAAAAAAAATGTTTCGGTTGCCCACATTGTTTCTTTATATTGTGTGTATTTTTAAGTTTCATACAAACTTATGAAGCACCTTTGTATTAGTTAAGGCCCTAAATGAAGGTGCAATCATCATCATCATCATCGACCCATGTTCGTCCACTGCTGGACATAGGTCTCCCCTAATGCACGCCACTGCTCCCGATATTCTGCCACTCTCATCCAGCTCACGCCAGCCAGCCTACGAAAGTCATCATCCCATCTTGTCTCAAATAAGTTTTGTCTTGAAGGTGCAATGTCAAAAATAAACCACTCTAAATTAAAGATTATTTTAGTTAGATAATAATAGATTGTTTATGAAATTAGAATAGATTCAGCAGTGTTTATTTATTTTCCTTATACTTAAAGTTATATAATTGCTTTAAATATGCCAATGTAAAAAGGTACAATTGCCATTTTGTTTCATCATCGATTTTCTCAAACTCGCAGACGCCGTATTCGCGCAGATGTGGCGGATGCGGCCGCGACCAGAGAAGGAGCCCAAGCAGATGCCTTTTGAATTCGACTTCGCCCGCTACTTGCCTCGAAATGATCCGATGGTACCAATGTCGTTGCTATATTCTGTTATAAATTCTGTCACTGTTACTAGACCTTCTCTAGCCTCTCCATATACACATGCTTTCACTATGTGTTAATAATGAGATATGGTAATGGTACACCAATTGATTGAAAAGATAATTTTCGTACATATCTATTGGCTTTGCTATATTTTAAGCGTCTTTTGTCGATGTGTCGATCTCAAGCTATCTAACAGTTTATTTAATGGTGGCACTTCCAATGGCTATGTTAACTTGTAAGAAGTATTTTTTTTTCATCCTCTAATATAACATCATAAGAAGGAGCTCGATGGCGCAAGTAGTTAACGCGTTCGATCGGGATCGTCGAAGTTGAGTGACTTTCGCAGTGACCGGTCATTGGATGGGTGACCAAAAACTTATCGTCTCGAGCTCCTTCGTGCTTCGGAATGCATGTTGAGCCGTCGGTCCCGGCTGCATATGCAGTCGTTAGCACCCACCAATCGGTACTGTACCAAGTAGTAGTTACAAAAATAATTCATCAGCCATAGTTTGCAAACCGAAATGTCAATGTCAAATTTTGATGGAAACTTGAACAGCAGCGGCACAAAGTACGTAACGAGAACTAAAAATCAGTACACATTTGACAATGACATTTCGTACTCGCAAACGATTCGAATTCGATATTGGTTCGTGCTAGGGGTACTGGACGAGCGTGGTGGGTCACGGCTTATCTCCCTATTTCAGCCATAGGGAAGACCTGTGTCCCAGCAGAAATTATATAGGCTGATGAATTATTTTTGTACTGAGTAACTACTACTTGGTTATACGATTAGAACATCTTAGCCGTCTTATGACTATGTCGTATTATGAAAAAAAAAACACTTGTTACTTGTACCTCCCGTATCTTTTTCCTCTGCACACCACTCTGTCCCGTCTGCTGCCTGGTCCGCGTGGAATTTTTTTCTAGTTATATTTTCTTTAGATAATTATGATTGGTTTTTTGAAGTGAAACTTCTTTATCGGCGTTGGAAAAAAATTTACCGTCACATTTTTTCGGTTACGCGTCACGTTTTTTGGTTACGCGCCATCTTTTTTTTAAAAGAGCACTATTTACCTCATCCGAACAATTGCTTCTTCTGTCAACTTTAAAAAAAAAGTATCGACAGCAAATATTCGTGTTTCACACAAGGCAAGGTAAGGTAAGGTAAGGTAAGGTAAGGTAAGGTAAGGTAAGGTAAGGTAAGGTAAGGTAAGGTAAGGTTGATATGAGATTAGCTTAAGAAGATGCTAATATACCGCGGGCGCTTACGGACTGCGCCTTTGGTATTAAGCTTGATTTCAGTTTTCGTTATATATGTGTTTTAGTAAATAGTATTAGTTATTAGTATTTAGGGTTTTACTAAGTGTGTGTGTGGTAAGGTAAGGTAAGGTGTAGTTATACCCCTTTAGTGGGTGAGTTTTTGAAAAATCTTAGCGCACGCCTATATATATATTTCTGGAAAGTTGCATGTAGATCATTTTTCGAAAAAAATAAGGCCATAAAGAAGTTTCATTTCTTACGTGTGTACACTAGTACACGCACACATTTTTTTTTAAAGAGTGTTAAAAAAAAATCTGCAGTGTGTGAACATGCATTAGGGGGACCAAACCACTACATTAGATTTGATAAACCACAGATCCTTGCAGCTGAGCGGCGGTTCGTTCCTCGAATGATGCGCGAGGCTATTGAGATTAAAAAATATCCAAATTTCAATAGGGAAGATGGTTGGTATATACCACCAGCTTGGGAACCTATTATACAGGAGATAAAATCCCAACCCCGAGCACACACTGCAAGACCATCAGATACTATTAGTTCTTTTTGTTTGCATAATTTAACATAAGAAGGAGATAGAAAGCCTCTCTTGAGTTTGTTTCGCCGGTTCTTCTCAGGAAGGTCTCCCAATTTTGGAACCGGTGGTAGTTTACGGTAGTTAGGGTCAAATAAATAAACTCAAAATTACAAACAAGAATTTTAAATAAAATACTTTATTAAGTAAATTAAATAATAAATTCATACATAGACAATAAAATTTTAAAAATTTTCTTCCAATGAAATAACCGAACGCACAATATAATTCTTTCGAAGGTAGCTCGACAATTTTAAATAAAATCATTATTCTGACGATGCAGACCTGAAAAGGCTGCGAAACGTCAATAAATAAATAAAGTTTCGTGCATTAACCCGTAAAAACTAGTTTTATTTAATGAGTGATGTGCGTGAAAACCTAAGAAACAAAGAGTGTTTTGTTATTGTTAGGCGTTCGAACAGCCGCCCGAGCCGGATATCCCGCTGTCACCAGTGGCAGTGACCGCCGAACAGCTGTGCGGGGCGGTGCGCGTGGACTCTTACTTCGCGCCGCGCGCGCTGCCCCGCGTGACGCTGTGCGCGCGCGCAGCGGGCCTGCAGCTGCACGCGCACAACGCGCTGCCCCTTCTACCGAGGTAGGCCGTTTTTCGAGATAATAATAATAATAAATAAATAAATATTTCCAACACTCACACCAATTAGCCTAGCCCCAAACTAAGCACTATAAGGCTTGTAATATGGGATGCTAGGGTAACGGATAGAATACATATACTGTACATATATAAGTATATTTATATAGAAATACATATAAAACATCCATGACTGGAGTACAAATGCTCGTATTCATCACACGAACATCTGCCCCCACCGGGATTCGAACCCGGGACCTCTCGAGTCGGCGACACCATGAAAACCGGCGTTCAAACCACTCGGCCACGGAGGTCGTCAAAGATGTATCCAAACTAAGGGTGCGGCCAGAGTGCACTCAGATTCAGATTCCGAAAACAAGCGCGAGAAATAAACAGTGTAGTTGTACGGGTTATACACCCTTAGAGAAGAGATTGGTAAATAGAAAGTCACTGGAAACAATTCCTGAGAGTTTATTGAGATAATTTACACTACTATAACAAAGTCTATAAATAGGAAAACTAAAGTTAAAGTATGGTAAAAGAATGGTTTACGTATGGTGAAAAGGTAAGAGTGAGTACGCGCGGTTGGTAAGGCTACCGGAAAGACACTAATTATAGATTCAATATGTTATTATTGCGAAACAATGAAATTAATAAATTATAAAGTAATAAGTCGCGCAGCGGGTCATATTGCTGACGCGTTAACCTACTTAATATGAGTTTAATGTGCGGCTAAACCCGTACAGTAGTCGAAGGGTACGGCCAGAGTGCACTCCTGATTCAGATTCAAACTCAGAAGACAAAACGCGCGAAAAAGCAGGCAACCTGCTTAGACTACACTGTTTATTTCTCGCGCTTGTTTTCGGAATCTGAATCTGAGTGCACTCTGGCCGCACCCTACCATAATAATAATAATAGGGATGATGACTAATTTTTTTTCTTCGTTTATCAGACAGATTATTAAAAAGTATTGGACACGTATTTTTTCTTTTTTCACATAACATAAACATTGCAGAGATAAACATTGCATATATTGACTTGAAAAGTCGCATGACGTCACGTTTGAGTACAATTTTAAGTGAAAATTCACTGAAAAGTGACGTCACGAGCCCCTACTCCCAAACTTTGACGCGCTATAACTTTGTCTTTTTTTGGTTGATTGCCCAAAAAAAATACGTGTCCATTATTTTTTGATCATCTAACTGACGGACTAAATAGAATTTCGTTTACTGTACCCCGTCATCACCCCTTTTATTTAAAAGGAATAAAATGATACATTAACATTAGTTTTACAATGTGCACCTTACAGTTGATGTTTTCAAAACGATGTGAGTCTCAAACTCAAAAACTAGAACATAGCCTGTAACTCAGGAGTCAGTGGCTCCTTCCAGATAAGTAAACTCAATAGCGTACATCTTTAAAACTTAATGTTATGATTTAATGCTAAAGAATCTGTATGTGTTTGTGCATGTTTGTGTGTGTGTATGTGTGTGTGCGTTTGTGCGTATGGGCGTGTACAGGTAAGATACTGATAATATGATTAACTTGATAATCCTTACTAATATTATAAAGGCGAAAGTTTGTGAGTGTGTGTGTTTGTTTCTTCCTCACGTCGAAACGGCTGGAGCGATTTTAATTATTTTTTTTATGGAGTCAGCTGACACCCTGGATTAACACATAGGCTACGTTTTACTTCGTGAAAATATCCCTTATAAACCGCGGGTAACACCGCGGAGCACAGCTAGTAAAGTATATTTTGGTAACTAAACAATAACTTAATACTAATTGATATTAAAAATGGTTGTTATGAATGAGTACGCTCACGGCTTACTTGATAGTTGCGAGCTAACGTGTAAGTAATTGGCGATTATTGAAAATAATAAAAAAATGTCAGTTGGTAATTTAGTGAGCAGGCGAAAAGAACGTAGCTTGCTCGGACATATTCACGGGCGAGAAAAATTAGATTAGTAACAAGATGATGAACAATCTTTCCTGTACACTTCATATTTAAGTTTAAAAAACATATTATCATAAAGTTAAAAAATAAAAACAAAGTTCATATCATTTGCAATGAGAAAAGTTACTAACAAGAATATGTATACCGCAGCACAACAGTGCAACACGTGCTAAAATGTTTTACTTATGCATACCTAATTAATTGCTGCGAAGTAGGCGTACGCAACTATGCACATATTTCAGGCTAAAAAAATACACACAGGGTATAAACCACATTCTCACAGAGAAGATTATCAGTTTTATCATTGATTGATTAGTTTTTACATTCGTCATCATATTTGTACTCCCAAAACATAAGTTGTCGCCAATATTGATACAACCAAACATCGGCAAACAGTTCTCGTGAAAATATTAAGTTTAGCGCATTCTCGTTCTTCTATTGCTTTCCTGCTCTAGAAAAAAAATGTAATGGTATCTATTTGTTGCAAATTCACGTGGATGTTCCTATTTGCTATTTGTTTACTCGACATCATTCTCTCCTTTTCACTCCCTATAGAGCATGATCCTATTGTCGAAATGACAAATAGAAAATACAAATAGTCATCTGTACCCTTAGTATGAGTTTTTTAATACTTCTTCGTCGATTCGATCAAACTGTACGTTTTCGAATTGTGTCGCAGTAAGAGTATAGAATTTCACTCCTCGTCATCACTATATCGTATACTCGATGACTCGATTAAACGAACTTCACACTGTTTAGTTTTGTCTCTTTCGTTCTTTATTGCTTAAAAAGAGATAGCTGATCCATTCATTCAATTCAATCTTAAACAAAGCTAATCTATGTAAAACTCTAGACTTAATCTTATTAATCTGTGTCCAAAGAGTATAGGACCTACGTTTAACTGTGTGTGAAACTTGGCTGTAATGCGCTAGCATCATTATATAGTTTGTGGTATGTAGTATGGTTGAATTCAAGGCCGTAAAGAAATTAAATTAAAAATATATATACATTGTACAAAATGCCTGACGGTGATAAAAGAAGTTAATCGCCAGCGCTGTAATAATTCCCGTCGTTGCTGTGCACGCTGGTCTTCGTCAATCTCTTCAGCGAGCATGAGAGCTAAATATTGTGCCGAAAACATTATTAGATTACATAAAAACTTGGCCCAAAACACTTAGTCACTGAAACTTTCTAATCGAGTGACGATACGTTCAAACGTCGTAGTATACTCATGACGCGCTATCAAAGTTGTAACTTGTACTGCCAAAATGCAAACGACATACGAAAACTTTGGTAGTTTTCGTTTTACGATAACTCGATGAAACTCACACTGTTGATTTTTGTTTTTGATAATTAGTTAACGCTAGGGGCGCTGCTAGTCAATGTATGGAAACGAGACGATACGATTAATCGAATTCGAAAACGATTGAAACTCATACTAGGGGTACTGAATTACCGGTATTATACTCGTAGCTATTGTAAACATCCAGTGTTTATTTCATGCAGCCAAGCAAAGACCCTCGAAGGTTACTACGTGTCCCGCCCTCTGATGCGCAGTCACCGCGTGTTATCGCTAATTGTTCGAGACGCCGGCATTCACTTGTGTTACGGAGCGCCTGCTGGAGGGAAGGCGGCGTTAGAGGCTAGTCTGGCGTGAGTACAACTGTAGACCTTACTGCTTGTCACATAAAGGTGATAATAGCATAAAGCTTAAAGGAAGAATATTCTCACCGCATGTTGTCGCTAATTGTTCGAGACGCGGGCATTCACGCGCGTTACGGCGCGCCCGCTGGAGGGAAGGCGGTGTTAGAAGCTAGTCTGGCGTAAGTGCGATAATAGACCTTGCTGCTTGTTATATAAAGGTGATAATAGCATGAAGATTAAAGATAGAACATTCTCACCGCATGTTGTCACTTAATCTTCTCGATGCAGGCGTTCACGCTGAATGGGAATGCGGCGATAGAGGCTAATCTGGCGTGAGTACGATTGTAAACCTTACTGCTTGGTGCAGGAAGCTGATAATAGCATGAGCTTCACCGGCATCAGGAAGAAGATTCTCACCCCGTGTTGTCCGTGAAAGCGCACACGTTTGTTGGCCCGCTGGAGGAAACTACCGTCGAAGTCAGTTTGGCGACATACAATGAATTTAATTTTAACTTAAAATCGATATGATTATTTCTCGTTTTTGAGTAAAACATTATTGATTTATACATTTATTGAGTATTTATTGCCATTCCTTGTTTACATCATCAAATATAAAGTTTTTATCACGTTCAGTCCCCCGTTACGTGTGTTTTCGCGTGTTGTTGTGTAACTCTATAGTAATTTGACAATTGAGCGTGATAAAAACGAGTTATCTTTGTATATCATAACGCGATACTCATGCTATGGGGGCAGTATTTGACTGAAAATCAGTAAAGAATATTAGATGATAATAGATATTTTAAGTTTTCAAACAACTTGGGCATATCATAAACTTAATAAGCAATTTGAGATGCTCTCAACGCAACGGTAATGTTTCACGTTTAAAATCCTGGTGTATTGCCATTGCTTACAAAGAGCATGACTGTGCTCATCGAGCTATTAGTGGCGGCCACTAAACGAGACCACAAGCTGCGGTCAAGTTTTTGAAGTGAAAATTCTTTTCTAAAAAAATAATGCTAGGTATTTATGAAAGAAGTTTCACTTTAGAAGTGTGGTCCATGCACACAAATTTTTTCATACATTTGGTACAGTATCGGTGCAAACTAAGCGTTCGAGTGGCCGCCACTATGCCACTATCGACTGCGATCGGTGGCTGCGTCCTGTGGCTTGTCTGAGCATCTAGTGGCCGCCACTACCGGCTCAGTGTGCGCTTGCTCTTAAAAACGAAGCTGTAATCATTGTTACCTCAGAGCGGACATAATGGACTGCGCAACGGGCACTATGGAGCCTCTCGTAGACGAATTCAGACTTCAGCTAGCGGCGTCGTTCCCCGAGAGAGATATGAGCAAGTCTCGATGGAGGGGCGTGGCTACCGACGTGAGGGCGGCGTTGCATGTGCCCCGCCTTAGGACTGCGGCCGCCTTGGTAGCTGATTGGCAGGAGCACGTAAGACAGGTAAACTTATCTACTTTGGTTTGGGATCCATTTAAGGCTGAATTCATCGTCATCATCAGCCTATTAATGTCCCCATTGCTGGGCACAGGCCTTCCCAATGAATGGAATAGGGAGGGGATTGGTGGATGCTAATGACTGTAGATGCAGCCGGAAACGGAGGACCTCGAGCTAAAAAAAATTGTCACCCATCCGATGACCGTCCGCTGTGAAAGTTGCTTTTCAATTCTCAGACAGCAAGCAGAGTTAGAGCCAATATTTTAACATGATTTTGACCGAATGCGTTGCACAATGACAACGTGATAAACACTGTTCATATATGGCATTAGAGAAGAGAGCTCAGGTTACGCGCCCAATTTGAAGTTAAATATGTACAAATCGTCATCCGACAACCTTCGTATTGGAATGTGTTTTTCATAGTATTGCCATAATATTCGAGGGACTTAATTTAACATGCTCTTTCTGGGTTGGCTCGAGTTTCCAGCTTGTGGTGCTTCCGTTCTTTCCGTTTAAGTATTCATTGGCGTCGATTGCGAGTGATTCTCTAAACTTAAAACTAAATTTAACATCAGTCTCTCCTTGTCATTCTCTATGCAGAATGACAAGGATGCACTGTCAAATTTAAGTTTAGCTTTAGAGAATCATGCCAGAATCGACATCATTCTCCAATATAAGTATTTATAGTCAGTTTCACGTAATGGGTTGTATTGATTTCTTCCAGTATTTAGGTCACGAACAGGAGCCGAGGGAAGAAGACGATCCATCCGAACAAACAACCTCCAAGCGTTTAGTCGCCGCGGTCGCGTCTCGTGCGCTAGAAGGGCGTATATCCATGTGGATTCACAATAGTTGCGCGTGCGCACTGCGCGTTGGACAGGACGGCACCGACGAACGCGTCACTCTCGGGCCTGGGGCTAGATTTGCTTATAGGTAAGTATTTTTTTTTTTTCTAGTAAACTTTTCTTTAGATTTAAACATCTAGCAGTTAAATGCTTAAAAAATAAATAAAATCATAACTATAATTGCTATTTCTTCTTTCAAATGTTTAATACTTGAAAAAGTATTCATTTGACATTGTGGGTTACCTACAATGCGAAGAGATGGCGCTGCCTTGCAGCTTAAGGCTAGGAAAATTTCGACGCGGCTAATAGGGCCGTGGTAGCATAATGGTCAGTGCATTCGCACGGATAGCGAAGGATGCGGGTTCGAGTCCCGTCCGCTGCCTGGTCCGCGTGGATTTTTTTCTAGTAAACTTTTCTTTAGAAATAAAAATAAATAAATTCATTTATTTGTTCGAACTTAGTTAAATCATAACAATTATTTTCTTAATGCGTAATAACAAAAAAAAATACAATAAAAATAACACTTACAATACAATAGTACCTAAACTAAGCCGAGCCTCTATTATAGGTACTAGTTCCTTCTTCGGTGCAAGTTAGGATTTTATTCTAGAACAAAATTTCACATTGCGCTGCAGTAAACAGCGCACTTCAGATAATATATATATACTCGAAAGATAAATTTGATTGAAATAGTGCAATTGGACTTTTTAGGTTACTGCAATCTTGAATATCGTTCATTCAGGCAGTTAAAGTCATGAGTATTTCACATCACTTTTTGCCTGTAGGTGGAGATCTCCTACAGCTCCGAAAGGACTTAGGATAGCATTCGCTGGTCCTGTAACTGATTGGATCTGGTCATCCAGTAAGTATTGAAATCGTTATTAAATTTATTTATATTAAAATCTTATTGAAAAGAATGAGATTTTTTTCTATATATAATATTTGTTGAAGCCATAACTTCAATAATTAATTTATAACTTCATCAACGCAAGTTCCCCCAGTTGTGGCTATTTACACGCCTTCACAATATTATTGGTTTAATAAGTTATATAAATGTACCGTTTGTGCGAAATCAAAGACATTGTTTATCCTTTTACTGTCTCGGTATTAATTCGTTAATTAAATAACTCGACGTTGTCCACGCAGGAATCCCACAAAGGAATGGAATATTAACTTTCATCAAAGTTGATGCGTTTATAAAAACAATGCATTTGTCTAAAACGAATCACCATTGATGAACCGTCTAATTTCGCCTTTAGCTTAGTAGACATGTATTTTATAGGCGTGCCTTTCGCATCGGGTACTTATCGCGTGCGGCTGGAGAGCGGCGAGGCGACGCATGCGCGCGCCGGGTCAATGACCGCACACGTGACGGTACAGAAAGACGGCGCAAGACGAACTATGCGACTGGCTGGCCACCTGGAGCTGGCCAACCTGCTTCGGTACAACCTGCTGTACAAGGTCATTAACATGGCTCCCTCATTACAACCCAGTAGACGTATGTTTGACCGTGTTCGTGACGGTGCGGAGAGACAGCGCAAGACGAACTATGCGACTGGCTGGCCACCTGGATCTGGCCAACCTGCTTCGGTACAACCTGCTGTACAAGGTCATTAACATGGCTCCCTCATTACAACACAGTAGACGTGTGTTTGACCGCGTTCGCGACGGTGCGGAGAGACGGCGCCAGACAAACTATGCGACTGGCTGGCCACCTGGAGCTGGCCAACCTGCTGCGGTACAACCTGCTGTACAAGGTCATTAACATGGCTCCCTCATTACAACCCAGTAGACGTGTGTTTGACCGCGTTCGTGACGGTGCGGAGAGACAGCGCAAGACGAACTATGCGACTGGCTGGCCACCTGGAGCTGGCCAACCTGCTGCGGTACAACCTGCTGTACAAGGTCATTAACATGGCTCCCTCATTACAACCCAGTAGACGTATGTTTGACCGTGTTCGTGACGGTGCGGAGAGACAGCGCAAGACGAACTATGCGACTGGCTGGCCACCTGGAGCTGGCCAACCTGCTGCGGTACAACCTGCTGTACAAGGTCATTAACATGGCTCCCTCATTACAACACAGTAGACGTGTGTTTGACCGCGCTCGCGACGGTGCGGAGAGACGGCGCCAGACAAACTATGCGACTGGCTGGCCACCTGGAGCTGGCCAACCTGCTGCGGTACAACCTGCTGTATAAGGTCATTAACATGGCTCCCTCATTACAACACAGTAGACGTGTGTTTGACCGCGTTCGCGACGGTGCGGAGAGACGGCGCCAGACAAACTATGCGACTGGCCAGCCACCTGGAGCTGGCCAACCTGCTGCGGTACAACCTGCTGTTCAAGGTTCAAGGTTCCTGACACAGGCGGAAAACGGCTATTTCATTTATCATCAAAAGCCTATTAATGTCCTCACTGTTGGGCACAGACCTTCCCTATCGATGAAATTAAATTTTACCATGATGCCAGCCTTGTGCGGATAGGTGGGTGCTAACGACTGCAGGTGTAGCGGGACCAACGGCTTAACGTGCCTTCTGAAGAAGGGGAGGAGCTCGAGATAATAAATTTTTGGTCACCCATCCAATGACCAACCACTGAAAAATTGCTTAATTTCAACGATCGTAGTCGAACGCGGTAACCACTTGAAATATCGAGTTCTCTCAATACTAACACCTGATTATGTGTTTATTTGTTTTAAGATTTACAGACAAATAGTATCATTAGTTTACACAACAAATTAGACATTATGATAATAACCAATCTTCAAATCGTGTGTTTGTGTTAATGGGTGCTTCCGACTGGACTGGATACAGGCTATAAATGGCTTCCGAAGTATTGAGAAGTTAATAACAATAGATTTTTGATTACCTAATCGCATTTTTATTAAAAAAATATTAAACTATTTTTCTGTGACGCCGTCTATTTGGCAGAGCTTCAAAGGTAGTACTTCAAAAGTACTTTAAATCATATAATTTTTGTTCTCATCTCTTATCTATTAGACAAGTCCGTCCGTCCGTCTGTGGTGCTGTTTCAGCGGCCAAACCGTAACAGATAGATAAAGAGAATATTTAAGTTATAAGTTAAGAATAGTCTGATAAGACTACAAACAGGATTTGAGTAACGTAGCACTTCCGGTTTTCAAGAAATCACGAATTTCAAACGAAACCACACAAAATCTCCGAAGTTCTCAATTAATTAAATTCATTTTTTTTAAATCAGGTTTTGGTGAACATTTGGTTCACTGGTTTTCTAGTCTTATATAATGAGGGGTTTCTGGAATGACGGGTGCCAGGTGGCAGCACTGTGGCAAAAGGTCTACTCATCCGTCAAATCACGAAATATGTCGTCATAGTCTATCAATTTGAATACTCGTATGATTAATGCGTGCCAGAAACTTGGCGCCATCTAGTGACGTAAATTTTCCTAAACACCCTCATGCCGCAATTTCAGTTGGTCGTTAGCCCGTTTTCGGGTGCACGAATGACATTACTCGAATTCGGGCACCCGAAGCAATATTTACACTGGAATACAGGCTGGAAAACGGTGTGGGGTAAACAAAAAGAAATTACCCGAATAAGAGCGTACTCATCTCCGTTCATTTACAATGAGGGCTATCGCGTCTGAAACCGCCGCTGGAGGCGCTTGTGTTGCGTGAGGTCTCCGAAATGTCAAATGTTATAGCTTGCGGGTTGACTACGCGGTTTTTTTCTAATTAAAATAATAGTTGTGAATATTTGGTAATAAATCAGACTTATTATGGCAAATATGAGTTACGTGTCAATGATTGTCAGTTATTTAAAAGCGGAGCTAAGAAAAAATATTGTTCTTCTTTTTTCCGAACAAAACGGGACTGCGCATCACTGTGGCGATTATGTTTAAGATACGATTCTTTTGTATTAAAATGTAAACTTTGATATCACGAGCGTGTTTACTAACTTTAAAAGCTACACTTCAGGACCTCACTCAACAGTGGCGCCATCTGGTGAGACAAAAAACGATAGCCCTCATTAGTCGTTTACCCGAATACTATCGGCTCTCTTATTCGGGTGAACGACCTAGTCTAACTCTCATTGGCGTAACCAACAATATATAAGTCCAAGTGTGACACTTCATGTAGTACATATTCGGCGTTTAGGTGCGCACTCGCTGCCAGGACTCGGTGCAGTGGCAGACGGTGATGTCGGGCGAGCTGGAGCCTGAGAGTGTCGGGCGCAGCGTAATGTGCCCCGCCGATACAGAGATGGCGCTCAAGTAAGTTACAATATTAACCAGAGACATTCAAGACTCATTCATCATCATCATCATCATCATCAACAACCCATGTTCGTCCACTGCTGGACATAGGTCTCCCCTAATGCACGCCACTGCTCCCGATTTTGTGCTACTCTCATCCAGCCCACTCCAGCCAGCCTACGAATATCAACATCCCATCTTGTCTCATTAACACTATGCAATTTTCTTGTACGGTGGCGATCAGAGAATGTTTACCAGTTTTGAAAGTAGATTCTATGCCACACTTTTTTCACTAAAGTCTAAAAAGCCATATCAAGTAACTTATTACCTTTCAAAAGTTATTATGCAATATGACGCATCGAGAGTAACAAAATGAATTTTATATTACTTTTTGATGTTGAAACTCATTTCTTTATTTGTTGAAATGACATTTATTTATAAAAAAAGATATTGTTTGAACATTGTTTGGACAAGAGCATAATTTTACGAATAATATTTTCATAACGAAATAAGATGACAAGTTTGATCCTGGAGCAAAGCGCTGAAATAATATTTCTCTTCCAAGATGGACAAGTATTAGTGATATATCACGAGAACTCAATATATCGCGATTGACTGTGACGTTTTGGATCTGGCGCCACAGCGAAGAAGGGCACTTAACAGATCATTATAAAATTTCCCTTGCAAATTAAACTGTTTTAAGGTTCGAGCATATTGTCACAAACGCTCTCGAAACGGAACCGCGAAAGTGCTAGAGATCGAATGTGCCAGAGCACCGCGGGTCGCGATAGAGGTCGCGTAATGCGGCTCATTCTAAAATGAGCCTTATGTAGTGCGACGTAAGGGAGAAAGTGCAACGACATCTGCATTTGTTTACAATTTATGCGCGTTACCTGCGTAGGTATAAGTAGGTACTACGTACTCGCGGGTGCTAGCTAATTCTCAAATATAAGCGCGATTGGCGCCGCGCAGAGAGAGTTGAGTTTCAACAGCGATATCGGAGCAAATCCAAAGGCGATCAAAGTGCAACAAAAGTGTTCAAGTGCGATAGTTTAGAGACTTGTATAGAAACTATATGAAATACAGTGTTTAGTTAGTTTTTTGTAATTAACATTGTGAGTTAATTATGTGAACTGTGTGGTGAATAAAGAACTGTCAAGCGTGAACTGGCATATATCTATATCATATATATATCGAACCCCATCCCGACACGTAACAATATAATCTCCCTTTCCTTAACGCTGCAAAATTAGACGTGCGATTATTATCTGTCTTTTTGTTTTCCTATTGAGGAAACAGTTTAAACGTTTGTCTATAATCACTACTATATTATTATTAGAAATGTGAAAGTAACTCTACTTTCTCTTTTCCATCTTAAGACAAACTTAATTTATCTTGTAAACTTTAAAATATTGCTTCAAAAATGTTTTTAATGAGTATTGACATTTTCAGAATAAAGTTCACAACGCACGATACGGGATGGTCAGGAGATATACCTTTGAAGGAATGCCCCAAAGAAAATGTGCCATGGCTAGTCAAAGGTACGTAATTGAATACTATAAATAGAATTAAATATATTCTTACAAAAATACTGCAGCAATAATAGCGTGAGTTCTTGAAGTTTTGTTTAATATCACCGATCTAGGACTTCGTTTAGATACGAAGAATTTTCTTTACATTTGCGTATACACTTTCATTACCAGTGCGATTGTTACATTTCAGAGCTGCATTTGTCTACATAACTAATTTGGTTGTTAAAAGAAGTTTAACGTTCAGATGTTTAATAGTTAAACCAATCTTATATTGTAACGAGGAACTATAAATTATGTAGAAAATCAGTCTGTGTTGCTCAAGAACAACATTGCATCATATTGTTCTAAAAGTGTAAAATAGGGCGCGTTCTCGTTCTACAGGACAATCAAAAGCTTAAGCGTTGTTTATAACGTTAGTGGATTACATTTCGTTAACTCATTTAGCACGTCGTAATTTCAAAAATATATTTGTCTACAAATTAAATCGAAATATTCTATATATTGTTTTAAAATTTCATGGTCACTAACATTATAGTAATATAAGTTATTTGCGAGATTGTTAGGTTAGGTTAGGAGGGTAGACCGATATGTCTGCCAATAACAGCCTACCCGCAATTACTTCAGTTACTCCGTGATCATGGCGCTTGCAACAGTGCCGAAATATCGGAAACTCGCTAAAACAAGGTACATGGTAACAATCCCGTAAATAACTTATATTACTATAATGAAATATTCTAATGACGAATTTAAATATGGTTTTTTAAAGACGTAATTTACAAACGTACATACATACTTAAAAAAAAACTCATTACAGTACTACTACAGCAGTAATTTACAACTAGCTGCATCGCAAAACAACTTTTTATTCATTAAAGAACAGGCCATGATCAGCGGCTTCACGTGCCTTGTGAAGCATGGGGAAGATCGAGATAGTAAATTTTTGGTCACACATCCAATGACCGACCACTGGAAAGTTGCATAACTTCAACGATCTCAGCCGCACGCGGCAATTATATATTATATATTTATTTGTTGGAAGATTTACATCTGGCATTAGGCTGAATATGAAATAAGAGGCGCACGCATTCGTAGTTTATACTTAATTTCCCGAGCTTTATTTACAATTGCGCACGACCTATCGGTTGCCGACAGCGATAGACATTCAGCATCAGACCCGCGCTTGCGGCCTTGTATCCGCTACACAAGAGATTATTTTAAGACTTTGCGAAAACCAATACCATGAAAAAGACCTTTCCTAGATTTTGTTTACATGTTGTATCGCTTCTCGTTAGCCGTACTTTAGCTAATTGTACTCAAAATGAAAGGGCTCAATGTGAAGGTTTCAACCACCTCCGTGGCCGAGTGGTTTGTACGCCGGGTTTCATGGTGTCGCCGACTCGAGTGGTCCTGGGTTCGAATCCCGGTGGGGGATGAATCCCAGATGCTTGTGTGATGAATATGAGCATTTCTACTCCAGTCATGGATGTTAAATATGTATTTCTATAGAAATATACTTATGTACAATATATGTATTCTATTCGTTATCTGTGTGTCCCATAACACAAGCCTTACAGTGCTTACTTTGGGGCTATGCTAATTGGTGTGTGTTGAAAATATTTATTACAAGCTTTTATTTAACTTGCAATGTATGTTTGTTCGGGTGAAATCTTACAACTCAATTTTAAGGCACTTGCCCTCAACCGATTGAGTTGAAATTTGGTATGCACGTTCAGTTCGGATGACTATGCATGATTAACAGTGTGACGTCATTCTAAATCCAACATTGCGGCATACCCAAAATGGTGGACCAATCATTTTTAATGCATTCCTACAATATGGGTATCAAATTAAAGCTTAAAGCTGGCTTGCTGAGAGTAATTCGAAAAAAAATGTGACGTCACTCTTAATCCAATATGGCGCACTTCTAAAAGATTGAGCTGAAATTTTGCATACATGTTCAGTTTCGATGACAATGTATGGTCACTTTTTTTTCTTTTTAGCGCATTTAAATAAAAGCTTGTTTTTAAAAAGGTTTTTTTACCTTAATTTCCTTATTTATATTAATATTTTTTGTGTTATCAGAGCTGTTGGTTTTCCTTTAATAATTAAATAAATGTGTATTGGATAGTTCCGAGCGAGGGCGATCTGCCGTACATATCTGTGTGGTGCCGCGTAGTGCGAGCGCGGGGAGACGGGCGAGTGCTGGCCGCTGTGTGGCCGCTCTACGTGCTGTACTCGCACGTGCCGCACGACGCTGCGGTAACTCATTTAAATGCCATATTCAGTACCCCTAGCACGGTGTGTACTGGTGTGCAGGGGCGTTGCAAGACAAAGGACTTCTCTGGTGGGAAGCCCGAAGACAATAGTAGAGGCCTGCAGCAACATTCGGGGACTGCTGAGCTTTCTGGAGGAGCTGGGATGGCAGGACTGATGCCCATCCCCACGCAAAATAGGCACTAGGTGTCGAGTTGCGGGAACAGCCCGCCGTTCTACTAAGACTAAGACTACCCCTAGCACGAACCAATATCGAATTCGTAACGTTTGCGAGTCCGAAATGTCAATGTCAAATTTTGTATGAAACTTGAACAGCAGCGCCACAAAGTACGTAACGAGAACTAAAAATCAGTACACATGTGACAATGACAGTTCGGACTTGCAAACGTTACGAATTCGATTTTGGTTCGTGCTAGGGGTACAGGCCGCGTTGTTTCATTGATACTAAAATTTTACTATGGTTAATGCCACTTCAATATTTTTTTATAGATATGTCCTATAAATGACCCCCCCCCCCAACCCCACCTGATGTTAAGTGACGGTGAAGTCGGGACGTGATGATAGCTCATACAGCAGTTCTACCTGCAATCCTCACCCTGCCGGCCTGCATGTTGCTTCTTTACGCCTCTCTTTAAGGATCCCAGGTTGTAAGAAGAATGGAACACGTGAGCGGGCACAGCATTCCATTTACGGATAGTACGACAAAGAAATGAGTCACCAAATTTCTTTGTACGTGTTGTAATTGTGGCCAAAGTTAGATGGTGACAACGTAGGCCAGCGCGCGTGGTCCTCTGAACGAAAGGGGAAGGTGGAATAAGAGAGAATAACTCCTCAGAACACTCGTCATGGTACAGACAAATAGATTTTGAATGTGTCAAATTGACGATTGTATAGTAGCATTTTACTATCGTTGAGACAACGCGGCCTTAGTCCGGTGTTGTCTTGTCGATAAATATTGGAGTTAGCGCACATAAAGTGGCAGTACCAACTTAGTGATAGAAAGTGGCAGTACCAACTTACTTTAGTCAAACTTGAAGGTAACGTTGACTTATCTGAGAGCTGTTTTGTTAATGATTTAACGAATCTGACAGCAACCGAATATGTCATTGAAAATATTTCTTTTGTAGCTTTTTATTATTAGATAAGCAAAAACTCCGCGCTTGCTAAAGTTAAGTGGTAATTAAGTCCAGCCAGACGTGTAGATAGCTTTTTCTTAATTAAAGAAAACTTAAAAATGATATCACCCCACCAATAAATTTGTGAAGATAGCATGTAAGGTTGGTACTTTGATAAAACTTGATTTCGTGGAAACGACTTTCTTTGTCACATATTCACTTACAAAAGACAAAAATTAAAAAAAATGGATGCGTGTAACTTATGTACGCGCGTGAGAAGTTATACTTCTTTAGCATCATTAAAAATATTTTTTAATTGCATGCAAATAATTAATAATTACAATAAAATAATAAAAGGACTGGAAAAGGATAGTTAACACAGTCAATTAAGTTCAGTTTTAATTTGAAAAATTAAATAAATATTCAAAATATTCAATTAAAATCACTACTGAATTTAAGTTATTAGTCCATATGTAATTAGCACTTGTATTTAACTAAAACACGTTGTGTCTATATAGAAACTAGAAACATGTGGATAAATATTATAAATATGAAAACAGTGATCAGAGGCGACGAGCGTGCCAACATTGTTTATGACAACGCGATCATTTTATGGAGCTCCGTGGATCGTTCAAAGTACCTTTCGAACAGATTATTTACAGAGATAAGACCATTATTAGACACTAACATTCATAACGCGCCCGCGGCCAACTTTATGGTGTTACTATTGTGTTACAGTGATGCGCGCGCATCTTAAAATTTCACTCTCATCATTTTTTCATAACGCGCCCGCGGCTAACTTCATTATGTTACTCTTCTGTTACAGTGATGCGCGCGCATCTTAAAATTTCACTCTCATAATTTTTTCATAACGCGGCTAAAGAAGTATAACTTAAAAAAAAAATGTGTCTCACGTAAAAAGCCTACCATTTTTACTACGTCATTTGGCAGAAAAGACTAGTACGTTTCCTCGAACGAAGTTCAAACATAGCCACATATGAGAAACTTCTAGGTGCTCAATTAATTTTGTTCTCAGGTTATGATCGAAACAGAGTCGACTCCGTCGCCTACCGGTGAAAGTTCGAAGGCTGAAAGGCCCGCGCCGCTGATACAGACAGCGCCGGGGCGCGGCGCCAGCACCCACCTGGTCGCACCGGGCACGACGTCAGCGAGACACAACCTCACTTTCCAATATAGGTGAATAGAAGAAGACAATGGCGCCGATTCTGGCATGATTCTCTAAACTTAAAACTAATTTTAACATCAATCTCTCATTTTTATTCTGTACAGAGAATGACAAGGATATACTGTTGTCAAATTTAAGTTGAGGTTTAGTTAGAGAATCGTGCCAGAATCGACACCATTAAGTTATTATGAAAAGAAGGATACTTTTTACTACTTCTACAGTAATATCTGTATCAAGATCAGGGGGTTTGTAATGGCAAGATTTCTATAAAAAATGTAAAATAATATCATGTTCTTTCCTATTCTTTACCTGTTTTAGGTTTCCTATACAAAACTGTCAAATTAGAGGATTCAGGAATGTAAATTTTGTTTATTTGATGTTCTTTAAAATATGAAAGAAAAAATAAAACGTTTTATGAATAATAATATATGACATGGCAATTTCGCTATTCTAGAACATCTAGATCAAGGGCTTACCAAAAATTAAATCCAAAAAATCTCAATCCAAAATTGTTTATTCGGTATTACAAGCACACATGATGTCTAGAAGCTACACCAGCGATTCGTAAATATCCGTCGTCTAAAAGTGATCCCATTTCTTTTCGATAGTACTCATAAAAATATCTTACCAGCAGTTTCTTATCAGGCACGATTATGTGCTTAAATTAAATTAATCATTATAATTGAATTATCCTATAGAAATATCGAGTGCCCGGTGACTCGCGACGCAGTTCCGCTGCACTACGGAGTCACTGATACGTCCGTATTCGACAAACGCGCACCAGTCAATAACCTCGAAGACGTCGTGCAAGACATTTTGAACTGGTAAGTGGATAGCGAGGCGATGCAAATGTAACTTAAAATGTATATTTTTAAGGTTCACTTTACAAACACTTGGCACTTGGAATATGTAAAGCGAGTGTTCTTAAAATTCATTTAGTAATGTTTAGTTGTTATTTAAAACTAGCAAACCAGTGAACCAAATGTTCACCAAAACCTGATTTAAAAAAAAAACTTCGGAGATTTTGTGTGGTTTCGTTTGAAATTCGTGATTTCTCGAAAACCGGAAGTGCTACGTTACTCAAATCCGGTCTTAGTCTTATCAGACTATTCTTAACTTATAACTTAAATATTCTCTTTATCTATCTCTTACGGTTTGGCCGCTGAAACAGCACCACAGACGGACGGACGGACTTGTCTAATAGATAAGAGATCCTAAAATACTGGTGGCGATTCTGACATGATTCACTAAACCTAAACTTAAATTTGAGAACTGTGTACCCTTGTCATTTTCTGTACACTGTGAAAAGGAGAGACTGATATTAAATTTTGTAGAATCATGCTCAATAGTATAAAACTATTTCACTATCTTTTGTCACAACCAAAAAAAGACACGTTATTGATTTATTTTCTTTGGCTTAGTTTTCTTTGAAAAGCTACACGCAGTGGCGGCGCTAGACCACAAGTGGACGTCGGCGACATCAAGTTCGCGAGGCCTATTTTACTTCACTGTTAAAAACCGTTAAATTAAGTGAGCCAAATTATAAAATTACCTATGAGTAAACTAGTTTTATTGTTGATAATCAAATGATGACAAAAAATAATTACAAACATAGATATTTAATTACAAAAATAGTGTTGCCAGACAGACGATTCTGAATACCCGTAAAGCACTACTCGCTTCCATCACGCACGTGTTCGAAAATAATAAAAGTCATTATCATCTGCTTAGCTTTTACCCCGAATTGTTCGGGGTCGGCTACCTAAGCCAGGCCAGGAGAAACCAAAATAAATAGGTAACTTGTAAAAATTTTTTGCGAGGCCCCCTCAGGCGCGCGGCCGGCGGCGGTGGCCGACGTCGCCGACGCCTAGCGCCGCCACTGGCTACACGCTACACTTTTATTTCATATAAAAGTAAGCCAAAGTATTTTCTTTAGGTAAGATTACTAATATTATTTTGATGCTGACGTAGGTTAGACCGTTCTGGGCGTAACGCTAAAAGTTCTTGGCCGTATTCATTGGTGACCAAACACTGGCCTGGTACTTGGCAACCGGCGCTGCTGCAACCACGGTCTGATGTCAACGTGAGTATTTTTCATTTTTATTTAGAGCCGCGTATCCACTAGAGGCAGCCTCGCGTCGAGCGGCCTCGACTTGAAGCAAATAGCCTCAGTTTGAGGCTGCTCGCTCTGAGGCAACGGCTACGGATCAGCTCGAGGCGTGTCGCCTCAGCTTGATCCGCTGGCGGCGCACTGCGCAGTTAAAAGCCAAAACGCGATGGCACCAGACGCGCGTCGAGTAGCTGCTGCTTTAATAGCAATAACCATTATTAAGAAAAAGAGGAGGCAACAAAAAGCTATACAAAAGAGGAAGCATCGCTGGTGGATAAAAGAATTATACCGCAATAGAACTATACATAGATGTGAACACTTTCTATTGGACATGACGTTGGAAGGTGGCGATAGCTTGCGAAATTTTAGCGACCGTCTCCATTAAACACACGGCTCGGACTGAGGCGCGTTTGAGCACGGCACAGAAACCGACAAAATATCGGCTCGGCTCGCGGCGACGAATTTGCCTCGCGTCGTCGGCGTGCCTCAGGTTGAGGCAGCGTCTCCACTTGCGCAGCCTCGGAGTGAGGCAGCCGCTCGACCCGAGGCTGCCTCTAGTGGATACGCGGCTTTATATAAATAATTTTAGAATTCATGCAAACAAGTATACCTTAAAGTGCCATTAATTAATATAAAACGAAAATACACACACAGCGAATATCCAGATTAACAAAACGAGTAGATAACACACACCGACAATGCACTAAAGTGGTCCCACTAACCCATCAATGTGGTATTTCATCATCATCATCATCATCAGCCTATTTATGTCCCCACTGCTGGGGCACAGGCCTTCCCTATGGATGGAATAGGGAGATTGGGCCAAGACCCACCACGTGGGCCCAGTGCGGATTGGCGGGTGGTAACGACTGCAGATGCAGCCGGGACCAACGGCTTAACGTGCCTTCCGAAGCACGAAAGAACTCGAGATAGAAGATTTTTGGTCACCCATCCAATGACCGACCACTTCGAAAGTTGCTTAACTTCAACGATCGCAGCCGAATGCGCTAACCACCTGCACCATCTAGCTCCTCATGGAAATGTGGTATTTATTACAACACAATTTATAAATGGAAACAGTACCCTTAAGACGAACCAATATCGAATTCGAAGAGTTGATTGAATTCGATCTCGATACAAACAATATCAAAAAATATTTCTTTGTTACCTAGCTACTTTGTTTGATTGCAATTGTTCCTATGAGTAAAGATTATGTAGTGTATGCAACTGCATATAATTTAGGTGTAGCCGAATCTCGTGTTTTAATACTACTATATTTTTATTGAAGTGATAACTTCTTATGGGAACCCTCCCATAAGAAGTTATCACTTATCAAACCGCTTCCTTACCTGACGCGTTACGGCGCCAGTCTATAATAATAATAATTCATTTATTGTGGAGCATAGGTACAATAATGGGGTGTTACATCAGTACATACAGTTCAGCTATGTCCTGCCATAAGGCGTACAATTATTAATAATAACATTAGATGTCACAATTTAAATCAATATTCTAAGTAGTCTGGCTTCTCTTCCTCTCATGGATACTGCAGCGATAGGCAGGCTCCTCCTCTCTCACTCTAACCCGCAGCACCGCTAAGTTATCACTTCTTTCGTTCCGAGACGCACACGCTTCTTTTTTAGGAGATTTGATGTTTTTATTATGCAGGTCTTAAACTTATGATTTTATTTATTTTTTAAGCATTTAACTGCTAGATGTTTAAAACTAAAGAAAAGTTTACTAGAAAAAAAGCCTCGAGCTGCCTTGCAGCTTAAGGCTAGGAAAATTTCGACGCGGCTAATAGGGCCGTGGTAGCATAATGGTCATTGCATTCGCCCGGATAGCGAAGGATGCGGGTTCGAGTCCCGTCCGCTGCCTGGTCCGCGTGGATTTTTTTCTAGTAAACTTTTCTTTAGGTCTTAAACTTTTTCATTTTTTCTTATAGAGGTGATACATAATAAGCTTGTTATATAGGTGAGGTACGAAGCGGTCCGTGCGGGAGGCGGGTGCAGCTTAGAGTTACGCCTCTGTCCCGCGGCGCTGGTGTGCAACGCGGCACCCATAGCGTTGACACTGCGAGCTCACGACGCCACGCCTCTATGTAAACTGGAACCCGGCACTGCACTCTGCCCGCCCTCTGTGATGCTGCAAGTACGTCGGCACTGCCATATCATGTATAGTTACGCCTCTGTCCGCGGCGCTGGTGTGCAACGCGACGCCCATAGCGTTGACGCTGCGAGCTCACGACGCCACGCCTCTATGTAAACTGGAACCCGGCACTGCACTCTGTCCGCCCTCTGTGATGCTGCAAGTACGTCGGCACTGCCATATCATGTATAGTTACGCCTCTGTCCGCGGCGCTGGTGTGCAACGCGACGCCCATAGCGTTGACGCTGCGAGCTCACGACGCCACGCCTCTATGTAAACTGGAACCCGGCACTGCACTCTGCCCGCCCTCTGTGATGCTGCAAGTACGTCGGCACTGCCATATCATGTATAGTTACGCCTCTGTCCGCGGCGCTGGTGTGCAACGCGACGCCCATAGCGTTGACGCTGCGAGCTCACGACGCCACGCCTCTGTGTAAACTGGAACCCGGCACTGCACTCTGTCCGCCCTCTGTGATGCTGCAAGTACGTCGGCACTGCCATATCATGTATAGTTGCGCCTCTGTCCACTGCTTACTGCCACTTATTGTCTTTTGACATCTTATTTTAAAATATTAAATAAATGTTTTGTTGAAATATAAACAAAGAAATACTTGTACTATAACAACGTAACATATATGGTTGAAACTAGTCGTCGCTTGAAAAAATCTAGTAATATTTTTTTAGCTTTAAATATATACACCAGCCATACAACCACCTAACATGATTACTGTTGGAGGATGCGTGTGAGCCATACCAGCTAAATATAGTTTATTATAATCTGTCATATTATGGGCTTGACACAATGTAACGTATGTACACAATATACATTTGTTCGGAAAATAATAGTAAAGTATCAGGGCGTGTGTGTTTCATTCAAGGTGTTTATATACTGGTTCTTCCACTATTGTATTTATCTGCTATTAATGCCCCCACTGCTGGGGCATAGGCCTACCCTATGGTTGTAATAGATTGGCCCTGACACATCACGCGGGCCCAGTGCTCATTGGCGGGTGTTAACGACTGCAGACGCAGCCGGGACCAACGGCTTGACGTGGAACTCGAGATAGAAGATTTTTGGTCACCCATCCAATGACTGACCACTGCGAAAGTTGCTTAACTTCAACGATAGCAGCCGAACCCGTTAACCACCTGCGCCATCGAACACCTCTATCTCTTATCTATTAGACAAGTCCGTCCGTCCGTCCGTGGTGCTGTTTCAGCGGCCAAACCGTAAGAGATAGATAAAGAGAATGTTTAAGTTATAAGTTAAGAATAGTCTGATAAGACTACAAACCGGATTTGAGTAACGTAGCACTTCCGGTTTTCGAGAAATCACGTGATTTCTATTTCAAACGAAACCACACAAAATCTTCGAAGTTCTCAATTAATTAAATATATTTTTTTTTTGGTGAACATTGGGTTCACTGGTTTGCTAGTTACACTATATTGTCCATTTATTACAACAGAAGCCGTTCTTCATATCGGTTGAATTGGGGCGCGACACATTCGTGAGCGGTCAGCTGGCGTTGAGCGCGGGGGAGCCGGGGAGATACGGGGCCCCGCCGCCCGGCCACCTCGCCCCGCTCCACCCCGCGCCCTTCGCTATACACTGCAACAACCGGGTGAGTGTAAAGGCGCGTCCGCTGCGCCATGTAGCTTCGCTCTGCATCTTCTATCGCATTTATCACGGGGAGTGTTCTGAGGAATTGTTCGGATTAATTCCAGCTGCTGCATTTCGCCATCGTACATCGCGACAATAATTTCATCCCCATCATCTTGATGCGTGGCTATCCACAACCGTGCGTTTTTGTCGACATTTTTTACCACGTACGACAAAACTGTGGAATATGTTGTCGCCAGCAGTGTTTCCGGACCAATACGACCCAAGAACCTTCAAAAAAAGAGCGTACTCCTTCCTTAAAGGCCGGCATCGCATTTGTGATACTCCTGGTGTTGCAAGTGTCTATGGGCGACGGTGATCACTTACCATCAGGTGAGCCGTCTGCTCGTATGCCCCCTATAACATAAAAAAAAAAGTTTTGAACAGAACATTGTTCGAAAACATAAAGAAGGGGTATGGCCTAAATGTTTTGTCGAACGGCAAACAGCCGGAGTTCGTGGAAAACATCCCCCGCGTTCCCCTGCGGGCCGGGGGAGTCGTTCATTTTATGTTTGATTTTGCCGTAGGAAGACGTGTTTTGATGTGACTATCATGATGGAGTGCATTGTGGAGTGGAATCCAGAGACAACACTGGCATTAATCATGTTGATACGTGAAAAATCCGTAATTTAGGATGTAACTTCAAATGAAAATAAAAAAAAATGGGTGCGTGTACTTATGTAGGCGCGTGAGAAGTTATCCTTCTTTGGCATCGTTTAAAATTACTTTTTAATTGCATGCAAATAATTAATTACAATAAATTAATAAAAAGTCTGGAAAAGGACACAGTCAATAAAGTTCAGTTTTAATTTGAAAAAATAAATAAATAATCAAAATATTCAATTAAAATCGCTACTGAATATAATTTATTAGAACATAATAATATGTGATTTGCACTTGTATGAAACTCAAACACGTATTCCGAATATACAAACTAGAAACATGTGGACAAATATTATAAATATGAATACCTATAACTGTTACTTTATTACAAAAAATAAAGATGTGGTTTTTGGTTCTACTACACCAATGGTCAAGAGATGGCGCTGTAGTCTCCTGAATCGCGCTTTGGTTCCGTTGTTCCAGATTAATAAATACTTTTGATAGGCCTTCACAATGCAGTCGTTAGCACCCACTAAATAGAGATTCTATTTCTATTTTGTTGGTAGATTTTCTTAATGTGCGGTAAACACAAAAGTAACGCATGAAGTTGGTCGCTAAAGCGACCAACTTCATGCTGTTAATTTTTTGTGTTACAGTGATGCGCGCGCATCTTAAAATTTCACTCTCATCAATTTTTCATAACGCGCCTAAAGAAGTATAACTTCAATAAAACAATAAAATCAGATGCCTTCGAGGAAGTTATGGGTACTTTTGTGAACTCTGTGAGGGCAGAATGGTTGAGCCTCAGATCACAATTCAATCGAGAAAAAAAAGAAACTAAACCCACTACAGCCAAATCAATTTTCACGTCTTCCTCGTCGCTGCTATTTTTATCAAATGTGAGGTTTTGTTAAAAAACTTTGTTTACTGAACATTACTTAAGTCGCAGCGGACGGGAAATGTTTTGAAGAAACAATGTTCTGTTCAAAACATGGCGCAGCGGACACGCCTTAACTGTAGCATTGAACAAAACGCGAATGGGATAGCTGCGCATGGACCCCCCACGACAACGGCTAACTAGAGCCGAGGTCCGTGTCTCAGAGACGGCCTCCAGTTGTGCCGACAATACTTATTTTATTACAACTCCCCAATCATAAACGGATGCTACCAGGACATAACATTTTATTTACGTTTTATTTTACATTTAATCGAAAATAATATGGTACCTCTTTACTTTAGTGAATTCATTTGATTGAAAAATACATGAAATGTCAGTTAAGTAGGTATTCATGTTAAAGAAATGTGACATTTCATCACCATTTTGTAATATGGCACCAAAGCTTATAGCACCTCTAAAAGTGGTGCTACAGCTTTGGTGCCATATGAACAAATGCTAAGGCCGACGTGTTCTATCAGAATACAGCATTTTTTTTGGCCATGGATAATATCCTTTAAATAAGCTTTTTAAAATACAAAATACATATTGCTAATGTACTTTTATTTAAAATAATATTTTTTGGGGTAAAATAAACATCAGGGTATATTATTTACCACTTTTTAAATTAATTTAACTAGCCTATTGTATTTTTAGGTGATATATTTTTTAAAAGATCGTTTAAATATTTCCCCTTTGATATTTTTTTTATTTTTTCGTGTTCGTATCAGTATTGGTGCACATTATATCATTTAGTAATTGCATGAGCTACGTAGCTACTCCCGTATAAAATAAAGTTTAACTAAAAATATATATACATTTATTTTATAATTTTCACTGTGTTCGAAGGTGGCCCTCCTGACGATGTACTACGAAATAATACACGACATCAATGTACTTGGAGCTAGTTCTACTTATGAATTCATCAACAGACTGGACACGGATGTACTGGTATGTAATTTTAATATGTTTTTTGAAGTTGAAACTTCTTTAGCACCGTTGTGATTTGAAACTCTATGAAACGAAAATTTAACAGTATTTGACACAAGGTATCCATAATTTTATAACTCTCTGCAAGAGACAGATAGCCGAACGGAAACGGTCTAGAGGTCGACACCAAATGATCGGTAGTTTGATTCTTCGTTATGTTTTTCTTTTATTAAGTTATTATTTATTTTTCGAAACAATTTAAGTACAGAATACTTAAATTTGCCCAGTATTTTACAGTACCTAAGTATTTAAGTATTAAACGTTTCGTAGGTGCCTAAATTGTTTATTAATACCAGCTCGGTTTTTATCAACAATCCTTACATTCCCAATGCTTGCAATTTTTTTACAGTATTTTTTTATAAATTTAAATCATTTGTGCTGGTTTACTAAGAAACTGATCTTTGTCGTTAAGAAAAGATTTTTACAATCGTAGTTCTTTGTTACGATAGTATTATGATCTATTTTACAACTTTAGGTATCTGCAGTTGCTGTACCAAAAGATCTCGATGATGATTTGCCTCTGCGTCCGAAAATGTTCAAAGTGGTCCAACCGTGTAAAGAGAACAGGTTAGTATTTAAACTTCATAAAAGGGAATGCATGTAATTTATTACTTTAAAAAATGTCCTTCCGTTAATATATATATATATTATAAAGCTGAAGATTTTGTTTGTTTAAACGCGCGAATCTCAGGAACTACTGGTCCAATTTGATTTTTTGGGTTGGATAGTGCATATATATCGAGGAAGAAAGCTAGAGGCTGTATACGTAACATAACCTCCTCCTTTATTTCCTCCTTTCACCTTGTTGCGGTAATGACAATTTCCAAATTCATCAAAATTGCGGTGTCGATACATTTGAGAAAAAGTAATGTCAAAATGTGGGTCTGGGCTTATTCGTACCCAAAAATGTGTGCTGGATTTGGCGGTGTATTAGTGTGTGACTGTCGCGTGTTGTAATTACAGATTTGCTTTCTACGAATTTATGTTAAACTACATTTGTGTGCATATGCGGTGTTACTTAGGGGGCGTCCATAAATTACTTGAGATGTTTAAGGGGGGGAGGGGCTCGAGTCAAATCTCGTCTAATCTTACGCTTGAGAGAGGGGGGTCTCGGCAAATATCACGGATTTTTTTTTCTGACCAAACAAAAAAAAAATTCTATTTTGGTCCATTTAATCCAGATTGTACATACTTAAGATATAATCTTAAGCGTAATCGTAATACGATTAAGATCATTCACTAATTCGTTCGAAAGAAATAACTCTCAGTAAAATTGATTACTAGTCTTAACTAGTCATAAATAAAAGCACGAAGCATTTTTTTACAATAACAATAGTTTACGTAAGAAACCCATATTTTGAAAAATCTCACGTGAGATTGGGGGTTTGGGGAGGGGGTTGAATAAAATCTCACGACATCTCACCAGGGGGTGGGGAAGGGAGGGTAAGAAAATTAAAAAAAAAACTCACGTAATTTATGTACGCCCTAGTGTTGCCGATCGATAGTCGACTATCGATGATTAAACGATAGTCTATCGATAGCCAACCAATCGTATGACAATCGATCGGCTTATCGATAGTATCGATACTATCAATAGTATCGATACTATCGATAGCACAGAAGAAGCCAATACTATCGGATGAGTTAAATACTATCGATAGTATTGTAGTTCGTTAATAACAAACTATCGATAGTATCGATACTGTCGATTTTATTAGCAACCATACTATCGATAGTTTAACAATTTGCAATAGTATTGCTTACAATTTTCAGGTATTATAGTCAATCACAAACTTTAGTCTAAAACAATTGCTAGTATCGATACTATCGATAGTATTGTTGCAGGTAAAATCAACACTATCGACAGTATCGATGCTATCAATTAGTTTGTTATTAAAGAACTACAGTAGTATCGATAGTATCTATAGTATTGCACTCATTCGATAGTATTGCCTTGTTCTGAGCTATCGATAGTATCGACACTATCGGTTGTATCGATAGGGTACATGATTTTCGATGTAAACTGTCGATAGTTTTAATATAGATAGTTCGGCAACACTAGGACGCCCCCTTATATGCAATAAACAAATAAAACCGACTTTAACATAGAAAATGAAACTAAAAAGTAAAACATAATATCTGATAACATGACTTGCAAGTCAGGCGGGGTCAAGATTGAAACACGTAGGTACAATCAGAAATGAAAGTCTTATATATTTCAAACCAAGCCCCGCCTTCTTCTTGCCTCTTTTAAAAGACCGCAGATTGTAGGAAGGAGATAAATGGAGATGGAAAAAATTAATTTCTATTCTTCTTACATATTTTGGCGTCGGATTTACAATAATAATATTTGACATTTTGTACAAATATTGTATTTTAATTGTTTTGACTCCGTAATGTACTTTTATATAATTTGAAACATTGAATTAATTGAATGATTACTTAGTACTTTATGTATTTTCTGCTATGTTTATTATTGACGTGTAATTTATTACGAAATAAATGATTATGATTATGATTAATATCTCTGTGTCAGCATCCACGGGGTACCTCTATGCCGTTTCTGGCTGGGCGGGCGCTGGCGAAGCGGCGGCGATCCGTCCGAACTGGCACCGTACCTCTGCGTAGCTCTGCCGTCCGCGTCCGGCCCGGAACCGCCCGCCACGGTGCCGGTCCGGCTGGGACAACCGCCTTACAGACGAGCGCTCGCTCTCACCGACGAGAATGGGCAATCGGTAATTCTGTTGCTTAGATTAAAACAAAAAGGGTAGATATACGGTACGCTCATACTTGCATCAAACAAAAACTGATCCCACGGCAGCGCGAACGGGACGGCGATATCCGCGTCACTGCATTACCGACCAATCATGCGACCAGTACTCGACGTCACTACCGAATAAGATTCAAAACAAACAGCAATTTTTATGAAAAAATATATTTTATAGTACTTACGAATGAAAAGTGATGCCGTGGGTTTTATTTTTAGTTCTTGAGCAATTTGAGCACTTTTTAAAAACACTATTAGCAATATTTCTTTTTGGCGTTCACATGTACGTCGTTTGCATGTCAAGTTGTGACTAAAGCGATTAGGGTCGTGGACCACAATTCATGCGGATCACTTTTGTGAGGCTAGTGCCGTATCTACCCTTTTTGTTTTAATCTAAGTTCTGTTGTCTACATCCTTTTGTGTGACTAACTAACTATGCCAGTTCGATTGGGCTAACCACCTTACAGCACGCACTCGCTCTCATCGATGAGTAACTCTACTGTCTACCTTCTATTGAAAAGAAAGATTGTATTGTTGACAGCACATAACATACACATAAAATTCAAAATATATATAACAACAAGTAAAACAAAACGTACAAGTAAAATTAACAACAACAAAAAACAGCTACAGAGAATAAATGTGTATTTCATATGATGTCAACACTGGATATGGCTCAGCATACACAGTAGGTAAAATTCCTGTTGCACTGGTATTCTGCCATACCCAGCAGTGACATCACAGAAAACGGAAGAAGGAATACAAATCAATTAAATCCTTCCTAATTACAAAAAGAAAAAAATATATTGTGTAATCCTTCTAACACATCTGCGCAATGAAGCTTCGATTGACTTTGGTAATAAATGCGCTAAAATTTGCGTTAGAATTGGAATTATTGCGTTGTAATGAATCAGCGGGCTGCGTGTCTATAGACGCTACAAATACCTTGACTGATGATAATTTCACACGCAAAAAGTGGTTGTGGAAAACGATAAAGTATGTGCAGCTGAAAAAGCATACTTAATTCAAAGTTCAAACCCTAATTTTAGCACGTTTAAATACCAAAGCTTCCCCACGTAGGTGTGGGATAAGCATAACTAACATCTTTAATTTGATCGCTTTTTGGTATTTACCAAAGGCGTAATATTTAGAAAAATATACTGAAATCATTCTTCTTTATTTCTGACGTCTCGGCTGAGCACTCATTGCCATATATATTTTTAGTACTCTTCATTAATCTTACGTTAGCTATATTGTTTAGTTAGTTACAATGTGATTACAACTTCATGTAACTCAAGCACGAACTTTGACAGATTCGTATTAGTATCGCGATCGTCAAAGTGTCTGTGGAAACTGGAACAACGAGGCTCCCTTAATAGAAACTTCGACGATTGACAAAAAAAATCTTTCTCTTGAGGGCCGCAGTAGCATAATGGTCAGTGCATTCGCCCGGATAGCGAAAGGTGCGGGTTCGAGTCCCGTCTGCTGCCTGGTCCGCGTGGTATTTTATCTAGTAAACTTTTCTTTAGATTTAAACATCTAGCAGTTAAATGCTTAAAGAAATAAAAACATAAGAATACTTTCTCGCTTGTTGTTCGTGCTCACGGAGCTGAAATATGTTGACGTAACTACCATGTCGTCCAGCTAGCAGTGGTGGTGACGCAGCTGCGACACGAGGGTCGTTGGCTGGTGACGTTGGCCCGGGACCCTTGCCCGCAGTTCCTGGTGTACAACCACACCCGGGAATCCCTGGCCCTGGCGCAGCCCCGCCTTCTGGACGTCGAGCCTAACAACGCTGTCGTGCAGGTGACGATCATTTCATCCATATAGCAGTCTGGTGACCCAGCCCCAGGCCTGGGTTCAATCACACCCGGGAATCCCTGGCCCTGGCGCAGCCCCGCCTTCTGGACGTCGAGCCTAACAACGCTGTCGTGCAGGTGACGATCATTTCATCCATATAGCAGTCTGGTGACCCAGCCCCAGGCCTGGGTTCAATCACACCCGGGAATCCCTGGCCCTGGCGCAGCCCCGCCTTCTGGACGTCGAGCCTAACAACGCTGTCGTGCAGGTGACGATCATTTCATCCATATAGCAGTCTGGTGACCCAGCCCCAGGCCTGGGTTCAATCACACCCGGGAATCCCTGACCCTGGCGCAGCTCCGCCTTCTGGACGTCGAGCCTAACAACGCTGTCGTTTAGGTGACGATCATTTCGTCCATATAGCAGTCTGGTGACCCGGCCCCAGGCCTGGGTTCAACCACACCCGGGAATCCCTGGCCCTGGCGCAGCCCCGCCTTCTGGACGTCGAGCCTAACAACACTGTCGTGCAGGTAACGACTATTTCGTCCATATAACAGTCTGGTGACCCGGCCCCAGGCCTGGGTTTAACCACATCCGGGAATCCCTGGCCCTAGCGCAGCTTCGCTTTTTGGACGTCGACCCTAACAATACAGACGTGCAGGTGACGATAATTTCGTCCATATAGCAGGCTGGTGAGCCTGATTTATCTCTTACCTATTAGACAAGTCCGTCCGTCCGTCCGTCCGTGGTGCTGTTTCAGCGGCCAAACCGTAAGAGATAGATAAAGAGAATGTTTAAGTTATAAGTTGAGAATAGTCTGATAAGACTACAAACCGGATGAGTAAAGTAGCACTTCCGGTTTTCGAGAAATCACGTGATTTCTATTTCAATCGAAACCACACAAAATCTCCGAAGTTCTCAATTTTTTTGGTGAACATTTGGTTCACTGGTTTGCTAGTTCCGTCCTATTTCGTATTATTAGAAAACGTTGACGAAAGTAAACTGGTTTAAAACTTCGGCACCCTCCCAATCAATCCCCTTTTAGGGGGTAGTTTAGGAAAACTTAAAATTTCTTACTTTATAATTTATTTAGATATGTATTCGTGCCAAGTTCTAAGTCCACTAACTCAAGGAATAAGATTATTCATAAAAACTTTCATCTTCTATTTTAACCTTTAATTTTGAAAAATCCTTGCTTAGTGCACTCCTAAACCTCATAAGAAATCTGCGTACCAAAGGACAATGGGCAAAATTGCATGGACACTGCACCCACGTCCGCCACGGCTTAAACTACATTTGTTTGAAAGGTATCATAGTCATGATCATTTGTGCCAAAGCGCATCAAATTCCATCCCGGGAGTCTTTAGTTATTTTAAGTTAAATAGGTACAATTCCATTGGTAAAAGTAACTATAACGAACATAATATTTAAAGATACAAGGACGAGTATATAGAACGGATATATTAATTGACGACCACGGAGGTCGTCAATTAATATATCCGAGTCGAGTGGTTTGTACGCCGGGTTTCATGGTGTCGTTGGCTCGAGAGGTCCCGGGTTCGAATCCTGGTGGGGGCAGATGTTTGTGTGCTGAGTACGAGCATTTAAATTGATCCATAGATTTTTTATTAGCTCGTACGATTATAATGACGTACGCGATGATAATCGTGTTCCTATTTCTAAAGCATGTTAGTTAAATATCAATGAAATAACAGGGAGCGCACAAAATGTAAGACATAGGACTGCATACGAGTAGACTAGTTGCAACGGCAACTGCAATATCACATCCTTCAACCCTCATACCCTGTTAGACGTTTTGAGGAGTCTCAGTAAGTGCAAGCAGCAAGCAAGCAGGATAGTCGGTAGGCTTTGTTGTTCAGTATTTTGTATCTGGTTGTACAGTAAGATATGATTCACTCACTTATTATTGCTAATATTATAAAACGAAAGTACTATTGATATTGAATGAATTTCTTTAGCTATTTAAATATCATCATCATCAGCCTATTAATGTCCCCACTGCTGGGGCACAGGCCTTCCCTATGGATGAAATAGGGAGATTGGGAAATGACCCACCACGCGGGCCCAGTGCGGATTGGCGGGTGCTAACGACTGCAGATGCAGCCGGGACCAACGGCTTAACGTGCCTTCCGAAGCACGGAGGAACTCGAGATAGATGTTTTTGGTCACCCATCCAATGACCGACCACTGCGGAAGTTGCTTAACTTCAACGATCGCAACCGAACGCGCTAACCACCTGCGCCATCGAGCTTCTCTATAAGGAGCTATTTAAATATTCTCGTGTATAACCGGTCCCCATGACTTACACACAAAGGTCGTCTATAAGGACTATGTGCGGAAACCTTAACCCCTAATATAGAACATACCCAGGTGTATATCTTTTGACACCCAGGTTTTTTTTTGGTGCCATAATAAAAAAGGCTAGTTTTTCATAGATCTATCGATTCATACTAATTACATTGTTGGCGGAGCTGGGTGCGTTTTGCCCATTGTCCTTTAGAGTCTCTAAACCTAGCAGTTTGGGCTGTGCAGTAATATGTCAGTAAGTCAGTCAGTTTCTTTTTTATATATTGAGGAGTACATTGGCGAATTTTCGCAATTTCCGATTGTTACCAACGATACGCTCAGTATAAAGGTCATCGTCATCGTCATCATAAAGGTCAGCTAAATAGGCACAAACCAGGATCAAATAAATATGTGTGATCGTTACTCAAATAAATGCTTTGACTAAGAATCGAAAACGCAATGTCTTTTTGGAGCTGAAGCTTAGTGGATAGTCGTTGCACCAACTGTTCGTCTTTCTTTACTATATCTCACCTACAACATTGGCTAATAAAACTGTCACGCGTTTGGTTTTATACGTCACCATTTTTAGATTCGACAATGGTTGAGTTCTTCATTAGTATTTTCATGTTGCTAAATACAAACCAAATCTATAGACATACAAAATAGACTGTACTAATTTACCAGTAAACCTTATAGTAGGAAGCGTTTGGCCTCACATAAAGGTGCAAGTTTGACCCCCCATTACGTTTAACCCCCTTGTTATTTGCGCGGCGCTCGTACTTTCATTTGTCGGACCCATCTATATAAAAAAAGAGTGTGCTTAATGTGCGCGCGCACTGCTTTCTCTTGCTTATATCCCCCACTTAACTCCCGTTCGCCTCGCCCGAACTCACTTTTCGTAACGCGTAACGCATTCGCCAGCTTACCCCCCAAGTCAATCGTGCGTAAAGAATTTTACTTTAAAGACTAATCTTGGTCTATTGTCTGGATGCGTGGATTTGGAGAGTCGTACACTTAGCACGAACCAATATCTTATATCTTCTTTTATTTTATTTATTTTATTTGACACACCATTAACAATATCACATTTATTACATAAAAAGAAAAAGAAACGGTTATTACAAGTCTATGTGAATTTTTTGGTGCATACAGCAATTTGTAATATTAGTCTGATGAGGTAAGTTAACTCTTGTTACTAAAATATTTTCGATTTAGTAACAAACACCTCTAGTATTTGTTACTCAATCGAAAACATTTTCTTTTTCAATGCTGAGAAAAATAAATGATAGATATCAATGTCATCGGATTTATAGTTACACGACTCCATCAATCGACTTAGGGGTGCTATTATCTTGGTTCGGAAAAACAGTTTTGTAAATGGCAAGATTGGATAACGTGGAATTCTTCTTGGAACTGTGAAATTAATTTCAGCAAGCATATCAGGTACATTAATATTTCCATTAACCAACTTATGAAGCAACAAGAGGTCGGCATATTTTCTTCGTTTCTCCAGATTGTCAATTTTTAAATGTTTCAGGCGATTTTCATAATTTGCGCGATGGAGACTCGAATATGCGACATGCGAATAATATCGAATTCGATATTTCACGTAACGAAAAATAAAAATCAGTACACATTTGACAATGACATTTCGCACTCGCAAGATATTGGACTTCGACATTGGTTCGTGCTAAGGGTAAAGAGCTCGATGGCGCAAGTGGTTAGCGCGTTCGGCTGCGATCGTTGAAGTTAAGCAACTTTCGCAGTGGTCGGTCATTGGATGTGTGACCAAAAATTAATCTCGAGCTCCTCCATGCTTCGGAAAGTTAAGCCGTTGGTCCCGGCTGCATCTGCAGTCGTTAGCACCCACCAATACGCACTGGGCCCGCGTGGTGGGTCATGGCCCAATCTCCCTATTCGATCCATTGGGAAGGTCTGTGCCCTAGCAGTGAGGGCATTAATAGGCTGATGATGACCAACGAAATTTATGTTTCTTAGGTTTTCACGCACATCACTCATTAAATAAAACTAGTTTTTACGGGTTAATGCACGAAACTTTATTTATTTATTGACGTTTCGCAGCCTTTTCAGGTCTGCATCGTCAGAATAATTCTATCTTATATCTTATTCTGACGATGCAGACCTAAAAAGGCTGCGAAACGTCAATAAATAAATAAAGTTTCGTGCATTAACCCGTAAAAACTAGTTTTATTCAACGAAATTTAACTTATTCAATTTAAGGGTTATACATAATTTGTACAATAAACTATCAACTTGAAACTTTCTTTGAGTAGGTTTAAAAAATCTATTCCATCCATAGGAAAGGCCTGTGCCCCAGCAGTGGGGACATTAAAAGGCTGATGATGATGATGATGAAGGGTACAGGTTTAACACGAACGAACGTATGTTACATAGGCGGTGAACGAATGCGAAGGCGTGAAGTGGTGGTGCGTTATAGACGCTGGCGCGGCGACTCACTACTCGAGCCCGGCGCACTGCGCGCGTTACCCCCCTCCAGACCGCGCGGCTGCCGCGCCCGCGACTGCGCCGCTGCAGTTCCTGACCATCGCGCGCGCCGCCCGTGAGTATACATTACCGATGCGCGACTACGAATGATTTTACCTTTCGACTAATCTATTAGACAAGTCCGTCCGTCCGTCCGTCTGTGGTGCTGTTTCAGCGGCCAAACCGTAAGAGATAGATAAAGAGAATGTTTAAGTTATAAGTTAAGAATAGTCTGATAAGACTACAAACCGGATTTGAGTAACGTAGCACTTCCGGTTTTCGAGAAATCACGAATTTCAAACGAAACCACACAAAATCTCCGAAGTTCTCAATTAATTAAATACATTTTTTTTTTGGTGAACATTTGGTTCACTGGTTTGCTAGTTCATCTATATCTATACTTATAATAAATCTGTAGAGATGTCAATTCTGTACATGAAATATATTTTTAAAATAACTATCAGGGGTTGATTAGTGATCGATACTGATGCCAAAAATGCAATCAGTAAAATTTTTGTCTGTCTGTCTGTCTGTCGGTGTGTATGTTCCTTATAGAAACAAAAACTACTCGACGGATTTTAACGAAACTTGGTACAATTATTCTTCATACTCCTGGGCAGGTTATAGTATACTTTTCATCACGCTACAATCAATAGGAGCAGAGTAGTGAAGGGAAATGTTGGGAAAACGGGAGAAGTTACTCCATTTTTTAAGCTTCCGTCGCGTGCGCAGCCTTAATGATTAAAGTTACATAGAAATCATGTATGACGGAAACATTCTACATAAAATTGTCTAAAAAATATCCCGCAACAGCATATGCCTATGTTTTATGGTTGACTCACAATAACACGTGTAACTCCCGATAGCTTAGCAGTTCGGAGTATTCTGATCATATTTGTTTACTCTTACGTTTATAATACTCTGCCTCATCCCTAATTTAAAAAAGTAAACATTATTACATATTCAATAAAAAAAAACATAGAAATCGGTATAGAAACACCAAACTTATACATGAAATAAGCCATCGCGCCGTCGCACGTGAATACTGAATCATGCTATAAGGATTATTTTTATGTAACGGTTGCCGCGCTTGACACGGGTCGCGGCGGCGGTATGGTATCAAAAGGCGGGAGGTACGAGAGCGAGCTGTCTAAATCTGTTTTCTGCGTCCCTCCCCTCCTGGGGGACGATCGCTTCCGATGAAGCCTTAGAGGCCTTCTCGGCCAGAGGCAGCCCATACGCGTGTTTTTTAGTCAGTACAAGTCTGACATAACCTTGCAGCCGGCTGTAGGGTATCCATGAGGATTTCTCACCTGCTCCCCCGCCTGGGAGGAAACAAAAAAAAAATAAAAAAAAGAGCGAGCGAGCTTCAATATTTGGCTGTTGATGCGTTCAGAGCGATCGACCTTATTGACAGACAATAATTGATATTGAGAAACCGTGCTTATCAGCGCGACTTTTAGTCTTTAAATAGTTTATTTGAATTTCTTTTGTTGTTATTTTGTAAAATAGGTATTAGTTGTTTAGGTAGTGTGTAAATATTCGTTCAAATTAAAAATTATTAAGCGTAGGTACTTTTATTAATTAAAGTAGTTATAAGTATTTATTTTTAAGTGAAGTAGGTATAGGTAGATAGTATTGCACAGGCGTTTCAGCTTTATTTTCATTTCTTTTTTGTTGTGAGTTGTATATATTTCTGGTTATAATTCTATAAGAATATTTTAGTTTAAATAGTCACTTAGATTTTAAGTGTAAGGTAGCTAAAGTTAGGACCACATATTAGTTGTTTTGGTAGTGTTTAAATATTCGTTCAAAGTGTAATTTAATCATATGGGATGAAGTTACGATGGCCCATCGAAAAGGAGTAGAAGCGGTAGACAGAACTTTAAGGGATATAAGACAAAATGATCGACCAATGGGCGGTATCACAGTTTTATTTTGTGGTGATTTCCGACAAACCTTACCGGTAATACCACGGGGAACCCGAGCTGATGAGGTTAGGGCTTGCCTGAAAAGCTCTTATTTGTGGCGTGATATACAATCGGTGCATTTGACTATAAACATGCGAGTGAGAACTGGAGATAACCCGGATGATCGTGAATTTTCTGATATATTATTAAAAAAAATACCTTCACCAAAGATACCTATCCACTGCTACACCAAGGAAAACTTATTCTGACGTCTGAGTTATGTTGTATAGTGCAATCCCAACAACATCTTATATCGTCAGTTTACGGTGACGTTACAAATATATTAAATAAGGACAATTCTTGGCTATGCGAAAGGTCCATTTTAACTCCTCGCAATGACCACGCATCCGAATCTCGTATTCGGGTAAATACGAGTACGAATACGAAAATGCCAATGGAATTCGGTTAAACAAATCAATGTAAATAAACGAAGTAAAGTACGCCCGCATTTGGATAGTTTTCGTTTTGTTTACATGACACCGTCTTCCAGCAAGTATTCCAGGGTAAATTTTGTTGCGGGTATCTGAATTCGAGGAACGTCTTTCGTGCATCAAATACAGGCTAACGACCAAGTGTATTGTTACTTTTTATTAAGAAGAAGAATATAAGCCCTAAAGTTTGATAAGCTACTTCTGAAATATCATTTACTGAAAAGTTTAGGCGCCAGAAACAGCTCATAATAATAAAGCACATGACCCGCTTCTTGGTCTAGATAGTAGATAGTTGGTATAGCCTATAGACGCAAATTAAACTTTTTCTTCTATATTACAGCGTTACAGACATCGGATTTGTACTGGTGTGCACCGGTAGCGGTGACTGAAGGTGAACAGTTAGTGCAGCTGTACGGCGGGCGCACTGTGAAGCTGCGCGTACAAACTTATCCACACTCCACGCTGCTGCAGCTGCGAGATGTAGACGAGGTCAGTGACCCACGTTAGATGCAGGTTCGACTACAGACATCGAATTTGTACTGGTGTGCACTGGTAGCGGTGACTGAGGGCGAACAGTTAGTGCAGCTGTACGGCGGGCGCACTGTGAAGCTGCGCGTACAAACTTATCCACACTCCACGCTGCTGCAGCTGCGAGACGTCGACGAGGTCAGTGACCCGCGTCAGACGCAGGTTCCACTACAGACATCGGATTTGTACTGGTGTGCACTGGTAGCGGTGACTGAGGGCAAACAGTTAGTGCAGCTGTACGGCGGGCGCACTGTGAAGCTGCGCGTACAAACTTATCCACACTCCACGCTGCTGCAGCTGCGAGACGTCGACGAGGTCAGTGACCCGCGTCAGACGCAGGTTCCACTACAGACATCGGATTTGTACTGGTGTGCACTGGTAGCGGTGACTGAGGGCGAACAGTTAGTGCAGCTGTACGGCGGGCGCACTGTGAAGCTGCGCGTACAAACTTATCCACACTCCACGCTGCTGCAGCTGCGAGATGTAGACGAGGTCAGTGACCCACGTTAGATGCAGGTTCGACTACAGACATCGAATTTGTACTGGTGTGCACTGGTAGCGGTGACTGAGGGCGAACAGTTAGTGCAGCTGTACGGCGGGCGCACTGTGAAGCTGCGCGTACAAACTTATCCACACTCTACGCTGCTGCAGCTGCGAGACGTCGACGAGGTCAGTGACCCGCGTCAGACGCAGGTTCCACTGCAGACATCGGATTTGTACTGGTGTGCACTGGTAGCGGTGACTGAGGGCGAACAGTTAGTGCAGCTGTACGGCGGGCGCACTGTAAAGCTGCGCGTACAAACTTATCCACACTCCACGCTGCTGCAGCTGCGAGATGTAGACCAGGTCAGTGACCCGCGTCAGACGCAGGTTCCACTGCAGACATCGGATTTGTGCTGCCCCATTTAGCATAAGCACCGCGATAATTATGATATATCATTATCATCATCAGCCTATTAATGTTCCCACTGCTGGGGCGCAGGCCTTCCCTATAGATGGAATAGGGACATTGGGTCATGACCCATCACGCGAGCCCAGTGCGGATTGGCGGGTGCTAACGACTGCAGATGCAGCCGGGACCAACGGCTTAACGTGCCTTTTGAAGCACGGAGGAACTCGAGATAGAAGATTTTTGGTCACCCATCCAATGACTGACCACTGCGAAAGTTGCTTAACTTGAACGATCGCAGCCGAACGCGCTAACAACCCGCGCCATCGAGTTCCTCCCCGGGCGAATTGTTACGTTCCCTAAAATATGGTTGAGCGAAGCGATGACTGGTTCATGCGTTATGCTCGTAAACGGGTGCTTCCGTCGAGGATGAGTCTGAACTATACTGCGTTACTATTGAGATTCTATCTTTTATACCTAATATTAAATAATTAAATTAAAACTTAATAAAACACTGTTTTATATACTGTATGACATAGCAATCAAAATGTGAGTTAGCGTTGTATTGGATAGCGGCATGAACTTTTTTGTAAATGTTGCTACTTCTGCTAAATACTGATGAGATGAGCGCCCGTTCTTCTCATCAGCTTAAAGATATCCTGAATCGGTGGTAGGAAAAAAATTAGGCTAATTCAAAAGAGCTTTCAGTAAATCATTTTTAAATAAAGTATAATTTCATTTCATTTCTTAATTGTCAAATTACTATGGAGTTTGCTCTACCATCCGGTAGGGGCGCTGCATAGTTTCCATAGAATCTTTGACGCTGCGATACGATTTCGGAGCTATCAAAGATCGCGCTTGGGCTTCTGATGATGCTGTTGTTTTACCTGCCACAACAGCTATACTCACCTTTTCAGCCTGTAGAAGGGTCGGTTGTAGAGTACGACTAAGCGAAGTACTCCATTTGTGGATAGTGCTACAAAGATATGGATCGCCAAATGTGTTTGTTCGCGTATTTAAAAATTGTGTTTTTGTTTCACTAATAGTAACTCGATTTTTTTTTCTCCTTTTAGACGGACATATCGGCCAGTGATATCAGGAACCGTTTGCTCAAGCCCCAGTTAACCAAAGAAAAAATTGTGAGTATAATACTTTTGGTAAACACATATTAGTCTAAGGCCCGTATTACAGAATGACAACTAAGTGTTGATCTTTACTTGAGTACAGTTAGAAAGGGATGTCGCTATGTGCTATATATAGCGACATCCCTTTCTAGCTATGCTCAAGACTAGATCAATCACTGAGAATCTTTCTATAATACGGGCCTAAGAGCCGGTGGGAGGTCGACCTTCACCGATCTGATAACTCGATGAGACATATTTTTTATCAAATATAATTTATAAACGAATATGCCTATGATGCTGAGCCCCTACTATGGGTGTATTCCGAATCAAACACCAGTACGCTGGCCAGTCGTAATGACGTCATGATTTCGACGCCATATTGACAACACTACTACAACACCAGTGCAATATGGCGTCGAAATCATGACGTCATTATCGCTGGCCAGCGTACTGGTTTATATTTCGGAATACACCCTATATCTATCAATAGCAGAAAGATAAATGCTGAAATGAATGATTTTCAAAATCGTCTATACACAAGATTCTACTAAAAATTCTGGCAATTAATATATTTTTCTTTAATGTCATCGTTATAAGTCCTTAGACCAATATCTTTAATGGATCTACTGAGATGTTTATTTATTATTGTTATAGCTGACATATTGTAAAACATTACTGTTACTGTTTATTAATTAAATTTATGGAAGGATTGTTTAATGTAATCGAATGTTGTAAACGAGCCCTTTATTTTGCAGAACGAGTCGGGTCAGCCTGAATCTAGTTTTCATATCCTGGAACGGGAAAAAGCTGATTCACAACGTAAGTAATGTAACGTGATCTTGTAATTAAAAACCCACATTTCAAGTGTTATGATATAAATGAGGAGTTATTTATATCATATCACTGTTATCAAATTCTGAGGAGTTATTCTCCCTTATCCCTCCATCACCTTTTCTTCAGAGGACCACGCGCGCTGGCCTACGTTGCCACCAACTTACTGTGGCCACTATTCCTACACGAACAAAGAAATTTGGTGACTCATTTCTTTGTCTTACTATTCGTAAGTGGAATTCTTTACCCGCGCAAGTTTTCCCTCCTACCTATAATCTGGGGTCCTTTAAGAGAGGCGTGAAGAAGCATTTTTGCAGGCCGACAAGGTGTGGATGATTGGTGTAGCAGTTTATAACTGCTGTACCAACTATCTTCGCGTTTGGACTTTATTACCACTTAACATCAGGTGGGGTAGAGTCATTTGCCTACCGCTATATATATATAGCGGAAAAAAACAGCTTTTTTATTTTGATTAATGAATATTATGAACACATGAACCATGGAAAGGCGCATCAATAGGATAGTTGCTTCGATTAATTTTGTATTGTGGTAAATAAATCAATAAGACTTGCCCTGAATATATTTTAATTTTTATAAACTAAATAAGCGTGTCTTCAAACAGTGTTGGCGAAGGCCGTCGCGAGTGGAGTCCGCATAGAGTCAGACCCAAACATTCCCATTGTCATCGAATCGGGTTCTACGGAAGTTCTTCAGACTAGCACGCGAAAACTTAAGAGCCACGAGGTCCAAAAGTCAGTTACTATAATGTCAAGTGATAGCCATCTTAAGCTAGAAGAAAAACCAGAAATTCCCGAAACGAGCACAGCCGATGACACCGACCACACGAATCGCGAGAGTTTGAAAGTCATCAAAGATACGTCAGGCACTCAATTCCATGCGTCTGTCAGAATAAACGAGGACTCCTGTAAGTTGTAGCTACTTCCATTTCATATATTTAAATGAATAATACTGCAGTTTCATGGAAGATAATATTCAGTTGCGGATTGGCACATCATCAATGATGCTGTTTCCGAAACAAATCCTTTTTTGTAATAAAGTAACAGTTATAGGTATTCATATTTATAATATTTATCCACATGTTTCTAGTCTGTATATTCGGAATACGTGTTTGAGTTTCATACAAGTGCAAATCACATATGTTCTAATAAATTATATTCAGTAGCGATTTTAATTGAATATTTTGATTATTTATTTATTTTTTCAAATTAAAACTGAACTTTATTGACTGTGTCCTTTTCCAGACTTTTTATTAATTTATTTTAAACGATGCCAAAGAAGGATAACTTCTCACGCGCCTACATAAGTACACGCACCCATTTTTTTGTGCCATGTTTGTCACTGGTTCGTTACAAATGATATCTGGAAGTAATCATGTGAAGCTGCTAGCCCACCGCTTATCATGGTTTCCAAAAATGCCCTGTTCTTTGATAGGATTTTACCGTCTGCATTCTTCGTTTTTCTTTCATGACTATTCATGAGAGATTATTCCTTATATTTTATCAGTTTATATTAAGAATAACATTTATTACCATTTACAATCTTGAAGTTGATGATAATGAGTAATTAATATAGTAATAAGTATTAGTATTATATGATAATAAGAATTAATATACATAAGTTTGGTAATTTTATGTTTCTTTTATACCTGAAATTACTTAATAATTAAGGAGCCTTATTTAATGATTTTGTTTATCTATTCTAGGTCCTAGTGAAGCAAGTGTCAATATTGACAAAAAATTTATTGAGACTGATACATCGTACATTTTTCAAGACATACCATCAGGTTAGTACTTATTGATAGAAGTGTGAAAACAGCAAAGAGAGTATATAGAACTTTAATTCCGTTAAAATAATTTATTATCACCCAATTTGAGTCCTGATCCACCTAAGCTTATTTTCTTCCAACCATTGTCAAACAATCAGGTAGACTTTCGCTTTAATACTGCCGTCCTCACACTAAAGTGACATGTGGTCGATTTTTCTGTCTTAAATTGCATCTTATACAGTTTTTAATTCTCTGTCGATCTGTCTTTAACAAATATTCGTCCTTTCTTAGCTAAGTCTTAAAATGCGTCATGTGATGAATGGTTACAAAATAGGAATAATTAAAAGATTATGCGCCGTTTTTTGGACGTACCTATCTCAAAAGTTCGTTTTGTCATTTAGCCGCGTTTTAGCTTGAGGATGGCAGAATAAACGTCGGCACGGAAACAAACTTGTTATTAGATTTTGCCGCCTTTTTGTGACAGTGGGCTCGACTGTGGCATGATTCTCTGAACTTAATACTAAAGGAGACCCGGCACTTTTCATAGAAAAAATGCTAAACTTGTATACAGTTGAATTTGGTCTCAGAATAAAGCCAAAATTATTTGCTACATAAAACTACTTTTGCTTTATTTTTAGTGAATCGTGGAAAGAAGTTATATAATGATTAATATTTTTTTAAATGGAAACCCCAACTCTTCAAGGGACAGAATTTTACTTCAAAATATTATTCAAGTGACTGTAAAAACCATGATTCCTTTGCTTTTTCTAAATAAAAAACCAATCAATTTGACAATCCTAAAATACAAACAAAAAAATCATTCGCATTTCGCATCCTCTCCCGCGTACCTACTGTGATTGTGAATGTTCTCTGCTGTGATTGCCTTTTTATCCGTTATTTCTCTTGACGACCCGGCTACCTAAAGAGGTTATATTGACAAACCTACGTATTTGACATTGACAGCTAGCTGCTGATGACAAATATTGCCAGACTACGTTACCCAATGAAACACAGATAAAAAAAATAAAAAAGTATACAACTTTGGCACAAAATGCCGGGTGTCCTTTAACACCAGTCGCTTCTTTTAATTCTGTGTATAAAATGACGAGGACACTGTTGTCAAATTTAATTTTATGTTTGTGTGATGATTATTAGCATTTGTACTCGAGTCATGGATGTATAATATGTATTTCTATATTAATATACTTATATACGTATCAGTATATATATTCTATACGTTACTCTAGTATCCCATAACACAAGCCTACATTGCTTACTTTGGGGCTAGCCTAATTGGACTATGTTTAAAAAAAACCACACAACTGAAGTGAAACTTCTTTAGCTCCATCTGTATGTATGTATATGTATATGTGTGTGTGTACAATATATACATGTATGTACATATACATATTTCATTTACTAGCTATAATAGAAAGAGCGAGAGAAAGAAAATGTACGCGCACTGCTTTCTCTTGCTTATATACCCCACTCAACTCCAGTTCGCCTCACCTAATCACACTTTTCGTAACGCGTTCGCCAGCTTACTCCCCAAGTCAAGCGTGTGTAAAGAAGTTACACTTAAAAATTTTACGGTATAAATTCGTGCTTGGGCCTTAGATTAAAACAAAAAGGGTAGATACGGTACGCTCGTACTTGCATCAAACAAAAACTGATCCCACTTCACTACACATGCAACACTCACACATGCACCTGTTTGTAAAGATACAATCGAACGAACGAAACAGCAATTTAAGTTTCAACGGCAGCGCGAACGGGACGGCGAGATCCGCGTAACTGCATTACCGACCCGAACGAAATAGCACGTTAAGTTTCAACGGCGGCGGCACTTAGGCATTGTTTTATCATATAAACACAAAATATAAGCAATACATATTTCTTTTTGGCGTGCACATGTACGTCGTTTGCATGTCAAGTTGTGACTAAAGCGATTAGGGTCGGGGACCACAATTTACGCGGATCACTTTTGTGAGGCTAGTGCCGTATCTACCCTTTTTGTTTTAATCTAAGGTTTTTGAAGTTATACTTCTTTAGGCGCGGTATGAAAAAATGATGAGAGTGAAATTTTTAGATGCGCGCGCATCACTGTAACCCAAAAGTAACAGCATGAAGTTGGCCGCGGGCGCGTTATGAGAAAATCATGTGAGTGAAATTTCGAGATGCGCGCGCATCATTGTAACACAATAGTAACACCATGAAGTTGGCCGCGGGCGCGTTATGAATGTTAGTGTCTAATAATTATTAGACATCTGTTCGAAAGGTACTTTGAACGATCCACGGTGCTCCATAAGATGATCGCGTTGTCAAAAACAATGTTGGCACGCTCGTGGCCTCTGATCACTGTTTTCATATTTATAATATTTATCCACATGTTTCTAGTTTCTATATAGACACAACGTGTTTTAGTTACTTACAAGTGCTAATTACATATGGACTAATAACTTAAATTCAGTAGTGATTTTAATTGAATATTTTGAATATTTATTTAATTTTTCAAATTAAAACTGAACTTAATTGACTGTGTTAACTATCCTTTTCCAGTCCTTTTATTATTTTATTGTAATTATTGATTATTTGCATGCAATTAAAAAATATTTTTAATGATGCTAAAGAAGTATAACTTCTCACGCGCGTACATAAGTTACACGCATCCATTTTTTTTTATGTTATAGGGGGCATACGAGCAGACGGCTCACCTGATGTATACTTGCAACACCAGGAGTATCACAAATGCGATGCCGGCCTTTAATGAAGGAGTACGCTCTTTTTTTGAAGGTCTTTGGGTCGCATCGGCTTACTTACTTACTGCTGCTGTGGCGCAACAATCCGAAGTGGATCTTGGCCTCCGACACAAGATGAGGCCATGCTCTGCGATCCCGGGCTACGTCTCGCCAGCCGTCGGCACCCAAAGACTGCAAGTCCCTCTGCACCTCGTCGCTCCAGCGGTATCTGGGACGTCCTATCGGTTGCCCCAAATACGCCCTTTTCACGGCTCGATCCTCTCCCATTCTCTCTACATGCCCGAGCCAGCGGAGTCTAGCTGCTTTAATTTCTCCTATGATGTTGGGTCGTATCGGCCTGGGCCTCAGTTATTATTCGACGCTCATATATCGCTCATTGCACGCAGGTTGTAACGGCGCGTGGTCCGCATGCGAGCGGGCGCGGTTCGTGGTGTCGTCGCTGGCGTTAGAGGTGGCGGGGGGAGCGGACGAACCGCCCCTATTGGCGCTGCACCTCGACCGCGCTGCCCTGTTGCTGCATGCAGACGATAAGGTATACTACTGTACTCTAAGCGCGAACCATTACCGAATGAGGGCTACCGTTTTCTGCCTCACCAGATGGCGCCACTGTTGAGTGAGGTCCTAAATTGTAACTTTTAAAGTTTATTAATACTTAATACGCACATGAAATCAAAGGTTACATTTAGATCGTATTTTAACACAAAAGAACCATATCCTAAACATAATAGGCCATGCCACCGTGACGCGCAGTTCCGTTTTATTCGGAAAAAATGGGAACATAATCATTTTTCTAAGCTCAAATTTTTATTATCTGACATTCATTGCCACATAACTCATATTTGCCATAATTAAGCCGAATTGTTACCAATTATTCACAACATTATTTTAATTAGAAATAAACCCGCGTAGTCAACCAACAAGCAATAACATTTGACATTTCGGAGACCTCACGCTACACTAGCGCCTCTAGCGGCGGATTCATACGCGATAGCCCTCATTCCAATACAATAGTTTGCGAGTGCGAAATGTCAATGTCAAGTTTTGTATGGAAACTTGAACAGCAGCGCCACAAAGTACGTAACGAGAACTAAAAATCAATACACATTTGACACTGACATTTCGGACTCGCAAACGTTACGAATTCGATATTGGTTCATGCTACGGGTAGGGTTAACCACGAACAATATCGAATTCGTTCGCGATACGCGTATAATGTGAAGATGTTTTGTATGGACATTTGAATAGCGCTACAACTTACGTAACGGGAATTAAAAGTTTTCCATACAAAACTTCTTGACATTTGACGCGTATCGAGGTCGAATTCAACTATTCAAATTTGATATTGGTTCGTGTTAAGGGTACTGATATGGATTAAAGGAATTAACAAATAAACAAACAGAGTGTAGGGACACTGTATTGTAAACTAAGCATTTAATGATTTACTGCACGTGTGGTGCGTCGACGAGCGATTGAATCAGTCGCCCTCCATAGGTAGCACATATACATTTACATATACTTATCCTAGATGCAAATCTAGGATAAGTTGTATAAGGGTTGTATAATATCTCGTGTTCAGTAAGAAATTAACTGCAGTGTTGATTCTATATATGACTTTAATATTTCGCATAGCAAAACCCCTAAGAGTTTCCTTTTATGCTTGAGTAACATGTTTAGCAATTTCCGCTGCTGAGAGAAGCGATGAAAAACAAATTGTGGCAATAACTGATAGGATTGCGCAATCTTCACTTACCAAGTTCACTTACCATGACAACCTTTATTATGTGATATATGAACTTAACGAATTTCTACAAAAATTGCGTTACAAATTAATTTTCTTTGGATATTTTTTTTAGTTTTATACTTTTGCTTGTTTTCTTTGCGATCGTGATTTGATTTCAGAAAACCATAGTGTAAGGGCCCGTGATAAGTCCAGACATTTAATTGTATATTTATGAATGTAGTATGCTGAGAATTGCGATGTGCAAGTGCACTGTTAGAATAAAAGTAATTTGAATGTAAAGGATTTCTTACTTCACCATCTTTATCACAATAACATTATAAGTTCAACATATGTCTCAAAGATGTCTTGTAATTCACTAAAGAGAGACAAACATTTAGTAACTAAAACATAATTTTCATTTGTTCATAAGGGGGGCCTATGTTTTAAATTTATACACCGTTCCAAACATTTTGAAGCCTTCTCTAAGGATTTTTTTTATTTTTGTAAAAGTACTCATTGCATTTGCCAATAAAAAGTTTACATATTTTATTTTATTATGGTTCACCAACAAAATACATAAATGACATTATATATACAACCTTATTATTGAAAATACTTTAAATGATTTCAATAATAGATATACTCATTAATTGCAATTAACTTAAAAAAATCGAGGAGCTCGATGGCGCAAGTGTTTAGCGCGTTCGGCTGCGATCTTTGAAGTTAAGCAACTTTAGCAGTGGTCGGTGATTGGATGGGTGACCAAAAATTTAATATCTCAAGTTCCGCCGTGCTTCAGAAGGCACGCTAAGCCGTTGATCCTGGATGCATCTGCAGTCGTTAGCACCCACCAATCGGTTCTGGGTCCGGTCATGGCTCAATATCCCTATTCCATCCATAGGGAAGGCCTTTTATAGGCTGATGATGATGCGATTAGCTCCATCTTCCCTTCTTTCTTCCTCTTCTTAAGTTTGTATATCTTCTTTATTCACTTCGAACCAGGGAACAAACACGACGCTGTCTATAGCGGGTGTTCAGGTGGACAATTTGCAATATTCTAACGGGCAGTACGACTTCGCGGTCGTTGCGTCTACGGCCAACGAGCGGCCCTCTCCCGACCGATGGCCTTTCCTATGGGGCATGTTGGTTGAGAGAGACGCCTTCAGCTCGAGGCAGGATGAAGCGAGACTATTGTTGAAGATACGCCGCGATCACTGGACTGTGCCGTCAGGAAGTTTCAGCGGTGAGTCATGTCAATCTACCTCTAGGAAACTTTGAGCCTCAGTCTTGCCTGTTGGGGCATGTTAATGGAGGGAGACGCCTTCAGCTCGAGGCAGGATGAAGCGAGAGTACTGCTGAAGATACGCCACGATGATTACACTATGCCGTCAGGGAGTTTCAACGGTGAGTCATGTCAATCTATCTCTAGAAAACCTTGAGTCTAGGCCTTGCCTGTTGAGGCATGTTGGTGGAGAGGGATGCCTTCAGCTCGAGGCAGGATGAAGCTAGGGTATTGTTGAAGATACGCCGCGATCACTGAACTGTGCCATCAGGAAGTTTCAGCAGACCATGTCAATGTACCTATAGATAACCTTGAACCTTGGTCTTGCCTGTTGGGGCATGTTAGTGGACAGAGATGCCTTCAGATCGAGACCGGATGAAGCGAGAATTCTGTTGAAGATACGCCGTGACCACTGGACTGCGCCGTCCGGGAGTTTCAGCGGTGAATCATGTCAATCTGCCAATGCCGATCACGGTATTGGTTGTGATTTGTGTTTAATCTTACCAATTATATTAAATGAATGGATGGCTGACTTCATTTGCAGATATCTGATTTGTCAAAGTATTTTGTTTTCTCTGTGTTCGTGTCGCGTTAGTATTGAAGTTTGGTGGTATGAGTTCGGAACCATGTTTTAACGGCCTTTGTTACAGAGTAATGGCTGAATTTCATATGGTCGTTAGCCTTTATTCGGGTGCACGAAAGACATTAGTCGAATAGGCTAGTTGACTCTTTTTGGAAAAAGGTTTTAAATGGTTAATAAATGTTCTATTAGACCGAAAAAAATGTATTGTATTTTTTTTAAACCTAGAAAGCTACAAATCTTTAATTTTAAAATAGACTTTTCATGGACATACAAAAACGCTGTCGGCCATTTTAGTCTATAGATTATCTATGCTATGACGTGAACTGTGGTAAACAAAAACTCGTAAACACGTAGAAAATTACTTTTAACTGAGTTTATAATAAAAAAAAACATGATTTCTAATAAATACCACGAAAAATAAAGTAATTATCATTACTGTATTGTACGAGAATATAAAAACACATCCTTGAAGACTCCAGGAAAGTTGTGGATTAAAGTGCCGAAAGAAATTAACCTACGCAACTTTATTACAGTTATTCATATGTTGTATCAGTTTTATGTTTATTACTACATTGTAATACTAAATGCACTGTACTTACATAGATGCCTTGTCGTTTCTCTGCTCCGCTTATCGGGGTTTAGTGCAACAAATTCACCAACCATCAATGCGTCAATTCTTGGCAGATTTGTGCTTTCTGCTTTCACAAAGCCGTCATCCATAATTTGTTTAGTCAAAAAAACTAAGTTTACTGTTTTTTTCTTTCCTAAAGTTAAAAGTGTTTTAAGATAAATTTAGTCAGACGAAAGAATCCACCTACAGTAACACGCGAATGACATTTAGTTGTTTACCACAAGAGACGTCAAAATCATGGCGAATGTGGCGAACAGCGTTTTTAGTGTTTAAAATATATAGACTAGAAAATATTTTTAAAATTAAATTTCTACAGCAATCTTCTGCTTTTATGAAGTGAAATCGATATATTAAGGTTCCTTAGACTAAGCACTTTAAGAAATAAACATTTATTTAATACAATTCGACGTGAGTAAACTAGCCTATTCCGGCACCCCAAGCAATATTTACACTAGAATACGAGTTGGACGACGGTGTCGGTTTATCAAAACCAAAACTGCGATAATACTGGCGTACTCGACTCTTCAATTACCCTTAGTCGGTTACATGCATTCCATTGGGGCTAACGACCAAGTGTAATAGGCTAGTTGACCCTTTTTGGAAAAAGGTTTTAAATGGTTAACAAATGTTCTATTAGACCGAAGAAAAATGTATTGTATTTTTTTGAGACTCAAAAAGCTACAAATCTTTATTTTTAAAATAGATTTTTCATGGACATACAAAAACGCTGTCGGCCATTTTAGTCTATAGATTATCTATGCAATGACTTTAACTGCAGTAAACAAAAACCCGTAAGAGAAAATAACTTAACTGACTTTATAATAAAAAAAAAACATGATTTCTAATAAATACCACGAAAAATAAAGTAATTATCATTACTGTATTGTACGAGAATATAAAAACACATCCTTGAAGACTCCAGGAAAGTTGTGGATTAAAGTGCCGAAAGAAATTAACCTACGCAACTTTATTACAGTTATTCATATGTTGTATCAGTTTTATGTTTATTACTACATTGTAATACTAAATGCACTGTACTTACATAGATGCCTTGTCGTTTCTCTGCTCCGCTTATCGGGGTTTAGTGCAACAAATTCACCAACCATCAATGCGTCAATTCTTGGCAGATTTGTGCTTTCTGCTTTCACAAAGCCGTCATCCATAATTTGTTTAGTCAAAAAAACTAAGTTTACTGTTTTTTTCTTTCCTAAAGTTAAAAGTGTTTTAAGATAAATTTAGTCAGACGAAAGAATCCACCTACAGTAACACGCGAATGACATTTAGTTGTTTACCACAAGAGACGTCAAAATCATGGCGAATGTGGCGAACAGCGTTTTTAGTGTTTAAAATATATAGACTAGAAAATATTTTTAAAATTAAATTTCTACAGCAATCTTCTGCTTTTATGAAGTGAAATCGATATATTAAGGTTCCTTAGACTAAGCACTTTAAGAAATAAACATTTATTTAATACAATTCGACGTGAGTAAACTAGCCTATTCCGGCACCCCAAGCAATATTTACACTAGAATACGAGTTGGACGACGGTGTCGGTTTATCAAAACCAAAACTGCGATAATACTGGCGTACTCGACTCTTCAATTACCCTTAGTCGGTTACATGCATTCCATTGGGGCTAACGACCAAGTGTAATAGGCTAGTTGACCCTTTTTGGAAAAAGGTTTTAAATGGTTAACAAATGTTCTATTAGACCGAAGAAAAATGTATTGTATTTTTTTGAGACTCAAAAAGCTACAAATCTTTATTTTTAAAATAGATTTTTCATGGACATACAAAAACGCTGTCGGCCATTTTAGTCTATAGATTATCTATGCAATGACTTTAACTGCAGTAAACAAAAACCCGTAAGAGAAAATAACTTAACTGACTTTATAATAAAAAAAAAACATGATTTCTAATAAATACCACGAAAAATAAAGTAATTATCATTATTGTATTGTACGAGAATATAAAAACACATCCTTGAAGACTCCAGGAAAGTTGTGGATAAAGAAATTAACCTATGCAACTTTATTACACTTATTCATATGTTGTATCAGTTTTATGTTTATTACTACATTGTAATACTAAATACACTGTACTACATAGATGCCTTGTCGTTTCTCTGCTCCGCAGAGCAGAAATCGGGGTTTAGTGCAATAAATTCACCAACCATCAATGCGTCAATTCTTGGCAGATTTGTGCTTTCTGTTTTCACAAAGCCGGCATCCATAATTAGTTTTTTCAAAAAAAAAAGCAGTAAACGGAAACTTTTCTAAAGTGAAAAGTGTTTTAAGATGAATTTAGTCAGACGAAAGAATCCACCCACAGTAACACGCGAATGACATTTAGTTGTTTACCATAAGAGACGTCACAATCATGGCGGAAGTGGCGAACAGCGTTTTTAGTGTTTAAAAAATATAGACTAAAAATATTTTTAAAAATTAAATTTCTACAGCAATCTTCTGCTTTTATGAAGTGAAATCGATATATTTAGGTTCCTTAGCCCAAATACTTTAAGAAATAAACATTCATTTAATACTATTTGACATGAGTCAACTAGTCTATTGCGCCATAATGTTTCCTTATTTCTAATTCGTTGATGTTTGAATATTTTAAAAAATGCCTTGCATAGTCTATTAATATCGATTACTTTTGTACGAATCACGTACAGTAATCTTGTATATCTGCAGAGCAAGCATAACCTACTTTAATCACGTAGCTGTATCTAAGAAATGCATCATAATACGTCATTGTATTAGGTATATAAAAACACATATTTTACATAATAAATCAATGCTCGTCATGCATTCAACAAGATCAGTTGTCTTTCTTCCTTAACCTAATATCATTATGTAGGGGGTCACCGCTACAGTTTGGTCCTTCGAGCCGGATATAGGTTATGCTTGCTCTGCAGATATACAAGATTACTGTGCGTGACTCGTACAACTATCATGTTATAATCTTACTGTATTGTACATTGTTTTATTATGAAAATAAAGAAATTTCAAGATGCAAAAAAAATCGTTGATGTCTATGCACTGTGCAGAGATAACCGAGGTGGAGGTGTGCGTGGGTCCACTCGCCTTATACGTGGAGGACGCGTACGTTAGCGCGTTAGTGGAAGTGGCGCGGGCCGCGGTTCCAGTGCCAGCGGGGGGAGCGGCGGGGGAGACTGCGGCGATATTGGCGGACTCGCGTGCGCTGCAAGTGCCACTGCGGCTGCGCCTGCTGCAGCTGCACCCGCTGCACCTCACGCTCACGCTGCACACCGCCGTGAGTAACTGTAGCTGGAGCTGGAGCCAGTGCTGCGAGGGAGGGGCGGGGGAGACTGCGGCGATACTGGCGGACTCGCGCGCGCTGCAAGTGCCACTGCGGCTGCGCGTGCTGCAGCTGCACCCGCTGCCCCTCACGTTCGCGCTGCACACCGCCGTGAGTAACTGTAGCTGGAGCTGGAGCCAGTGCTGCGAGGGAAGGGCGGGGGAGACTGCGGCGATACTGGCGGTTATTCGCGCGCGCTTCAGCTGCTGACACTGCACGAGATGATAACGCTGTGCATTGCCTTGAGTGTCTATGATCACCAGCCTATTACCGTGCCCACTGCAAGGGCACAGTACTTCTCTATGAATGGTAGGGAGATTTGGCCTTATCACTTCGCTGGCCCAATGCGGATTGGTGGGTGCTAACAACTACATATGTACGATTGTGCCTTTTGAAGCACTACTTTGTTGCTTAAATTCTACAATCGCAGGCCGTACGTGCTATCAGCCTGCGCTGTCGAGCTCCTTAATACGTGAGTAGCTATTGCTAGTGCTAATGGTGGGAGAGCGGCAAGGGTGGATCCAGCTTTGGCGCCAGGGGGGGGGGGATCATATAGCCAGCTTTGGCGCCAGGGGGGGGGTCATATAGTCGTAGTATATTAAATATTGAAAGTACTTAAATAAAATCCTCCTGGGTTTGGTCCATCTGTACCCAGCCCAGGGGGGGGTCATGACCCCCATGACCCCCCCCCCCCTAGATCCGCCCTTGGAGAGCGGGCGCGGAGTTGGGGGATTTCAACGCCACAGCTGACGCTGCACACTGCCGTGAGTATAGCCAGGACTAGCGTCACTAAAGACCGTAAACAATGGCATCCGATTGGATCAAACTTAAACAGAAATACAACATTAGAATGTAACATGCCCTATAACGCCGTAATACATCGTTTCATTAAATATGTCATCCGATCTTGACATCACAATGGTATGAAAACATTGCATGCCATAACTGTGACGATTTTGATTTCAAACTTAATTTTTTTACTGCGGACTCTATTCAGTAGTGTTAGACCAGCATACCATCATATTGCCGCTAAGGGCCTGTCCACATCTCCACGTCACGACGTCGTCAACGTGCACTGTGCGGTGTCGCGGCACAGTGACCAATGACCAAGTCTCGATGCTTATACTTTTCGTATGATCCTGCTGATTAATTGTTTTGATTCTTTAAAAGTATATGACAGATAGACATATGAGTCACCTTTTGCAAGAAATATTAAAGTAAGTTAATCTTGGCTGGAGCTGAATAGGATTCCGTAATTACGCTTCCTGCCTTGTTATTGATGGCCCAATCAATCTCAATAATATTACAAAATCAATTCTAGTGAAATTATGAAAAGGCCCATCAAATCCACGATGGTCATCAAATTCATAACTTTTATTTAAAATGTAGTTTCGTACCCCCCACATTTTTTCCTTATTATCTGTAGTGCTCTCATGAATTACTACGTAAGTAGGACAGAATAACTCTACCTCCTCGGACGACATCCTAGTAACAACTAACTTGCGTGGAGTTGTGGACGGCAAAGTTTTAGAAACAGTGTTTACGGTAAACTTGTTTATAAACAAGGTGATGAACTTCATAAACAGTTTATCAACAAATATTGCCAAATGAATACGCGATTTATTAATGGTTTTGTCTATTGGTATGCATGCATTCTAAAATTGTTTGTATCAGACTGTACGTTACCTGAATTGAATAAAATAATGTTATTTTCGGTGCCCAGGTACGGATGTACATAGCCCTGGACCAGAGTCCGCTGCAGCTAGGTGCTTTCCAGCTGAAAGACGTGGTCACTTCGGTGGAGCGGCTCACCCACGCGCTGACTGTGCACTATCTCTCTGCCGCAATACTAGGCGCAGGTAGGTTATATCAAACTATTGTTTATTTCAAATTACAGCAAATTTATTTCTTAGGTTTTCACGCACATCACTCATTAAATAAAACTAGCTTTAACGGGTTAATGCACGAAACTTTATTTATTTATTGACGGTTCGCAGCCTTCTGCATCGGCAGAATATAGTTTTTTTTTTTAATTTTTTTTTGTTACAAAATGCTAAGATTTTTTTGTTATAAGGTAAAAAAAAACAGTATTCTGACGATGCAGATCTGAAAAGGCTGTGAAACGCCAATAAATAAATAAAGTTTCATGCATTAACCCGTTAAAACTAGTTTTATTTACAGCAAATTGTTACATCATAAGCCGGGTCCAGCGCGTGTTTCGCCCTACACAATCAACAAAAACATATCAACATTCAACAAAATCGTCTACACAAAACTTTGTTTCATCTATACTATTATTATAAAGCTGCAGAGTTTGTTTGTTTGTTTGAACGCGCTAATCTCTGGAACTACTGGTCCGATTCGAATGATTCTTTCAGTGTTGGGTAGTCCATTTATCGAGAAAGGCTATAGACTATTTTTTCTTTTTCAAAATTAGGGATCTGTAATAAAATTGCTATTTTGTAACACAAAGTGTAAAATCGAAAACCTATTTTTACGTGCCCTGCAAAAACTATTGACAATAGAACAAAATGATGTACTACGTGTTTGTAGATCCCATTAAGACTTACACAAAAGTCCGCGAGAACATATACATATCTAGCTATCATGGTTTAATCACAATAACCGATTTTGTGTTCAAAATAATTGTTAAATCGTCCGAAGAAAAAAAAACTACGTTAAATATGTATCGTTATATTAATCTTTATCGAATTTAAGCATTATGTTATCAAGAGTATTTATGTAGAATTAAAATACTTTTTGTTTCATCTCAATCGGATATTTCGTTTAAAAGTTATCACGTGTGTAAGATGTTAAGAGTTGGTACCTATTAATGAGTTATGGGCCATAGAGCTTTTTTATCAACATAAAATCCTGTAATAATCTTTCTTATTTTTCTTAATATTATAAAGCTGAAAAATTTAGTTGTTTGTTATGAACGCGGTAATCTCGGGAAATACTGATCTGATAAGAAAACTGTTTAAATATTCAATAGTCCATTTATTGAGGGAGGCTATAATATAGGCAAGATTTAATCTCGGTATTTTCACGGAAACGAGAAAAACGCGGGTGAAACCGCGGGGCACGGCTAGTTTCATATATATTTGTTTGCTTAAACAATGTTTTTGTTACACAATTACACACAAACATTTACACAAATCCCTCCCCGCGCGGGTCAAGTTATTGTTTCATCGGGCATTTTTTTGACAGCTCGCTAGCGGGGGCTCCGTTCTTAACCTACGCACCAAGTACAAATTATTACTCTGGCATTTCAATTTTTACATAATGTGTTCGAAACTTTTGCCAAATTTGCCATTTGTTGAATCTGCATCGTAGTTTTTTAAAATAGCACTCTGTATTTTGTATACGACAGTTACGTGAGCAGTAGACGCCGTATGTGGAGAAATATGTTTCAGCAAGAAAGTTTAGTGTATATGTTTTTGTTGGATGTTTTCTAATATCTTTTGCTGGAGACCCAGTTTTCAAATTTAGCACCCTGTAAAATATTAAGGTTTTTTTATCTATATTGATTAGGAGCTATTGTCCGATGACATGTTAGCTCTATGAAAAATAGGTATAACTCGTGTCATTAATGTAAGTGATCGAAAATGCCGACGGCGACGCAAGAGATTCTGCCTCTTTCGCACGTTCCTTAGGATAGCATGTGCGAGAAGGACAGAATGTCTTAAGTCGTCATTTGCAATCCCTTTCTTTAATAACACGAGTGATATAAAAACTAGCAAACCAGTGAAACAAATGTTCACCAAAACCTGATTTAAAAAAAAAACAAAAAAAAATGTATTTAATTAATTGAGGACTTCGGAGATTTTGTGTGGTTTCGTTTGAAATTCGTGATTTCTCGAAAACCGGAAGTGCTACGTTACTCAAATCCGGTTTGTAGTCTTATCAGACTATTCTTAACTTATAACTTAAATATTCTCTTTATCTATCTATTACGGTTTGGCCGCTGAAACAGCACCACAGACGGACGGACGGACTTGTCTAATAGATAAGAGATAATTTTATGCGGAATAAGTGTCAACTCTTTATCATACAAGCTTTTTGAACCCTTATTGAAAATTGGGTTACTTTTAATATCAATTTATAATTCCCTGTGCAAACATAATCAAAAGGGGAAGCCATAGCTACGGCGGCTGCCTTAGCCTCTTAATAGCTGTTCGTTGACCAGAAACATGATTTGCTTTTATCCAGGCTGGGTGGTAGGCGGCTTAGAGTTGTTAGGAGCTCCGGGGGCATTGGCAGCTCGTGTGGGAGGGGCAGGGGGCGGGGTTAGAGGCGTGGCTGTAGCCGCAGCGGCTGCCGTCGTACGTTCCTTGGCAGCTTGCGCCGGTTCTTTGGCCAGAAACCTGGACTTACTGGCCGGTGATGAGGAACATGCGCGTAGAGCTGCGGCCGCGAGACGACGCCACCCACAAAGCTTGGCCGCTGGTATACTCGCCGGGGTGACGAACTTCGCTATCAATATATTAGGTAAGATTTTTGTACGTAGATTAAAGAATGTTAACTTTGTAAGGTAATTGAATATGTAATAGTAATTTGTAAGTGTTTGCTATTCGATGCTCTGCTATCTTTTATTTACAAACATTAGAATTAATAATGTTTGACTACAATGGTTAATGTTAAAGATTGTAAAAGAAAATTTAGTCCATTAATTGCAGGATCTGCTCCCAAGATCTAAATAGATTTCATAGTGATTGATTGATTGATGTACACCAGGGGCCGTAGGTGGGTTGGCCCATCACCCACTAGTGGGCGTGGCAGTGGGTGAAGGCAGCAGTGCTGCAGCGTTGCGTCGCAGTTTAGTGGGCGCAGTAGCGAAGCCGCTCAGCGCCACTGCCGATCTGGTCGCGTACGCTGGACACGGACTGCTGACGCAAGCCGGATGGGAAGCGTTGCCACAGGTACGTTAGATATTTTTGTGGCAGGCGTTTTTTTTAAAACTGTGAATGCTTATAATCTAATATATAAAATTCTCGTGTCGCGGTGTTTGTGGTTAAACTCATCCGGAACGGCTCGACCGATTTTTGTGAAATTTTATATGCATATTCAATAGGTCTGAGAATTGGATGTAATCTATTTTTCATCCCCCTAAATGTTAAGGGTAATCCACCACTATTTTTTTTTTTAATTTTAGATACATATATTTTTTTATTTTTTTTATGATACATCATACAAAAATACATACATTCCTAAATTTTCAACTTTCTACCACCAATCCTTATTTTTTTATGGCGGTACGAAGTTCGCTGGATCAGCTAGTTATATATAAAATGATGTCTTCTTTCAATAAAATATCCTATCTTCAATATTTACTAAACTTTCCCTCCGTATGACCAACCCGTGGGACGCGCTGTTACGATGCGACCGTACATATAAATTGTACGGTCGCACTGCAAAATAGTACGGTCGCACCGTACACGCTGTATATGAGTGATGAGTGCGCTGCTCCATTCCTCTATGCCGTACACCGCCTAATGTTAGGTTATTTAAGAAAAGAAGTTTCACTTCAGATGTTTTTTTTAAGTAGAAATTTTATTATATCGCTAAAAATGTTTTCGTTAATTTTTAAGTCGCATTACATTTTTGATTGTTTGGATTCAAAAATCAGACTATCGATAAACGTCGATGGTTTAGTGGTAGAAAGCTCACCTTCTACGAAGGCGTCCCGGGTAGATAGCATCGATATGCTCGCGCGCCATTTGGTTAATGTATACGGAGTCACAAAGTTGCAATCACCTTTATGGCTCCGTCCCTCTCGGCTCTTGCAGCCGCCCCTAGTAGCCTAGTCAGCTTAGATTAAAACAAAAAGGGTAGATACGGTACGCTCATACTTGCATCAAACAAAAACTGATCCCACGGCAGCGCGAACGGGACGGCGAGATCCGCTTCACTGCATTACCGACCCGAACGAAACAGCACGTTAAGTTTCAACGGTAGCGCGAACGAGACGGCGAGATCCGCGTCACTGCATTACCGATCAATCACGTGACTAGTCCTCGACGTCACTACCGAATAAGATTCAAAACAAACAGCAATTTTTATGAAAAATTATATTTCATAGTACTTACGAATGAAAAGTGATGCCGTGGGTTTTATTTTTAGTTCTTGAACAATTTGAGCACTTTTTAATAACATACTTAGGCATTGTTTTATCATATAAACACAAAATATTATCAATATTTCTTTTTGGCGATCACATGTACGTCGTTTGCATGTCAAGTTGTGACTAAAGCGATTAGGGTCGTGGACCACAATTCATGCGGATCACTTTTGTGAGGCTAGTGCCGTATCTACCCTTTTTGTTGAAGTTATACTTCTTTAGGCGCGTTATGAAAAAATGATGAGAGTGAAATTTTAAGATGCGCGCGCATCACTGTAACACAAAATTTTCAACCAACTTCATGCGTTACTTTTGTGTTTACCGCACATTAAGAAAATCTACCAACAAAATAGAAAAAGTATCTATTTAGTGGGTGCTAACGACTGCATTGTGAAGGCCTATCAAAAGTATTTATTAATCTGGAACAACGGAACCAAAGCGCGATTCAGGAGACTACAGCGCCATCTCTTGACCATTGGTGTAGTAGAACCAAAAACCACATCTTCATTTTTTGTAATAAAGTAACAGTTATAGGTATTCATATTTATAATATTTATCCACATGTTTCTAGTTTGTATATTCGGAATACGTGTTTGAGTTTCATACAAGTGCAAATCACATATGTTCTAATAAATTATATTCAGTAGCGATTTTAATTGAATATTTTGATTATTTATTTATTTTTTCAAATTAAAACTGAACTTTATTGACCGTGTCCTTTTCCAGACTTTTTATTAATTTAATGTAATTAATTATTTGCATGCAATTAAAAACTAATTTTAAACGATGCCAATGAATGATAACTTCTCACGCGCCTACATAAGTACACGCACCCAGTTTTTTTTAGTCTAAGCTAGTCAGGCGCCTTTTAGCATTAAGGTAAACATGCCCCTGTCTATGTTCGATGTTTGGCGTCCAGGCTCGACGCAGCTGGTGGTCGGAGCGGTCGTGCCGTTGCGCGGCCGTTTGCGCGGCGGGGTGGCGACGGGACTGCGTGCGCTGGACCTTCCGCCTGGCCGAGCTGACCGCGCTCAGCGGCCACGAGGCAGAGCTCGCCCGCGCCGAGCTAGCGTTGCTGCTCACGCACAAGGTACGCGCCGGGGTCCGACGCAGGCATCTCTTATCTAATAGACAAGTCCGTCCGTCCGTCCGTCGCCTCTAACCCCGCCCCCTGCCCCTCCCACACGAGCTGCCAATGCCCCCGGAGCTCCTAACAACTCTAAGCCGCCTACCACCCAGCCTGGATAAAAGCAAATCATGTTTCTGGTCAACGAACAGCTATTAAGAGGCTAAGGCAGCCGCCGTAGCTATGGCTTCCCCTTTTGATTATGTTTGCACAGGGAATTATAAATTGATATTAAAAGTAACCCAATTTTCAATAAGGGTTCAAAAAGCTTGTATGATAAAGAGTTGACACTTATTCCGCATAAAATTATCTCTTATCTATTAGACAAGTCCGTCCGTCCGTCTGTGGTGCTGTTTCAGCGGCCAAACCGTAAAAGATAGGTATAGAGAATGTTTAAGTTGTAAGTTAAGAATAGTCTGATAAGACTACAAACCGGATGTGAGTAACGTAGCACTTCCGGTTTTCGGGAAATCACGTGATTTCTATTTCAAACGAAACCACACAAAATCTCCAAAGTTCTCAATTAATTAAATACATTTTTTTTTTGGTGAACATTTGGTTCACTGGTTTGCTAGTTAATCAATAATAATCAAAATCATTTATTCAGTTTAGGCTGTTACAAGCACATATGAATGTCTAGAAGCTACGCCATCGGTTCGTAAATCTACGGCGGGAGACCTTGTACTGAGAAGAACCGGCAAGAAACTCGGCAAGGGCTGTTTTTTTCTCCCTGTTTTATCATTTACAGAGTCGTCAAGTTGAAAAATGACTTCAGAGATGATTCATGAAGTCACCCTTCATTACATAATGTGAAATTATACATTAATTGTTCACCTGCATTTTGATTTCTGTGTCACACAGTATAAATACAAACAGAGTTATTTATAATAGGTGTAATTAAACATTTACATCTTAAATATCAAAGTAGTTAGGGCAGACTCATCTCCGCTGGCAGCACCCGTTCCGTAAAAGTTTGAAAGACATTTTCATGTGATACCAATGAAATTAAACTCCATAATTTTCATGAATTTGGCGTATTTGTCTACACATAAATGCATGAATTATCATGCATTTATTGAATGAATTATCATGCATTGTCCTAATACAACGCGATAACGCGAATGAGCGATGCGATCATCGTACAAGTCGACGATCAAACATATTGATCTAGAATAGGTGTCCTAATAGGCGATCGCGCGACTAAAATGATTAAAAATCTATTCGCGCGAACCAAGTTCGCGCTGTTATATCTGATATATGTTAGGTATATTGCTGCTCCTACTGACTACACTGAAACTCATCTAATGACAAGGACACTGTATTAAAATTGATCAGAGTTCCTTGAAATTTAACCTTTAATTTCGACACCGAATCTCACAATCGCCGCAGTCATACTATAAGCTTACATATATAATAACCAGTGTCGTCTTTGACCTATTGGGGACCCTGAGCATATTAGAATAATGGGGCCCCTATGACCCCTGTTTGGTGATTTAACAGGAACTAGGGACTTTGTATTTGATCTGAGGGGGCCCCCTATCGATCGCGGGGCCCTGGGCACTTGCCCAAAGTGCCCACTGGGAAAGAGGGGTCTGGTAATAACATAATATATAAGAAAGCTTTTATCATATATATATTTTAGCTGATCCTGTTTTTGCAGTTCTTAGTAGTAGCTGACTTGGAGACGGAGCGAATAGTGGAGATGATCGACTTCCGGTCCTGCTCACTTGCACCATACAATGGCCCCGTCATTGAGGTAATTTAACTAAGTATTCATTTTGATATGATTTTTGCGCTAGCTCAAACAATAGTCTTGAATTTTTGAACCCGTCTGCTGCCTGGTCCGCGTGGATTTTTTTCTAGTAAACTTTTATTTAGATTTAAACATCTAGCAGTTAAATGCTTAAAAATAAAAATAAAAACATAATAGTCTTGAAACTGTTATTATTAACTTTGTGAGTCGTACTCAAAATTAAATGACTACCTATTTTCGATTAAGATGTAAAGCTCTGTGACAGAAAGGTAGACAGAGAAGACATATAATAGGTCTGTATATATCTTTTGAGTGTAGAACCCTAAAAATAATCTCGTTATCATGCCTTATTCTCGCCATAGTAAAGGAGATTGGGCATCTTAGTATGGAGCTTGGGGATGAACTAAAGATTTTTGTACATAAATCAAATAAGCTTAAAAATATTGCTTAAATTTAATACTTTTAGGATTTTTTTATTTCTTCAAAATCCGTACTCTCTGATTAAAGTTATTGGACTTTAAAGAAATATATCTACACTAGCTGACCCAGCGAACTTCGTACCGCCCTAAAAAAATAGGGGTTGTCCAGCGGACAAAATTGTGAATCTAAACCATTCTCAGATCCCCTTGAACACACACAAAAAATTTCATCAAAATCGGTCCAGTCGTTTAAGTGAAGTTCAGTGACATACACACTCACAGAAGAATTATATATATAAAGATAACCTCTTTTTACGATCCCCGCTACTATGCAATTACTCTAATCTTAATATTACCTACATTCATACACATAATTACGCTCATAATCCTAAAAGGGGTTGAGCAGTGCTGCAGGTAACATTTCTTTACACATTTTATTATTTAGCATTACATCATTAGCGTCAATTTACACGGCAATAGCGAAAAATCGACTGACTGACAGATCTGAGTTCTGACATTTTTTTTTAATAGTCCATCCAAGGCCGTTAACCTTGGATGAAATCCATACAGCCATTTCTTCTTTATTATGAGTTTATTTCATATTTATCTTTGTTATTCAACGGTATCTTTTTTCTTTCACAAGTGCATAAACGTAGCGGAAATGAAGTTGAGTTCTGACAGTGATCACAGTGACACTGACAGACACTGTTCATATTGAGAACAACGGTGATTGTTCCGAAACGTATTGCTGGAACCGAGAGTAGGTATACATTATTTTATTTAAGGAATTTTTTGTTTTAATCATCTTTTGTAAATAAATCATAGTCACACGAAAAATATGTATTTTCGTATCTTGAACTAGTTCGAACAATGTTAATAACATTAATAGGTTAACATTGGAAACCTAAGTTAACGTTTCGGAACGCGGGATCCGGATATCGCTTGGGGTGGCGAGACGACCGACGTCCCTGTATAGCAACCGGCCACCAAGCACCGGGCGGGCTTATCACATGCATAGGAAATGCAAATATGCATTAGAGCAAATATTTAGGGCTACAATAATAGATACCAATGCGTAGAAATTAATAGAATAGATAATAGGAATACAGTTGTCTCGGAACGCTCTAAATGTGAAAAAATCAAATTTGGAGTACCGCAAGGTACCGTACTAGGCCCTCCTTTATTGTTAATGTACACCAACGATTTGCCAAAAGTTACAGAAAATCAATGTATAATGTTTGCTGATGACATCTCGGTTATTATTAAATCTAATTATTATTAAATCTACTTTTCTGAGAGTACGAAAATTGCTGAAATTTGGTATTCAGTCATCAATAATTAGATAACGATTTTTGGCAGTATTTTCATTAGTGTACAATTGAGAGATAAACATCCCTAAAATGCCCAATCTCCTTTTGAACGTAGGATAAGCTAAGCACTGCAAATATGTTTTTAAATCTTTGCGACTTTTGGCGTCCTACGCGGAGGCACAGTCGCAATGATATATCGTATTGAGTAATTGTTATGACTTGTCCTGATTGAAAAAGGTCAGGCGTTAATTACCTCCAGGGCCGCGAACCGTTATAGTTTATTCTATCCTTGAGAGAACACTCTAGTTTATGTTGCTTTAAAAACAACTCTTTCATCATCATCACAGAAATGTCCCCACTGCTGGGACGCAGGCCTTCCAGGATGGAATTCAGTGATCCACCATGCGGGCCCAGTCCGGGGACCAACGGCTGAACGTGTCTTCCGAAGCACGCAGAAGCTCAAGATAATTAGTTTTTGGTCACCCATCCGATGACCGACCATTGCGAAAATTGCTTAACTTCCACGATCGCAGGCCGAGCGCGCTAATCACCTACGCCATCGAGCTCCTCACAAAACAACTCTTTGACTGCTACAAATTCCGTCACATCAATGCGTCACAATGAAAACAACTCCATTAAACTGTTTACAGTTTACATAACATATTAATAGGCTTGTGTCAACTAACAATAAATCGAATGGGTTACAGTTTCTAAATATGAATTATGATATACAAATAACAAAAAATAAAGCTATTTATCATAATAATTATAGATTATCATTATTTTTTGAAAATAAATTCGAATAAAATAGGCATTAGATCACGTGACGGCAAACACCAATCAGAAAGACTGACGTCACCACGTGCAAAACATTACTTGTGTTTGCCGTTTTTATACATTTCATTGATATCTCATTCATGTTATTGTTACTTTGATACAATTTATCAGTTTGTTTTCATATAATTAATGAAAGGAAGCCTAATAAATCCATGGAATTGGGATTTACCGAAGAAAATAATACCTAATATTTAAACCAAAATAAAAAATCATCGCTTAACTACTCGACATAATTAGGCATATCATTTGGCAACTAGAACAAGAATAAGAAGTGTTTATTATTATGAATAAATATACTGAACTCTTAAATAGACTCTTAACCATACCATAAAACTAAATACACTTACCTAACCTCAACCTATTGTCATTGTTTTATAAATTTAATGCAATATAATTTATCCGGCTTGTATAACATTTTGATTTCATTGATTATGTTATGCAAAATACTTACATCAAAATGTTCATCACAAAATTATTCTTGTATTTGTTTATAAACAATGATGGGTACCATCCTTGCAAGTTCTAACCATTTTTTTCGCATTTGTGGCATATAAATAAATTGTCTGGCGTTTTATGCTTCTCCTTTTACACTATGACACTATACAGTACTTATAATACGATGGATTCATTTTTAACTAAATAATTTTAATAGTCGGCGTACAGCGTATTGTTTGCTTTGCACGGCGTGACGTCATTCAAGACGCCATGACAGTCTAGAGCGTTTTCGAGGTAAATTTGAATAAGTTTTTTAAAATACAAAATACATATTGCTAATGTACTTTTTTATTTAAAATAATATTTTTTTGGGGTTAAATAAACATCAAGGTATATTATTAACCACTTTTTAAAATACAGGCAACTAGCCTATTGTCTCCATTACGTATTTTATTTAGAATCTGTGACTGGTTTGCTTTGCAACGTAATTAATGAACGACTGCAATGCTGAATGAATGAGAGAAATAAAAATATTACGGTCTTAGAACAAAAAAAGTTAAAAACCTTGTTTAGTGCTAGGCAGCACTACGGCGAAACCGCCGCGGTTTTATACCGCGTAGTTTTGTGAATCATGGAAACTAATTCAAGCGGCCGCACCAGCGGTTTTTCCCGCGACTGATTTTAAAACCGTGATTTGTTACAGAATGGCTCGCGGGTAAAAACCGCGCCAAAATTTGTAGTCCATACAATATATATTGACGCGCACACATTGATGCGGTAACCGCGGACGGTTTCTATCATTATTCGTCAGACCGCCGCCGTGAAGAGCCGTTGTGTTGTATGTAGGTATCGCGTCGTAACTATGTCGATGTAGCTTCGCTCTGCATCTTCTATCGCATTTATCACGGGGAGTGTTCTGAGGAATTGTTCGGATTAATTCCAGCTGCTGCATTTCGCCATCGTACATCACGACAAAAATTTCATCCCCATTATCTTGATGCGTGGCTATCCACAACCGTGCGTTTTTGTCGAAATTTTTTACCACGTACGACAAAACTGTGGAATATGTTGTCGCCAGCAGTGTTTCTGGACCAATACGACCCAAGAACCTTCAAAAAAAGAGCGCACTCCTTCCTTAAAGGCCGGCATCGCATTTGTGATACTCCTGGTGTTGCAAGTGTCCATGGGCGATTGTGATCACTTACCATCAGGTGAGCCGTCTGATCGTACGGCCATACATAAAAAAAAAAATGTCGATTGAGTCGGAGTGTGTTTCAAACGAGCCAGATTATGAAAATGTATCTTCAAAAATCATAGTAGAAATGCAGAAAAGACCAGCGCTATACGACACTACTAAGCGTCAGTATAGTGATAGAATTGTGAAAAACAAACTTTGGGAGGAAGTTTAACTACACACAGTAAATAATTGGATTTCACTTTTTCGAAATCCATCCTCAAACTGTGATAAATCGTGTCTAGTTTCGCGGTTTTTAATCGTAGTGTGGCGGTTTTTATGTTTTTTTTCTTAAACTAGCGTTGACCGCATGTCTCACTTTTATGTGGATAATAAGGTTAACGTCCTGACCAGTTTTATTCTTTGCAATAAAGGAATCGAATATAAATAAATGTGTATTTATATATGTGGGTTATTTCACAGTAATCATCCAAACCATAGCATAGCTTGTACTATGAGTGGCTACATTACATATAGACATACTTAATTACATATAAAAACAAACATCATTTATAAATAAAAAAAACGCACGTATTCATTACACAAACATTTCCTTTCTCCGGGATTCCGCTTCTGGGCCGCAAGATTCTCAGTTAAGATCACCAACCGCTAGGCCGAACGAACATTAGATACTTTATTAAATTGAGGTTCACTTCAGTTTTTCTTCAGTTGAAATTAAGCAACTTTCGCAGTGGTCGGTCATTGGATGGGTGACCAAAAATCTTCTATCTCGAGTTCCTTTGTGCTTCGGAATGCACGTTAAGGTTGCATCTGAAGTCGTTCGCACCCGCCAATCCACACTGGGCCCGCGTGGTGGGTCATGAACAAATATCCCTATTCCATCCATAGGGAAGGCCTGTGCCCCAGCAGTGGGGACATTAATAGGCTGATGATAATGATTTTTGAACTTGACATCATTATCATGTATATAAAGACAGACTGTTGTCAAGTTTACAGATAGCAAATACAAATAGTCAAGTGAAGTGCCAGCATGATAGGTTTACGTCACTGTATGATTGTATGTAATAATGTTAACTTTGTTACATGTGTGTTTGTTTGTGCAGTTGTATGTGACGCAGCGGCGCATGTCGAAGATCGCCGTGTCCCGAGTGATAGATGAGGATGACGAGTACCAAGTGAGTTTCATCAGTAAACAACATTTATTGTTTGCGTACATTAGCGTATTTTAATCTGGCGCCCCGGGCCCTTACGATTTGCACGTAGAATTAGTAATCAATTGTACCTTTGTCATCTATGACGTTACCCTCACCGAAACGTGGCTAGTACGCCACCAACTTTGGCTTTTTCGATTTCGAACCAAAATTGAGCAAGGCGAACTCTAGTGCGGGTGCTTTGTGTATCACATCTGTGTTAAGAGCCTTTTTACAAAATTGCACCGCTGCCTAACTGATCGGCACGTAGGTAGATTTGCACTAGAATATATTGCATTTTACGGGTGATGGTTCGAGTCTTATAAAATATTTATTAAAGAACTTATTATAAGAATATATATATCAGTAGTTCAATGATGGTAGATTAGTTTTATGAAAGTTTTTGTTACTAATTCTATTTAATTCAATATCAAAATACGAGGTAAACCTGCATTATTTTTTGGTGAAACTCACGGAGGTTAGATGATTTTTTTTTGATAATTATTGCAATAGAAAATCAAAATTCCAATACATTATGTTCCAACAAAAACATATTTCTAATGTCGTAGTAATTAATTTGATCTAATTTATTGAAGATTATTGAGAGATTGAGGCGTTTGAAGTTGTGCATATTATCGTTTTTACCGTAAACTAGCTGCAGTACAATGATCAGTACATAAAAAGGAAAATAGTATTTGCAAATATTCAACAATAGGAAGAAAAAGTCTACTGTTTACTTATGTTGGAAATAATCAAAATCTATATTATATAAAACTCAAAGGTGACTGACTGACATAGTGATCTATCAACGCACAGCCCAAACTACTGGACGGATCGGGCTGAAATTTGACATGCAGGTAGATGTTATGACGTAGGCATCCGCTATTCTTAGCGGATTTTAATCAATTCTACCTCCAAGGGGATAAAATAGGGAATGAAAGTTTGTATGAAACTTTGTCATTTTAAACCGATCGGGCTGATATTTTGCATACAGGTATAAGAAGAATCATAGATGAATGTCATTGTATATAATACAAGCCTGGGGGCCGTTCAAGTATTACGTAACCAGATTTATTACAATTATTTACCCCCTCCTACCCCTCGTCAGCAAAAGTCAGCAAAGCTCTTACCCCTCCCCCCCATCCTTACGTAAACATTGGTAACTATATGCATTTTTCCTTTAATGTATTCTTTTTTTTTTATTGATTCATGAGCTTTCATGAGCTTCATGAGCAGCAGTACTTAAAAAGGCTTAATCGATGATGCTGACGTAATCACCATCTGTACCCCCCACCCCCTCATGTCATCAAAAATAAGCAAAGCAATGACTCCCCTGCCCCCCTATAGTGCTAACGTAATACTTGAACAGCCCCCTGAGAACAAAAACTGTAGCCTACACTTCAGCTCTACACCGAAGCGAAGCGAGGGCAGGCCGCTTGTATTTTATAAAAGGGTAAACGAGGCGCTCAAAAATTACGATTTTTTGCAACCTTAGATTAAAACAAAAAGGGTAGATACGGTACGCTCATACTTGCATCAAACTAAAACCGATCCCACGGCAGCGCGAACGGGACGGCGAGATCCGCGTCACTGCATTACCGACCCGAGCGAAACAGCACGTTAAGTTTCAATGCCAGCGCGAACGAGACGGCGAGATCCGCGTCACTGCACTACCGACCAATCACGCGACCAGTACTCGACGTCACTACCGAATAAGATTCAAAACAAACAGCAATTTTTATGAAAAAATATATTTTATTGTACTTACGAATAAAAAGTGATGCCGTTGGTTTTATTTTTAGTTCTTGAGCAACTTGAGCCCTTTTTAAAACATACTTAGGCATTGTTTTATCATATAAACACAAAATATTATCAATATTTCTTTTTGGCGTTTACATGTACGTCGTTCGCATGTCAAGTCGTGACTAAAGCGATTAGGGTCGTGGACCACAATTTGTGCGGATCACTTTTGTGAGGCTTGTGCCGTGTCTACCCTTTTTGTTTCAATCTAAGTTTGCAACAAATGTGAAACTGGAATACTGTGGTTGTGCAGGTGAGCGCCGCAGCGATGGCTCGCGTCGCCCGCTATACCGGCGCGGACGCATCGGCCGCGTCGGCGGCGGCTTCAGCGGCGTCGGGCGCGGGAGCGGGCGCGGCCTCTGGCGCGGACACCCGCACGATGTCACTGCACGCGGAGCCGGCCCGCGCGCTAGCACTGCATGCCGCACTCGCCGCCGCCATCAGGCACAACGGGGACACGCACTTCGCGTTGCTGTGGTAACGTACCGCCAGTTTCATAGGAGCCGGTCCACCTTCAGGCACAACGGAGACACGCACTTCGCGTTGCTATGGTAACGTACCGCCTGCTTCATAGGAGCCGATCCACACAATGGTAACGTACCGCCTGCTTTATAGGAGCCGGTCCACGCCATGGTAACGTACCGCCTGCTTTATAGGAACCGATCCACGCCATGGTAACGTACCGCCTGCTTCATAGGAGCCGATCGACGCTATGGTAACGTACCGCCTGCTTTATAGGAGCCGGTCCACGCCATGGTAACGTACCGCCTGCTTCATAGGAGCCGATCCACACAATGGTAACGTACCGCCTGCTTCATAGGAACCGATCCACGCCATGGTAACGTACCGCCTGCTTTATAGGAACCGATCCACGCCATGGTAACGTACCGCCTGCTTTATAGGAACCGATCCACGCCATGGTAACGTACCGCCTGCTTTATAGGAGCCGGTCCACGCCATGGTAACGTACCGCCTGCTTCATAGGAGCCGATCCACACAATGGTAACGTACCGCCTGTTTCATAGGAGCCGGTCCTCCTTCAGGCACAACGGAGACACGCACTTCGCGTTGCTATGGTAACGTACCGGAAGCGGCCAATGAAAAAGGTGCCGCATTACCGCCCGCACTTCTCATTCTCCACTCCCACAATGCGGATCGGGTTACTTGGTGCAGGAGTATTGTCTGGTTTTTACTGACCCTGTTCAGGGCATTAGGTAGGGCCCTGCTCATTTCATCGAGGCCCAGACCTGGATGAAAGCAGGGAGAAGTCCCAGATACCATCTTCTGGCTACCACTGGGGTAGCCAGTGGTATGTTGAAGAATGCGTTAGGCATTTCCCAAACAAAAAAGGCTCAACGGCGACACACACTTTTCGTTGCTATTGTAACGTACTGTTTGCTTCATATGAGCCGGTCCACCCTCAGGCACAACGGAGCCACGCACTTCCCGTTGCTATGGTAACGTACCGCCTGCTTCATAGGAGCCGGGCCGCCTTCAGACACAGCGGAGACACACACTTTGTGCTATTTTTCTTATATCTTACTAGGTCACTGTTGTTTCATCCATAATTAAATTTGACTATAGTTAATATGTAGTGTGGGACGTCCTCAGGCACGATGGAGTGACGATTTGCGCAAGGTGGGTGGCAGGAGCTGGATGCGAGTAGCCCAACATCGATCAGAGTGGCGTGCAATTGGAGAGGCCTATGTCCAGCAGTGGACTAGAATAGGCTGTTGATGATGATGATGATAGTTAATGTCACATCAAATATATAAGATCTGCAAAATGTTGATAAATCGTTCTTTTTTTCTATAGAAACGCGGCCTAGGTAATGCTCAGTCCATTCTGCCTAAAATTGGCTACGAAAAATACTCACCCCGCTTTGCAGGCAATTCCAGTAACCTTTATGTACCCAGAGTTTTAGTATGATGTTATTTTCAATAAAATGTATGCTAAAAGAAAATGTGACATCACCTTTATTTGACGTGATAACGTCTTATAGATCGATGAACACCGGCTTCACATGAGTCACGTGTTAGTTCAAGGTTCTGCGGTGAGAGTGTGTGAGTAGAGAGATGCCTTCCCCCTGACTCCCCTGACCTCCCAGACCTTCCTTTGGCCCCCCAGACCCCCTGATCACGTGTTAGTTCAAGGTTCCGCGGTGAGAGTGTGTGAGTAGAGAGATGCCTTCCCCCCGACTCCCCTGACCTCCCAGACCTTCATTTGGCCCCCCAGACCCCCTGATCACGTGTTAGTTCAAGGTTCCGCGGTGAGAGTGTGTGAGTAGAGAGATGCCTTCCCCCTGACTCCCCTGACCTCCCAGACCTTCCTTTGCCCCCCAGAGCCCCTGATCACGTGTTAGTTCAAGGTTCCGCGGTGAGAGTGTGTGAGTAGAGAGATGCCTTCCCCCTGACTCCCCTGACCTCCCAGACCTTCCTTTGGCCCCCCAGAGCCCCTGATCACGTGTTAGTTCAAGGTTCCGCGGTGAGAGTGTGTGAGTAGAGAGATGCCTTCCCCCTGACTCCCCTGACCTCCCAGACCTTCCTTTGGCCCCCCAGAGCCCCTGATCACGTGTTAGTTCAAGGTTCTGCGGTGAGAGTGTGTGAGTAGAGAGATGCCTCCCCCCCGACTCCCCTGACCTCCCAGACCTTCCTTTGGCCCCCCAGAGCCCCTGATCACGTGTTAGTTCAAGGTTCCGCGGTGAGAGTGTGTGAGTAGAGAGATGCCTTCCCCCTGACTCCCCTGACCTCCCAGACCTTCCTTTGGCCCCCCAGAGCCCCTGATCACGTGTTAGTTCAAGGTTCTGCGGTGAGAGTGTGTGAGTAGAGAGATGCCTCCCCCCCGACTCCCCTGACCTCCCAGACCTTCCTTTGGCCCCCCAGAGCCCCTGATCACGTGTTAGTTCAAGGTTCTGCGGTGAGAGTGTGTGAGTAGAGAGATGCCTTCCCCCTGACTCCCCTGACCTCCCAGACCTTCCTTTGGCCCCCCAGAGCCCCTGATCACGTGTTAGTTCAAGGTTCCGCGGTGAGAGTGTGTGAGTAGAGAGATGCCTTCCCCCCGACTCCCCTGACCTCCCAGACCAAAAAAATCACACACATAATTCCCAGACCTTCCTTTGACCCCTCAGTCCCCCTGATCTCCACGCCACCCCCTTCCCTGAACCCGTCCTCCTCATAATTATTTGTAGCATCACACTATATCACACTAAAGGCGAAAGTTTTGAGTGTATGTTTGTTACTTCTTCACGTCTAAACGGTTGGAGCGATTTTAATAAAATTTGGTATCGAATTAGCTGACACCCCGGATTAACACATAAGCTACGTTTTACTGCGGGAAAATAACACTAAACTAAACCGCGGGTAATACCGCTGGGCACAGCTAATCTACCATATTTTTTGTACATAAATAAATTTTCAAATGTATTTTCTGCCTTTATTCTAGATCATCGGTGAAGAAATAACGCGACTCATACGTTGTGAAATAAACAGATGTTGATAATACGATGAAAATTTGATTTTTTGTCACAAACCCAAGTAGAAGTATGAAGCAACTTTGGGCAAGCTGTAATTCTTCTTTTTCCGTACGTAATCAAAGTTATTTACCGAGTAATCAATTTATACGACAATTTAATATGGAACTTTGTTAAATAATTTTAGCTCAGCTGTTGTTTATATTTCATAGTTTATACCTCTAGCTCTTATTTTTAATACAATACTTTATATCTTTTTTAAATTTGGCTCCTCCTAGTTATCAAAATTTTACTGGCTTATTATAAACCTTGGATTAAAGTGAAACTTGTTTTAAACCTTATGTTGTCTCTGTCTTATTTTTAGCTAACAAAGGTGACAGACGAATTTAACTTCTGTCAACGTTTTATCATAAGCTGGGTCATGTATAGCTCTGTCTACTTGTAAACTAAACTATTAACCATGGAGGTTAGAGGCAAGGAGAACGGTCGCTACGTGCTAAAGCATAGCCCGGTTGTCCCTGAAAATTTGTAGATATTGTAGTTCATTTATCAGCCACCAGCCGCGCTGCCGTCGGTAAGTAGTATCTGTGAAGTTAGCTGTTTACTAGTACAAGTAGATGAAGTTAGTTGAATAATGTACAAAATTTTCTCCGCGGCATTGGTCATTTCAAATTAGCGCACAACAGCCCGCTTTTATTGAGACAACTTAGCGATTGCAGCGCCTCACTTAATTTGTCCATATTTCTGGGACACTATTTTCTACAGCGATCGTTCTACTTCCCACTAACCGTCATGTTATTAAAACACGTCAAACAACATTTGGTTAGATTAAAGTTGATGCTTATGAGTTTCATTGACGTTTGTGAATAATATCTTAGTTCTCTTTATTTCACATAACACCCATGTTTTCATTTACTTATAATATTCAGATCGGCACGTCACATCATCGTTCCGCACAACTTAGAATGATGTAAGTAAGTACACCTAATTCGGTATAGTAATTTGTCAGTTGATATTTTAAATTGTATTAAATAGTGCCAAATCTAAAAAATCTAGTGCAATCCAAAGAGTTTTCATATTCGCAAAGAGATGAAAGGATTTCTCTATTAGAAAATACCGTACATATAATTATTCATAATGTACTATAGTAAAAGCACATAATATGTTTGAAGCAAATATCCAAGGTATAACTTCTAATTTCGATAATATTAAGGTTAGGAGTACACCAACAATTAATTCTGTATCGTGTCGTGAAAGATACATTATTCAGCCTACAATCTTAAAATAGAACTTTAAGGGTGTATTCGGAAATATACATCAGTATACAGCAGGTCAATTATGCTCGCTAATTGTGATATTGTTTTGATATCAATTTCACAATTCGTATATTATGCTCTCCGAAAAATGCGATATCAAAATGACATCAACTTATGCGTATTATGATCAACTCTTTAAAATGATATCAACTTAGATGCGTATTACTTTCAACTTTTTGACTTAAAACAGTATCGCATAAACGTCAAAAATGTGATACAGGCTATGATATTGATATGATCTTGATGTGACATAGGAATGTTCCATAATACCATTTTAAAACATTGTCAACTTGGCATCAACATCATATTGACATCACATTAGGATTATATCACTAAAGCATAATTGACCCGCTGGCCAGTGGTAATGACGTCACGAATCCGACGCCATCTTGTACTGGTATGCTACCATAATTTTACCGGGAAAACGAATATGACGTATGACCGAGCGTGCGTGAGATGCATCCGAATTTAATTTCTTTTTTATTTAAAGAATAATAATGGCATCCGAACAAAAAGAATTCCTTTTAATTGATAAAAATCTTCTTTATTCGCACTTTTTTCAATATTTCGACGATTTATGACGTCAGTGCACTGGCCAATATATTTCGGAACAATTCACCAGTATAGCGTCGATTCATGACGTCATTAGCACTGGCTAGTATACTGGTATACATTACGCTACCCTAAATTATAATCATGAATGTAAGCAGTTCATTCCCCCCCTAGCGGTGCTCATCACCGCGATATGATATACAACGCGTTTTTATCACGCTCGATTGTCAAATTACTATGGAGTTTGACAATTAGACGCGATAAAAATCGTGATATAATGTAAATTGTGGTGCTCATGCTACGGGGAATTAATTGCAGATATATGTTTGATATGTAGACAAGAAGAAATCAGAAACAAAACCGTATATGAGAAATTACTTTAAAAGTATTACGTATTGACATCAATATTTCGTGGTTTGGATCAAATTAAAATCTTTCTAAAGTCACATGACATTGTTGTTCTATTTTTACTCTTTCTTAAAAGAGTTTTATTATCAAAAACTGCATAACTACTACAATGTAGCATTTATTGATGGTGGGACAAGTAAAAAGTAATAGAGTTAATTTAAGAAAAAAAAAATGCAATTCCCTCTTTCTATGGGCATAAAGTGCAATTTACTAATTTTTTTTCATTATTCTAGACGTATTACATACATCCTTAAAGGCTCTATCGTCGCAAGAACTGTCTTGCATGTATTAAATGATTGGTGTGGCTGAAAATTTAAGAAATAAATAGCAATACTATTTCCTATACGCATATATTACTATACGCATTGGCGTTTCCAATAGTGATTTTATTATAAGGTCAATAAAAAGATTTTCAAGCCAAAATCTATAGTTAAATATTGGTAAGATTTACAGTAGATTTCTTGTATTAAATTTAATGAGAATTCAGCCTATTTAAACAAAAAAGCAATGGAAATTATGTAAGGGTGTAGATATAAATTAACAAGGAGAAAACGTGTTTCGTCTTAAATAGTGTTCAATTAAACGTGGTTGTAGGATCGCTAGATAAATCTTTGAATGCGAAGTTTTAATTAAGTGTATTCTGTCAATATATGTGTAAATATTATGGGTGAAGAATTAAAATTTGATTATTTGTAAATATTTTATTTATTTTACACTGACATGGAACTACGTAATGTTTATGCATTATTTTTTATTATTATATCAGGTTTGTTTAAAGTTACTTACAAAAATATGATGAATATGATTTTCTAAAATTAATATGTATTTCTTATTATTTATAAGCTGTTTTCCTATCAAGGTGTTTTTTCTTTTAAATTAATTACTTTATCATTGCGCGTCACATTAGACTGTATTGTTATTATTGTTGAAATCTACAGACTAATCCTAAAAGTACGGTTTGATTTTCCTTACAACTTCCTTCCACATTTCATTCCATCTTTATTTAATGTGAACATGTTTCAAAATCGCTTCAGTCATATCAAATATATCAAGCTATTATCCATATTATTTCGAAATAACTCGTATTTATATTTCCGTATATATAAATGTTTATATTAAACATCATTAATGTCAATTCGTAAAATAATTTTAGGAAAACAAATAGATCGATAAATATAAGATATAATAGATAAATTCAAAGACAATTTACAAATTTTTATTTCAGCTCAGTTATAATCCAATTACTTATCATTAATGTGTTCGGTTAGCATCACATTAACGTCATGTCTCCAGAAAACCTTTTATTCCTTAAGAATCATACGAATTTGAATATTATTAACGCTTAAAAAAATACATAATTTACATTTGAAAATTTAAAATTTGCTCCACTATTTAAATTTCACATCTTTAAATATTTCCAATTGTTAGTTGCTCAGTCGAGCTTTGTCACTGAGACTTCATATTATGTCTTCAGACTGTGTTCATAAAGCAGTTGTAGCCCAATTCTGATCCTGGTGAGATCATAATATATTACCTGCAATTAAATCTAATATATATAATTGTCGTCTCTATATAAAAAAAAATATAATTCAAAAATCAATCAATCAGATACTTTATTTCCGATACACGGGTTAAAAATAAAAAAGTTACATGTATTTAAATTGTGCAGTCGTGATCAGCCCCATTTGGCAATACAAATATAATTTGCGCAGAAGAATTCAAAATAATGTCCATTTGTCCATTATGTAAGTATTAATCAATTCAATTGTAAGTATATTAATCATTGATTCAGTTTAGACTTTTACAAGCACATGTGAAAGTCAAAAACTACTTCGGGAGACTTTGCACTGAGAAGAACCGGCAAGAAAATCAGCAAGAGCCGCTTTTTTCTCCCTGTTTTATTTCATACAGTGTCGCCTAAAAAGCTATCGTAAACAATATTAACCTATGCGAATTGTCTTTTCCGGTTCAGCCTGTACTTTGAGTATTTTCCCCATGTAATTTTTAGGAATTCAAATTCCATATAGTACTGTGTGGAGGTCATAAACAAAGATCACCGTATGTTGCAAGCATTTTCGTCGTATTTTTATTCATTAAATTTTAAAATCAAGTTTTCATTCATTCATTCGTTCATCAGAGCATCTCTGATTATAGGAGAATATCGGACAAGCAGTTTTTTTGTCAAACTCAAGCTCTTGCAAAGTTTGTTAGCGGAAAAGGTTTGTTTGTATTTTTAGCGTTTCACGTCTGTAAATATTCTGAATTAAGATGTAAAGACTTGTCGCGGTATCACTGCCTGTGTAGACTCAACCGAGTATTATTCCTGGAGAGACTGTATTATATTGTAATGGTTTGTTTTTGAATAAATTGTGTTTTTATGAATTATGTTTTGTTATTTTTTTTATAACATGAATACCAATGGCGCAAGTGGTTAGCGCGTTCAGCTGCGATCGTTGAAGTTAAGCAACTTTCAAACGTCATTGGATGGGTGACCAAAAATTTACTGTCTCGAGCTCATCCGTGCTTCGGAAGGAAAGTTAAGCCATCGGTCCCGGCTGCATCTGCAGTCGTTAGCACCCGCCAATCTGCACTGGGCCTGCGTCGTGGGTCATGGCCCAAACTCCCTTTTCCATCCATAGGGAAGGCCTGTGCTCCAGCAATGGGGACAGTAATAGGCTGATAATGATGATGATGATGAATACCAAGAGCCCTGAGCTTCATGGGAAGTTTGACTACTTAAATTAGTTCAATCATGATGACCAGCCTGTGTATACTCCGTCTTTGTAACCGTCGTAAACCTGGTTTAAGGGATACAATTTTAAAAGTGAGTCCTGGGGACCATTCGCCTAACGGTATTGCTATGGCTATCGCTATCGCAAACGATAAAATTTTATTATTTCTGACTGCCGAAGGTTTTCAAATGCCTCGCGCTCGTTTTTTTTTCTTTTGCATTGGTAATAACAATATTAAAGAAAAACCTTCGGTGGTCGGAAATAACAAAATGAAATCGTAAGCGATAGCGATAGCTATAGCAATCCCGTTAGACTATTGACCACCTGGGGGCCAATCGCCTAACTGGATTGCTTTGGAAAACTCTATCGCTTACGATTTCATTTTGTTATTTCTAGCCCCCTGAGGTTTTCAAATGCCTCGCGCTCTTTTTTTTTCTTTTGCATTGGTAATAACAATGTTAAAGAAAATGAGCGTGAGGTATTTCGGCGGTTAGAAATAACAAAATGAAATCGTAAGCGATAGCGTTTTCCATAGCAATCTGGTTAGGCGATTGGCCCACTGATGTCTCCCCTAAGTGTCGCCGCACACGGGCCACACGCCACAGCCACAAACGCCGCCACGAGAAGCTAGAAGCGGCTACTAAAGTGGCTGAAGCGCGCTACAGCGGCCGACTAAGGTAAGGGAGAGAGGGGTGGGGAATCGCGCGAGTGACGTATGGCGGCGTTTTGTATCGGCGCATTAAGTGGCCGGTGCGGGCCACAAAAAGCGAGCAACGACGATTTGTAGCGTGTGGCGGCCACCGGCGTACCGTGTGTGGCGAGTCCATATAAAATGTATGAAAACTACAAGAAATACGCCGGTGGCGGCGTTTTGTGGTTGTGGTCGGTGGCCCGTGTGCGGCGACACTAAGGTTGCCGTCAGCGGAGTCAACATACCGACATCATCTGATCACTTCACCATAGAGGCACGGTAATAATATCATACAGTATTCTATCTTCATACAAACGGTCGGAAAGCGAGTCATACCTACGCCACTCGAGTTCGATGTGCGCTCGGCGTGCACCCAGTCGCGAATGCGCCGCCGCGCCGCAACGACGACCGAACGGTCTGAATTGTTTTTTATGCAGTTAGCCGTGCTTAAACATGCGTTTTGTATTGTAAATATTTGATTTAACCCTTCAATTGCGGGAAAGCCTCCGCCTAAAACACCCCCCGCTTGCGGAACGATTGCGCGGCCGCAGCGCGCGCTCGACGCGGTTTGAAATTTATTCAATAACTTTAATAAATCGTTCGGTCGACATGCAGCAAAATATTTTATTTCAATTATAGATAGTCAATGTACCTTCTTTTTTAGTAATTTCCTATATAAATTGTTTCAACCTTTTTATTTTTAACAGGAAACGTAGACAAAATCAATTTCGCACCTTAGGTGGCATAAACGCGATTTGAATAAATTATACGAATACTTGTGCTTTTCATTGATAACCTTTTCAAAGTTGAATAACTAAACAATAGATTTTTGCAAAAAAATAATATACTGTTGTAATATAATGTTGTTAATAAACTGTTTTAAAAATTACTTTTTAGTTGCGAGCTCCCCGATACTCGATTTTAAAATCGTCGTACTAACGGTTGTTTGGTCATAAGAACGACTTCACCACAATGAGTGAATGGTGTATTCATCTGGGTATAAAATTCAAAAGACTTTGAACTGTATTGCATTGTATTTATTCCCAAAATTGCAAAAAATTGAATGCGGGTGACGAGCGAGCAGATCTACACTTCCCCAAACGGACTTTACTCACGAAGGCGTGCAGCGCTGCACTACCGCAATTGAAGGGTTAATTAAGTAGATACCTACATAATTTAGTATGGAAAAGAACAAACGACGATCAGTATCGTACAACAGCACAATTGCTTTTTTTGGTTTTCAATAACACACCCAAAGATATCATTTTTTAAATTACCTGAAATATTGGAAAGGTGTCTTACCTTTATAGAATATTTTTTATATACCTATCTACTAGTACGTTATTTGTTTCTAATATTTAGGTATTTCGGTTTTTCCATCGGGCAAAATATCTGGAATAATATATAAATAAGTGGTTAGGATGAAAAAAGAGACAAACGAGTAATCTACCTATACTCGCGTTAAAAACAAAGTTTTGTTTTATGTAGTTACATAAAATACTGTAGGCTGGCGGCCCTACCGCGTGCCAACACAGCGCTCGGTGTAGGCATTTATTTTCAAGGACAGGGCGGAGTCACAATACTGTATAGATAATATTACCGTGACCTTACGCTTTGCAGCGTAAGTAAGTACTTAATAATGCTATGCTATAAATATCTTCATAAATGATTTGTTGGCGCGCACACTACGCGTCTGTTCACCACATACAAGAAGGGTATCTGAGCTTCAGGGTGTAAATAAAACGAAAAATATCTAGCGAAAGACTTATTAATACAAAGGAGATTGCTCAGCTTCCATACATGTTTGGCCTAAAGCCCAATAATCATGAAAAATTTATTCCTAGCTTCGAAATTATATATAAATTACTGTAGAAACGAATATTATTGACGGACACCCCTGAGAACTTCTATACACCATATACACTGAATGATTTTGAGATTATGTTTGTAAATAGGTACATAGGTATTAAAATAATAACAAACAAATAAGTTATATAGTGAACTAGGAAAATCAAACCAAGTACCGAAATTATGTATTAGATTCAGGTATATAAAGCATGTAGATTAATAGATAGTTGCCTGGTTTTAAAGTTTATGCATATGAGTAACTTTTAAAATCAGGTATCATCTATGCATTTCCGGTTATATTAAGGTACTCTGTGACAGAAACTGTGTGTTATTTGTGAATGAGCCACAAATTACAGAGAATTTTTAAACTCTCGTTAACTAAAATAAGCTTATTATTTTTATGTTTATATTATAACCATATTTTTGATTTTTAGTGTATCACACCCTATAATGTGTTTATGGAGGTGTTTTTCGAAAAATGTATGGCGATAGACTTTATGATGTCGCCTACCATCTTTAATATTTGTCTTAGCACATTTGCATGTAGTAAAAATGATAATATAGTTGTGGGTATTAATACCACAGTGTAAGATTTGTTTTGGTGTTATTTAAACAACTTCGATCAGTCTTTGACTGAATGTTACTACAGCCATAGCCATTAAAAATGATTCGTATGTTTTCCAAACCGGTAAAGTTAAAAGTCCTTTTTAAAATGAATATATTATACAAAGGTGTCCGTTAAAATCTAATGACTGTAAAATAAAGTATAAATTACGCCAAGAATTACCGTATATGTCAATATTTTTTGTGCATTTGGGCTAATTTGAGCAATCTCCTTTCAGTTTATCCATAACCTACTTCTAAGGTTCCCTTTCGAGACAACCATATCGATCCTTTAAACTCATAGAGGAACACGGCCGACGCGGCCAGGAGGGTAGTAGGCATCCACAGCGTTCCCCTCTGTCGGTTTTCCCCCGCTGTTGGGCCAGCGTGGTTGGATGGATATTTCGTTCGGATATTTCACTACTCTGACTCAAGTCGCCAGAGTGTAAGTCAGTCCCCGTAGCATGAACACCACAATTTAAGTTATATCACGTTTCTTTATCTCTTCTAACTGTCAAACTGCATAGAGATTTGACAATTGAGCGTGATAAAAAACGCGTTATTATATCATATCACGGTGTTCATGTTACGGGGGCTGAGCACATAAAATGCCAAATTGTTCAGTAATTTGCTGTAAAAACAGTTTTTCAGCATCAAACTTAAAAATGGATGATGTAACATTTCGTACGTCAGAAGAATATTAACATATAATTTCTACGTAGTCACTTTTAAACAGAAAACTAATATAGAAATTCAATCTTCAGACTTATTTGACAAAACAATCGACTCGCCAGTACAAATTTCAGATCAATCAATGAAAAAATCTAAAGTTTCATCTATGCACGATTTAGGCTCGTATTATAGAAAGATTCTCAGTGATTGATCTAGTCTTGAGCGTAGTTAGAAAGGGATGTTGCTATATATTGCACATAGGGACATCCTTTTCTAACGCTACTCAAGTAAAGATCAACACTTAGTTGTCATTCTGTAATACGCCTTAGACCCGAGAGATTAATTACTGAGAATCTTTCTTTAATACGAGCCTTAGTGTTGTCATTTTTTATGTGTAAGTTACAATTTAGTTTTTTGCGAAAGTGTAACGTACGTGTAGTGTATTTGTGTGGATATCCCCCCCCCCCCCCCCCCGCAAAAAGTGGCAGAATGATTTCAGTAGTATTGTGTCACGTCACTATGGCTACACCCCTCCTGGCCTCGTCGGTACGTCTTGCTCTATTATAGTAATATAAGTTATTTATGGAATTGTTACCATGTACTTTGTTTTGAGCGAGTTTCCGATATTTCGGCACTGTTGTAAGCGCCATGATCACGGAGTAACTGAAGTAATTGCGGGTAGGCTGTTGTTGGCAGACATAGTAATATAAGTTATTTACGGGATTGTTACCATGTACCTTGTTTTGAGCGAGTTTCCGATATGTCGGCACTGTTGTAAACGCCATGATCACGGAGTAACT